AAAAAAATAACAGTGACTATTTATTATAACATATACAATTTATCTAAGTATTTAGTAGATAAATCACGAAAATAATAATAGTCAGGAAGTTTTATTATAAGTTATAATGAATTGTTATGTCTATGGATCAGGTAAATTAACAATGACATAGCAAATTAGATCCTGTTAAAAACACTTCGGAAATATTTCTAGATCCGACAGCATCTGATTTTATGTATAAACTACAATATAAATAAATGCATACAATAAAATAAAAGTAAACGCAGTTATCATCACTATCTATTTTAATTCATGATGGTTGTAGGAGCGTCAAGGATGACAGATATGTGTTTGTCAGTACATATTTTCACTTCGTTTCGTCATCATGTTTTTAATATTCATAAAAACTTTTTATTTTTCCAAGTTAAGTTTGGAATATTAACATTTCCTTTTTGCTATTCATGTTTACCTTTTGACGCTAATGAAAAATAGGTACATAAAATAAAAATGATTTGATGAGTCAATATTATTTTTGTATCGCAATGATTCATTTCTAATTTTTTCAAACAGATTTTTCTATACCTTGATAAAGAAAAAATGAATAAGAACGCAATTATTTGTCATTCTTCTAGAACAACTACTATGTTTCATGTAACAAGAAAAGAACCTGAGTCATATAGAACGGTAATTATGACGTTTGAATCAACACATGAAAATGAATAACGATAGCGAACGTAAAGATAAAGCCTCCAAGGACGTTCTATTTGGTATATAAGAGGTAAAAAATGAAGTTCGAGACATTCAATTTCATTTCTTTCATAACAAAATTAAATACAACTATTAACAAATACAATGCCAAACGGTACATTAGAAGTTATTATTGCTGAAGGACGTAGTCTTAAAGATTGTGATATAATTGGTCAAAATGATGCATATGTAGAAATTTATTTGGATAAAAAATATAAACAACGTACAAAAATCATAAAAAATTCTAATAATCCTGTATGGAATGAACGATTTACATTTAATATTCATAAAGGTGATGATACAATTCATTTTGCTGTATATGATGATGATGTTGTTGGTCGAGATTCAATTGGAAATGGCAAAGTTAAATTGAAACATGTTTTTGATGATAATAGATTTGATGAATGGGTTAAATTACCAGCTCATTTAGGTTTATCATCTCATGGTGAAATTCATGTTATTATGAATTTTATAGTAAGTTAATATTTAATATATTGATTCATTATTATTCTTTTTTCCTTTCTTTTCTAGCCATCATAATGTATAATTAACAAATCAGACTATATATAACTATTTCTTATGTGTTTATAAATAAATTTGATACTTTTTTCGTTCATATGATCGATGTAATGATTTAAATGTCTATTGTATCTTGTTGAAGGTGTAGTCATATCGAAATATATATATATTTACATTTGATATGAAATTATGTTAGTGTTGAAAAGAATGTTTTGTTTATTTCTTAAATTAACTTTGTTATGTTTGAATATTTTATACATAATCGATCAACTAACATGCAGATAACTTATGATTTATGAGTCATTTTTGTGAAACTGGAAAATATTTTTCGAAAAATACCGTTCTCAATGCATGCATACAGTCAATATTTGACATTTGCAAATAACCTCAGCACAGTCACTCGAAGAATGTAGGAAACAGTCTTAAACAAACTTTATATGTCAAATAGCACATCATGACTAAATATTACATGTTGTTTTTTTATATAAATATTTAGATTATTTGTGTCTTTCAATTGCTTTATATATTCTTTGATTTTTTTCATTTCATTTACATAAAGGTTCGATGGTACTTCAGTGATACAAAATTATCTGTCAAAGTTTGTTTTTTTTTAACTAAAGATTAATTCGTCATTTCATCGTACATAATAATAAAATCACAGTTATTATTATCAAGCATTAATTATAAGTTAGATATCGTTGAAATGAACAACAGAAAATTTAATTTTGAGATACTAAAATAAAAATAATCGCGCTTATGACTTAATTTCTAGTTTTAACACTTGTTCCTCATGTAAAAAATCATTACATCAATCCAAAAGAATAGAACAATCAGAATATTTGAGTAACTATATAGAAATAATTGTCCTGAGAAATATTAATACTAATATAAAATTAACTTATTATTAAATATTTAACGTACATCTTTATGAAAAGATAAAATTGATGTTACATGACATATATGAGCATTGAAGGGAAGGATGTCATCAATTTAACTGACGATAATATGAGTTGTATTTCCTCAACAGCAATATTATTATCTGAAGTAATCTAAAGGTGTTAGACTTCATTAAACTCTTTCGATAGACATGCAAACAGACGTATAACGTGATACTCATTAGAAATAATTCCATAAATATATGATTATGTAATGAACAAGAGAGAATAGAGTGTATATAGAAAGAGTTATTTAAGAAGTACTAAAAAGTTTTGAACGACCTTTATTATTCATAACAAATGAGTGCATTCTTTTTCTTTTTTTGGTAAAATATCCGTTAAAAATTTAAAAGTCAGTCTAGTTTAAGTGAAAATAATGTTGATTATAGATTAGTACCGTATCTACTTAGATAATAAAATGAATAATAAGTTGTTTAAGTTTATATTGTAAATTTTCAGATTATTGTCTTATTGAACTGTAATGAAAATATAGCTATCGTAATCTTTCTTTTACTAATATGATTTTATTTGTACTCAATAATAAAAAGATTGATTAAGAAATATTGTACCTTTAATATTCGTTTTAGAGTCTCTTGAGATAACTTCCACATCATTAGCGCCAATGTATTACATTTGTTAGTTTTTTTTATACACAAGATGTGTCATTGAAAAAAATAAAACTAAAAGAATAAGCATCGCCTAGAGTATAAAATATATATTATTATTCATATTGAATTCCTTAGATAAATAGAATATTGAACTAAATCAACTAATAATAGTTATTATTTTCAATGGCAGTCAACGCAAACTATTAGTAGATAACTACGAACTACTATTTCTCTTTTTCTATTATGATATCTTGAACAAAGAAGAATAGAGAATTTTAAATAAATGTAATTTCTCTATTTTTTTTCTATTTGAATACGTAGGCGAAGAGTAGGATATCATAGATAATTTAATTAATTAATTTGATACGATCTTCTTAGTTAGAAATATATGAGAAGATTTCTATTAGCAATAGGATTCAGTGTGTGGCAGATTAGAAAATAAGAGAATAAGATTTTCATCTCGCTCTCTCTCTCGGTATATATATTGGAGATGTTTCTTTAGTCATTTTTTAAATATTTCTGTATATATTTGATGATAAGATTAAATTGTAACATAACTGAAAGTAACAGGGCATGGTTTTTCTTCTTCTTAGTATCAGAATGATTGACAGAAACAGAAAAGATGCTGCTGAGCTTAACGGATGTTTTATCTATTTTTAGTAGATGAGTTGGAAATGAAAAGTATGAAGGTTATCTATTTCATTTTTCTTAATTATATACAAGTATTCAAAGTCATCAATCTCTTCTTTTTTTTTCTAGAACTATTCATCATATCCTTTAAGCTTACTAAATATACTAACAATGACTCAGGTAATATTATTAAGATTTTTAATTATATAAACTTAATTTACTTGATTTTAGTTGATCTTTTCATCTAACTTCAATTATCAGTTTTTTACCCTACTTATTGTCATTCTTTTTTTTCTTAATAATTATCAAATATCAGCCAATAGACTGAGTAATAAACCTGATTATCAACAACTTGCCTCAACCTATAACGATTTATCTTATGAAGATATGGATGATAATGAATCCCCATTTTCAATGAGTCAAAACAACGTTTATATACCCGATTATGATGAAGTTGCAGCACGACATCCTTGGTCTCAATTATTTCATCGTCAGTCTGAGCGATCCATTTATAATACAAATTCTTATATACCACAAAAATCTGGTTTTGCTTTACGTCATAGTAAAATTCATTATAATCCAAATTTATCTCAAAAACGTTCAATTCCAATTGAACTACAAAAAGCCCTATTTGCTCATGGAATTGTAGGTCGTCGCCGTTAAAAATCACGTTTTTTTTCTTTTCAAACACTAATTACAAAAAATCTTTAAATATCAGTTTTTTTTCATCTATTATAATTCAATAAAGAAAAAAAATGATATCTGCATAAAATATAACCTATATTAAAATATGTTTTTGATTGCTCTAGATTATTATAACAATAAGAAATAATCTCGAAAAAATTCAAATGTATTTTTTTGACACGTAATCATATAGATACTACATAACTTTTTTTTTGTACTTTAAAGTTATCAAGTATACTATCTAATCTTATTCCTTGTAGGTGCTGGAAAAATCTTCTGATTAGATTGTAGTTATGTGGGAGAAGAATAATTGCACATAGGAAAAGACGTTAACAAACATTGTTATTATAATTTTATCAGGAAATGAATGGTGTAGAAAATAAAAATTATTTTTGTTAAAACACCATCAGCTGAATATATTAAGCACATAGGCGTGAACATGATAATGACAACGAACATGTTGACGCTCGGGGTTGCCTAGATTACATACAATTATGTTAAACTAAAAAGTTCTAAGACTAAATCAACAAATTAAAAATACGAACTGTCAGTTATAGTCTGGGATTGAAACAAAATCTGAATAATGAGTAAGTTAACTAAAATTTAAAATAATGGATATTTGATATACATTGTAAATACCAGAAAAATCTTGGATAGCTAATATCCTAGATTTATTAGTTTGATAATAAGAATATTAATCTGATCCTAGTATCAGTAATCTTGTTCACTCAAATTACAAATATGTTCATTATATGATAACTATTTTTAGTAGTTAATTAAGTAACTAATTAGAAAGTATATACTAAACATATCGAATTATTCGAAAAAATTTTAATTATTTCATTAAAGGATAAAGAGTATACATCGAAGATAAGTATCGGGTTAAAGATGTGCAAAAAAAGTATAATATTGAAGAACTAAATATCATATGTTATCTAGAATATTAAGTTGGCGTCGAAAACGTCAAAGAAGTATAAAGAATAAATACATCGGTAATAGGTTGAATGTCAATATGTATTTGTACAATTGAAAAACATCATATAAATAATATCAGTTATTGTTAATAAAAAATTTTCCTAAAAAAATACTATAGCCGTTTTATCATCATCATTCACACTAGCCATGAAAGATGTCAATACCAATTACTTGACAAGAGAAAATCATAGATAATATATCGAGGATACTACATATTATACTCTTCTGAGGAATAATATGAAAAATATCTTTTAGCTAACCTATGGTACTTTTGTTTATTTTCTAAATTACTATTCTATTATTATCATCGGCTATTTTGAGAATATTTAATATTAAAAATAAAACCATTCAATCTATATAATTAGTTTTCTACTAGGAAGTACTGCAAGTCCATACATACAAATACAAACCAATTGCAAAAATAAAAATTGAACGTTAAAATTATAGTAGAGCCACATGACTGAACATGGTATGATTGTTCAAGTACTCCACAATTAACTCAAATGATAAATTATCTGCGAAATTGACGGTGAATTTCTGAAAAAAAATTTTGTTTTCTGTATACTCATTTTTATAGCTAATGTGAACTTTCTATTCTTTTTCTCCCTATTAACAACTGAATAGAAATTCTTTCGTAAAAAATACACAGATATCTGTTTATTGAAACAAGCGATAATTTCAATTACAATAAACAAATGCCTGTAGCATATAATATGTATAGGCACTTACGAAATAATTAGCAAGAATGAACAGAACTGATCTTGAACTGTCTAGCAGAAAGAATCATAAATATTTTATAATATCTGTTAATTGATGATTTTCATGATCTGGATATTTTCATATACATAAGTCATTTCAATGATTTCTCCTTTTCATAGTAACTAGTAATAAATATTATATTTTAATCTGGAAAAAAAATTTAGCGCACTCAACTTAGGCAAAATTATACAAGTACAAGTGACAGAAACGTCAGTCTTGCATATTTTAGAACCAGATATTGTGATAAAATTTGACTTCTTTACAACGGAAATCCTCCTATTCTCGTGCAGGATATATTGTCATGTAAGCTAAATAGCCAATGAATAGGAATATAATATAATGATCATACGAGAAGACAAGAGTCAAAGGGTCAAACGGAGGATAAAATATAGGTAACAAATATCCTTTTTATTATAAAGAGAAATATTGAAGATTAGAAGATGCCTATACATAGAAGGTTAGGTATAAATTTATGTATATTTTACTCACTATAGTATTTGCAAGTATCAAGATGAAGATGAATGAGAAGTGCAGAGAAACTGCATAACTTTTATATACACATAGTATTAGTACTAATATTTTCTGCTGTACAATTTTCTCAGCTGACTCACTAAAACTTATCGTTTGAATAACAGCAACATCCGAATATGCTTGTATCTTGAGGGTGAGTGTGTGAGGATGTAGGTGAGAGATCAAAGAAGTATACAACAGAAATGTCTGATGGTTGTGTACCACTGGCTAGCGATTATGGCACGTACTTACAACGTACTATAAGATCAATCATAGTATAGATATTATACATATAGTCGTTTTCTATCTTTCCTTACATATATATGTTTTCTGTGGCCAGTACTCTCTATCGTTCTTTCAGGTATTTTCCAAAATATTTTTCTTGCTTTTCATAAGCAACATCTCATGGAATTTTCCAAGATATAAATGAAATCCTTTTTGGTTTATTCTAGTGAATCCTTTATAAATTGCCGTTTCGACCGTTTATGTTAATAGTTAGTTAAAGTACGATATTAAATTGAGCTATCTTAGACTATCATTTCCATTATTATTAAACAAAATGAGTTTTTGTTTTTAAATAAATTGTACTAGTTAAGCAATAGCAATAATATTATGATTGAATTGTTTCATATACTCCTTCTACTCCTCTCTAATCCAGATGTCGTCTTCTTCCAAAGTTTTTTTCAAGTGAATAAATGACTCGTCAATACTTTACATATCACATTTTTTCCTGTCAGTTTTAACCTATTGCATTATGTTTTTGATGACTGTACTACTTTAGAAAAAATAACTGAGTCATCAAAGAAAGAAATTTGAAATAACAAAAATTTTTCTTTTAAGATCATCTATCATACTTCTAAAATGCGTACATACATATCACCAACATCAATTCTAGCGAATGATGAAATGACCTATTATTTAATGAATGAAGATGATGCTCTTAAAGAAATGTCCAAACTAATCAGAGAAGCTAATGAAATTATAAATTTATCATCAACAACAATAGTACGACTATTACTTCATCATTTCAATTGGGATATAAATACATTAACTGGTAAAATAAAACATTTTAAATTTATAATTATTCATATTTCTATATTAGATCGTTATTGGGAAGATTCTGATAGATTATTTCGTAAATTAAATATTCCTAATCCAAATTCATCACCATCATCAATTGATTATAATCCACTTTCACCACCATCTAATATTGAACAAAATCCATTATCACCTACATCTTCAAATTCCAAACTTGTTACATGTAAAACGTAAGAATTATTCTATTGAAATAAAATTATTTTCGTTTGTCTTTAGTTGTTATGTAGACAAATCTTTCAATGAATTCTTTTCATTACCATGTCATCATCAACATTGTTTAACATGTTGGGAATTCTATCTTGAATCTGCTATAACATCTGATAGTAATATACAAAAAATATCATGTCCATCACGATGTAATCAAATTATGAATGATGAACAAATATATAAATTATTATCTAATAATGAACGAGTTAAAAAACGTTATCAACATATATTAATTAATACATTTATTGAAACGAATCGTTTAACACGTTGGTGTCCAGGAAATTCATGTTCAACAATAGTTAAAATAAAAACTTATTTACCAAATACTGCACAAATGATAGCATGTGATGAATGTAAAACAGTTTTCTGTTTTCATTGTTCAAAACAATGGCATGAACCAGTACAATGTACATTATTAACTAAATGGGAAAAGAAAAACCGAGATGAATCTATGACTAGTGAATGGATTGTTGCAAGTAAGTTTATTCTAACGTGTATTTCTAATAGAAGTTTCAATCTTGTCTATAATAACCTATGAGAGAGAATTCTTGCATATTTTAGATTTTCCATAATATGGGATAGAATTTTCTAGTTTTCGTATTTCTCTGTGAAAAGATTTTCAACAGAACTAAAATACTGTTTTGCAGATTCTTAGTATATATTCTAAGAATTGAATACAAAGTTTATTTATATTTCTAGATACCAAAGATTGTCCACATTGTCATGCAAGTATTGAAAAAAATGGTGGCTGTAATCATATGAGTAAGTCATTTGTTTATGTTAGTTCATAAGAAAATAAATTTCCTTCTTTTAGCTTGTCGAAAACCAGGATGTGTTTATGAATTTTGCTGGTTATGTCTCGGTATGTATACAACTGAATTTTTTTTGTAAAGCAAGTCTTTATCAGTACGGATGATTAAAGTCAAATACTATCAAATTAATCATAATTATCTTTAAGATATTTATTAGAACTTTTATTTATTTTCTTAGGTCCTTGGAAAGATCATGCATCTCGTCAATGTAATGTTTATGAAGAAGGTTCTTCAAGTAAAAATCAATTATCAGCTCGCGAAAATCTTGCGCGATATATGCATTATTTTACACGTTATCAAACACATAATCAATCACTTGAATTAGAAAGTAAACATTCAAATCAAGTTGAACAACGTATTCAAGAAATGCAAGCTGAAGCAATGTCATTTACAGAACAACAAGCTATTTATAAAGCATTTGATGTTTTACAACAATGTCGACGTACATTAAAATATACATATGCATTTGCTTATTATTTATATCGAAATAATCAAGCGGAAGTATTTGAACAGAATCAAGCTGATTTAGAACGAGCAACAGAAGCTTTATCTGGTTTTTTAGAACAAGATATTGATTCTGATAAGAAAAATTCATTAAAATTAATGGATAAAACACGTTATTGTGATCAACGAAGAAAAACTTTACTTGATCATTGTAAAGAAGGTTATACTGAACACTATTGGGCCGGTTTAGATACATATTAAACAATCAAAAAAACTCTAAAAATTAATATTTTTTTATATTCTACGATTTGATTTTGCTTTGTTTTCGTTAACTATAATGAAAAGAAATGAGTTCTTTTTATTTATTAAAAAAATAAAATTTTGTATGTTTGCCTTTATTTAAGATTATAAATCATAGATTGTACTTTCTCTTCTTTGACTATCAATAATCAGTCATATCCTATGTATATATTTATTTATTTATTATGAATTATAGTACATCAGATCAAGTTAATTTTGCTTGTTTTACAAAAAAGGATAAGAAACAATAATAACAATTCACATATATATATAGAATAAATTAAAACGTAAACATCGCTGACAAGATAATTATTTTGGCATTTTTTACTGCTACAAACAAAAATATATATTTTCTTTCTTTCTAATTTTGACGACGATTCAGATAGTCTTCTTTTGTTCATGGGATCTTTGATGAAAAACAAACGAAATAACATCATCTCGCCAGATTTGTTTTAATAATTGATCAACTAAATTACGTTTATCCCAACAATGATGCCATTGTGATAGATCACAACTACAATCAGCTTCATCAGATGGTGGTTTTATTTGCATTTGATTCATACATCGTTTACATTTAAATCTATTTGACGAAAAAAAAGAATAAAAATTATTATTGAAATAAAAAGAAAAAGAAATTACTTGTCATGAGTATCACTACGAGTATTTTCATTAATTCGAAACAAATCTCGTAATTCATCAGCGGTAAAATGTCGTTCAACATCTTCTTCTTGATCAACTACACAACTACTCAATGCTTTTTTATGTGCTTGTCGTTGAAAGATTTTTTCTTCAAGTGTACCAGTCTAAATTAAAACAGATAAATAATTAATCTTTGTAAAGAATTTCAAATTACTGAGATAAGACGATAGATATAACATTCTTTCTTCTGTCCGTCTCGCCAAACACGAGCCATAGCTTGATCATCATCTATTAACAAGAATAAAATTTTTTTTGAAAAATATCATATTTAATAAGAAATGTTTACTAGCTGGGTTCCAATCCGGATCAAACATGACCAGACGATTCGCACCGATTAAATTGAGTCCACAACCACCTGCTTTACTACTTAGCATGAAGATAAAATCAGAACTCTAAAATATGATTTTAGAGATAAAGAATAAAAGAAACATATTTATATTTACGTCAGGATTATTGAAACTATCAACAATTTTGCCTCGTTTTTTAATTGACATTGAACCATCAAGACGAACAAATTGATATCTAATAAACCCAAAAACATATGTAACAAAGTTGAAATATCTCGAACTTGAAATGTATCTAATCATCATTCTATATAGAAGAATTAAACATACCGTCGTTGTTGGCATAATTTCTCGAAAATATCTAATGTTTGTGTATAATTTGAAACAAGTACAACACGATCATTCGTTGTTGCTTTAATAACAGCAAGTAAATAATCAAGTACAATCATTTTACCTATGAAATTTATTAATTAAAAAAAATAACAACAATTGAATAAAGTTTTCTCTTACCAGATAAAACTGGATCGACAGTTTTTACATTAAAGCCTTGTGGAAATATTGGTAATAATTTAGCAAATCCATCGACTTTTTCCAAACATTTTTCAAAAATAAGTGCTGGATCTAAAATATTCGAATAGTATTCTTCTTAAATATCAACGAAAATATTCAACTTACGGTTACATAATTTCTTTAAACTAGTAATAATCGATAAAGCTGATTGAGAAAATTTTCCATTTGATGCTCCAAGTTCTGTTATACCAGTTTCAACAAATTTCTTATATAACTCAACTTGTAATGGCATTAATTTACAGCAAATAACTTGTTCAACTGAAAAAAAAGTTTTTTTTATGATAATCGATTTATTTGATGTTATCTTTTTACTTTTAACCGGTAGATATTTTGTTAATAATGCTTGTGTACGTCGAATAATACATCGATTAACTATATGATTTAATTCTTGTAATTTTTCTTGAGCTTGTTGAACTTCTTTATCACTTCCACCAGCATCACGTCCACGTCGAATTGGATTTTCAAATTTTGTTCGAAATTCACTTGCCGTACCTAGAGAGAATATCTATTTTGAAAAAAAGATTTATTGCTATTGATTGTTTTTACCAAGTATTCCACTATTAACAAAATGTACTAAACTAAAGTATTCAAGTAGATCATTTTGAATCGGTGTACCAGATAATAATACACGTCGACGACAATCAAGTTTAAATAATGCATCATATGTTTGATTTTCAGCATTTTTTAATCGATGTCCCTGAAAAATTATTTTTTTATTTTATTTAATTTGAAAATAAAATAAGATTTACTTCATCACAAATAATTAAACCAACTGAACCTTTATGAAGTATAGCAGCATGTGAACGAAATGCTTCGTAAGATATAATTAAAACAGGACTTGCTGAACGACGTGCTTGAGTAAACATAAAGTTTTCTAAAGAAATTTTTCTTATAAATATTAATTCTAACAAAAAAAAATGAAACATACTTAATTGTGTTTCAATTTCTGATCTCGTTCCACTATCAATAGGTAATGTACCAAGTCGACCATTTAACCATTTAACAACTTCTTTATCCCAATTCTATAATTTCCATAGGAGTATTATGTTTTTTGTTAAATAAATTACAAACTTTAACTAATGATGCTGGACAAACAATAATTGCTTTTTGAATTGTTGGTTTACAATCAGGTCCTTGTTGCTATAGAAAAGAAAAAAATTATCATTTATGAAATTTTATGAAAATAACTATCTACCAATAATGTCCATAAAAGTGTTATACATTGTAGTGTTTTTCCAAGACCCTAAAATAAATATTCATAAAGTTTATGATCATTTTTATCTTCAATTAAAAAAATTTACCATTTCATCCGCCATGATACAACCATGATAGTTTTCTATTTGAGCACCACAAACACTATCATACAGAAATTTCACACCCTAAAATGAAAACATATTTTTTTCTAATAAAATAAATCTAAAGAAAAACTTACTTCACGTTGATGTGGACGGAGAATTTTACATAGAACGGGATCAACAACAACATGAACTTGTACTTTATCTCTAGATTTTGAGAATACAGGTAAATAATTATTAATAAAAATCTACTGTTGCTTACTTATCAATTTTAAGTTTATCATGTTCACTTAATTCTGGTGGTGTATATAAAACAAGTGCATTTTCTTCTTCGGGATCATATAAACTTTGTCTACCACCATTACGTCTTACACCTAAACCACGACCAGATATTGGTCCTTTATAATTTGGAATTGGAATTTTAAATGGTTGATTAAGAAGTGATCGAATAAATTCTTCCTAAAAAATATTTTCATAATTAAATTTCTTTCTTTTTCCATTTACTTACATGTTCACTATTACCAGTTCCAATCGTTATCGATGGATAATTACCAATAGGTACAAGTGCTTTACGAAATGATGATACAAATTGACTTGTATCATAACCTTTATTTGAAATTTTTGCATTAGCATAAACCTTAATTTTAAAAGACAAAAGAATTGAATTAAAATAGTTTGCCTTTTTCCTAAATACTTTTTTTGGCTTTTCCTTTCGTTTACGTTTTCCATTTCTTTTCGATCCTTCATCATCATCATCATCATCATATCCATCTGAATCTTCTTCATCATCACTGCAATCAATTAAAAGTTTTGCAGCTGTACTTGGTGCAAGACTTCTTCGCTAAATAAAAATTGATTAATTAAATTATCATTTTATTCATATGAATTTTTACCATTCTTTCAACAAATAATAAATTGATCAAACTGAATTGATAACAAAGAAACTACCGCGCTTGTCCGTTATAACGACAACATTAATGACATCTATGAATATAAGTATATCCTGATTGGTTGTTAATAGAAATGTTTTCATGTCTTCTTGTGTAGATACATACCTCGAGTTTTTTTTCTTCTCTTTATCATCATTGATGAAGCATTTTTAGAGAGAAAAATATTTTTATGTTTTTAGATGGCAGCAACAACATATAGATATCGATCACATTCAAGTGAACATTTCCCATCATCAAAAGTTCAACTTCCAAAAATTCATTCTTCTCGTTCAACAGGTGCGATTGATATTAAATCAATTCTATCTTCAACTTCTTCATCATCATTTTCTCTTGATAATGAAACAAAAAATGAAAATATTATTTGTTCATCATTATCAACACGTCCATCAAATTCGGAATATTTTCGTAAATCAAATTCATTGGATTCGGGTTATAAAACATTAAGTGCAGCTAGTCATGGAACATCACATACAGATACGATTGATGAAGAAAATGAACGGCATAATAGTTTTTTACAAATAGCATCATCACCATCGTCATGTTCATCATCATCCTATGTTGTATCAAATACAAATAATAATCAAAAAATCAATTCAAAAATTGAATTTATTGTTGTTGATGATGAAGATGATGTTGATGATAAACTTCCAAGATTATCAAGAAAAAATTCGAAATCAAATGCCGATGGTAATAGAATTTTAATACGAAAAAAAAACAAATTATTCATCATACTTTCTTCTAGGATTATCATCAGGTGGTGATCGTCGTTCACGTAAAAATAGTCTTTCGAATTATTCCGTATCAAATTATAGTGTTCTTTTGAATGAATTTTGTTGTACTTCATCGGATAAAATTGATGAAACAATAATTGATGAGAAAACAATCAAGAAACGAAGCGGATTTGCTAATACAGTAGCAACATTTTTTTCATCAAAAAAGAAAGAAGATGAACAACCATCAATGGTAACACCTACAAAAAGAATTCAGCGATCAAGAAGTGTATCAGAAGCATCATTAGAAAGAACAACTATCAAGTAAGACTTTAAAGAAGCATTTCAATAATTGTTTTACCATTATAAGATTGATAATAATAAGTCTTGAACGTGACTTTCTCAAAAGTTTTATATCTTCCTAATATGAATATACGTTATAATAATAATATAGACAGACGTTATATCAATTAGTGTCATAAAATAAATGATCCCCAACGATTTTTGACATTTAACCTATTGTGTACGAGAATTTCCGCTATATCGGTCTCCTCCAATTATAGTTTTAAAATCTCATTTATGCTAAATATAACTAGATCTTCATGTTTACAAAAAAAAATGTATATACTCAACATAGTATTTTAATCTTACATGCGAATTGATTTTTGATCTATCAAATCTTTGTAACTGATAAGCATGCGAAACATTTTATCGATTTCTTTTTTTTTTATTACTTCTACTCAATAAAACAAATCATGTTTTGTATATTATTATTCAATATATAATATTACTTATTCTTATCATATGATTGCAGGAAGAAGTACTTTTAATAGCATTTACATTCGAATTTATTATTCAAATAAAAAAAAAGAATGGTTTTTTCCTTTAGTCAAGATTCTATTGAAACTGTGAGAACACTTTCAATTGAAACTACTGATGATCAAATCGATAGTGAAATTATATCGACTAAATTACCAACTACAACCACTTATACGATTCCATCCAAACCTGTAAAAATTTCTACGCAGTCATTACTTACAACATCCTCATCGTCATCATCAACTACACCAACAACACCAACTAATAACAATCAACAAACATCATCATTAAGTTGGTTATATCGTCTTTCAAATCGTTTTAATCCGTCAACATCAACAACACGTTCAACAACAAAAACAAGTAGTACCGGTTTAATATTTGAAAATCGTCCAACAAATTTACCACCGAAATCTGATAAAGAAACACTTAAACATCAAGTTGAATATCAAAAAATGTGTTTAGAAGCTAAACGTGCTCAACAATTATATGATGAAAAAGAAGAACAACGACAACATTTAAAATTAAAACGTGAAGAATTTGTTTCCAAATCATTGAAAATTTGGACAAATGAAATATTACCATATTGGGATAGATATCATAGTATAAATAATTGTCCAGATTTAATATTAAATTCGAAAGCTTATAAATTATGGTGGCATGGTTTACCACCACGTATGAAAAATAATTATTTTGTAATAAAAAAATATTTATTTATTTTGTTAAGGTATAAGAGGCAAAGTATGGAAAATGGCTATTGGAAATGAACTTGGTTTAACTTATGAATTATTTACACAACTTCAACAAATGGCAAAAGAAAAATTAGAAGAAGCAAAACAAGTAAATAGAAAAAAATATTAGAAAATTTTCGAAACATAAATTGATTTATAGGCAGAAGATGCTCGTAGTAATCATTCAGCATCACCACAATTACGAACAACAACAATTACACATGCAAGCGAAACAACAAGTTCATATATTGAACTTATTCAACTTGATGTATCAAGAACATTTCCACAACTTGGACTTTTTCAACAAAATGGACCATATCATGGTATGTAGAGAAAAAAATAAATACTAAGATAAACTTTGAAATGCTTAGCATTGTATAAATTCAATCTCGTTCTATTTAGTATATAGAGAAATAATGTCAAGTAGTATGAAATTATTACTTAAATGTCAAAAAAGATGAGATTAGAACATAAAAATATCATCATTTTCTTTTCGATTTATTGAATAAAATCCTTTATTTCCTTCATAGATTAAAGTTCTTTGTTGAAATTTTTCCGTGTTTCTATTTTTTCTCGTTCATGACTTTCACTCTTCTGTCTCTTTTTGATTAGCCCTTTTCTTTCCTGCATTGATTATCAAACTCCGCATGACAGCTGTCGTCTGAAATAATAATCTATCTGTTTTAAGGCACGAAGCTTATCCATTATGTTTCATTAACAACATACAAGGCCAACATTCCAGAAAAAGAATACGTCTATTTCAAATATCTAAATAATTAAAAAATACTAATTTATTAGTTAAGAAAAGTGAGCTTCAAATCGTTTTTCTTGAACATCACCAGTCGACTCAGCACGGTTTAGAGTATCTATTAGAGTAATCAAAAACAGATGATTATAGTTTTTCACGACAAATTACACATCCGTAAACTTCAAATTTGGAACACACTTAACTTGACCTAATTCTCTTTCTCATAGAGAAGAGTCCAGTAAACATAAATTGTCTGATTTCTTGTCTGTCCGCGGAGTCAAAAAAACATCGAAAACCTAGTTTTCAATTGTTTTTTCAGTAAATATGGGGAGGATGCATTTCTAGCTAAGCGAGTTCTCGGACGAACGTTACTTTTTTATTGAAAAATTCATTCAATTAAATTTACCTCATCATAATATCCTTTAAAACTGTTTTTCTTTTTAGAATATCTTCAATTATTACTTTGTATATATGTATATTTTTGTCCTGAAATTGGTTATGTACAAGGTCAAGCATTTCTTGCTGCAATGTTTTTATTAAATCTTGATTTATTTGATTCATTTATATGTTTTTCAAATCTATTAAATCGTCCATATTTTCAAACATTCTATCGTTTTAATAATATTGAAAAATATTTAGAATTATTTAATCAATTACTTAATTATCATTTACCTAAATTAAGTGCACATTTTATTCAAATGTCAATAGAACCAAATTGTTTTGCATTAGATTGGTTTTTTACAATTTATTCAAAATCATTACCACTTGATGTTGTTTCACGTATATGGGATATATTTTTTCGCGATGGTGATGCATTTATATTTCGTACAGCCATTGCTATTCTATCTCTATATGAAGAACGTTTATGTCAATTGGATACATTTCATTGTTTACAATTTTTAACACGTTTACCTGATGATTTAAATGTTACATCATTATTTAAAGCAATTGATAAAATTAATTTTGATCATACAAATTGTGAATTATTTTATTTAATTGCTTAAATGAAAAGTTTTGTTTTATTTTTGCTCAGATATAGATATAGAGAGAACAAATTGCAATATAAAAAAAATCATTTTTATCTCTTTTGTGCACAACCAAATCATTGTTTCTGTTCTAGTCTATTTGCACAAAATTCTTTCGCATTTATTAATATCACTCACGTCGTTCTTCTTCTTCTTCTTTTGTTTGTCTCTTTCTCACACGCTCACATTTTGATTATTTGTTTTTTCTTATTTTGATGTGATATGATTATCTCTCTATTCTATATTTTTTATTAAAATATTCACTTGTCTATTGCGTTAATCATTGTATAATTGTTATTTTAGAATAAAAGGAATAAAAAAAATAACAAGAAAAAAAATGAATGATTCAAATTTCTAATTGATTATTAAGGATTATTAATAATTATAAGATTTATTATTTACAGATGGCTGGTATACAATCAAATTTTGATTTTATTTCATCATATTGTGAACCAACATTTAATGTTGAAAAATATCAATCGAAAAAAACAGGCATGAAATTATATCATATTAATGTACCACTACCTTCAATTAAACTTGAGATATGTGTACAAACAAAACCATATGATGATACAGGTTGTCCACATACATTAGGTAAATTTATTTTTATTTTAAGAACAAATATATCATAAGATTTGTTATATTATATGACAGGATAACATTTGTTGATCTAGAAGTATGTAAGCATATTGTTGTTGTCGTTGTTGTTTAGTCGATTTTGACTTTTCGTGGTCTGTCGGATATTAATTGCCCATATATAGAGATGCGCAGTTTCAGTGCAAATACCGAAAAACTGTCACTTTCAGCCCTGACAGTCACGTACCGTAGCACTGACACTGGATTCACTGATGCTGTGGATTCACCTGGTAGCGTCGGTATCCGGGCAGTTCCACTGCATCAGTGAACTCGGTGTTAGTGCTACGGTGCGTCACTGTCGGTGCTGACAGTGCACGGTTTACTGACACTACGCATCCCTACCCATATAGGCTTTTTTGGCAGAATTTAGGAGTGGATCATATTTAGTTTGATCCCTCGGCTGTGTTATGTCCGCCATGAGTAATCCTTCTGGGAGTAGGTTCTCCCTGTGCTGTATCCCGTAGCCTCTTTGGGATACACAAGCCCCTTCATCGTGGGCAACGTAACGATCATAACAGGCAGCGTTTTTCGCAATAAAATATCTGTAGAATACTTTTATATATTATATTAAAATTCATTCAATCGATTGATAGATATTTTAATACTTTGAAATATATTTATCAGAACAGATATTCTTATTATTTAGAACATTTAATTTTTATGGGTAGTCGTAAATATCCACAACAAGGTTATCTTGATTATATTTCTGCTCAACATTATTCATTGGGTACAAATGCAACAACTTATCGTGATATGACAACATATGAATTAACAACTGTTAATCATCAATCATTAGCTACACTTTTACCTGTTTATCTTGATCACGTATTTAATCCTTTATTAACCCATGATTGTTATTTAACTGAAGTACATCATATATCCGGTGAAACAGGTGATGATGCTGGTGTTGTCTATAGTGAAATGCAATCAAGTGAAAATCAACCTGATGAAATTCTTTTATATTCTATATTACGTGATTTATGGTCAGATAAATCACCATATTATTATGAATCTGGTGGTCGTCTTGAATCTATACGAAATGAATTAACATTAGATAAAATAAAATTATTTCATCAAAAATTTTATGTACCAAAAAATGTTGCAATTGTTTTATGTGGTGGTGGTATAAATATAGATGAAATTTTACAAATATTAAATAATTTTGAACAAGAGAATTGTTTTCAAAATGAAAATCGTCATAAAATATCATTTGATTATTCATTAGATGAAAATCTTCGAAAAAAAATTAAATCTGATAATGATAAATTTCCTTTTATAAAAATAAAACGAGCAAGTCTTGATGAACAATCAATTTCATCCGAGAAAAATATTGAAATAAATCCAATATCAATTGATACAACAAAATTATCCGTACAATTAACAACTGTTGATGGAAATGATTCATCATTTTGTGATTCAGAATTAATGGTTTCACATGGAGATTCATCAGCTCCATCATCACCATCAACATTATGGCAACCAATTGAAGTAGATAATTCAATACATCAACGTAATATGAATGAATATAAAGAAATTTGTTATCCAGTTGAAGATAATGATGAAAATTTAGGACAAGTAGCATTTGGTTATCGATTAGAATCAGTTTATGAAATGGAAATTTATACAGCACTTGATGTTTTATTAACAACATTATTTGATGAGGATATTTCAATTTTTTATAAAGAATTTATTGAAGTACCAAATATGCTTTGTTCATCAATTGATCATGATTGGTTAAATTATCCGGAAAGAGTTTTAACAATTACATTTGAAGGTAAAGAAAATCAACTCCTACGAAATTTTATTCAATACTTTCTAATTTCTTTATTTAGGTGTTGAAGTTGATAATTTAACCATGGTTGCAGATAAATATTCATCTGTACTTTATTCAATTATTAATAACCCACAAGATAATCAACAATTATATATTCAATTACAACGAAATATTAAAAAGACAATTGATTTACATTTAAATGAAATTGAAAATGAACCATTCAGTTTTCTTACAGATTTATGTTGTTTAGATCATATATCAGAATTATCTATACCAAAATTAAATAATAATGAAAATGATGATGAACAACATTTACATAAATTTTTACGAAATAAAAAATATTTAGAAAATTTATTCACTCAACCAATTACATATTGGCATGAACTTATTAAAAAATATCTTTTAGAATGGAATTCATCGAAAAGAACAATTATTCTTCTTAAACCAAGCAATGAACTATTAATTGAACAGCAAGGTAAGATATTAATATTTTCTATGGAATATCATCGCATTGAACTAATACAATGAATTATTTTTAAATACATGATGAAGAATGCAGATTCTGACAGATCGTTTGTATGAATATCTAGAAACATTGAAATGATTCCGTACAAATATTTCTTTGCTAAAATATAGACGTGACTCACGTCTATATTTAGAGATGTGCGGGACCAACCTTTTTTGGTCCTAGTCCCGATCATGGTCCCGATCCCGGTCTTGCTAAATTTTTTTGGATACCGGCGGTAGTCTCGGTACAGCTTTTCTTTTGGTCCCGGTTCTGACAACTAGGAGCGGGACTAGTCCCGCACATCTCTAGACATGATAGATAATTTCATTATAAATTGTGCAATAGATCATTCAAGATTAGCCATATGTTCAAACTCTTCTCTTTGATTGAAAACTATATGGATAAATCTTCGCACTATAAATATAGAAGGACATCTACCGTTAAAAACTAAATGAAGAATAGGCTTAAAAGCTATTTGATTCTTGTATTTGACTCTATGACACAATATTGTGTCACATACTTTCAATAAATAACAATATAATCCTTTACTTGAATAAATATTTCTTTGAATCATCGAATCTCTTTTATTTAGAACAAGATGAACAACGAATATCTGAACGTCTTGAATTTCTTGGTCCAAATGGTCTTAAGAAATTAAAAACTGAACTTGATCAAGCACGTGCTAATAATAAACAATCTTCATCTAATTGTGCTAATATTCCACATACATCCACTTCATTTGATAACCAATTACATCTACCACCAATAGAATATTATTCCAATGATAATGATATTGATTTATTCCATACTCCAACAAGTCATTTTGTTAAATATACATTACATATTCCATTAAAAAATCTCTCGCCAGATCTTCAATTATATCTTCCACTTTTTTCTCATTTACTTTTTCATACATCTATTCAATATGAAAATATTCACTTAGATAAATTTAATTTTTGTGAACGTATATCTCGTGATATACTTGATTGTAGTGTAACAAATGGACAATCATCATCATCTCCTATACAATCAAGTTATGTTTATGGGCATTATATTGATACATTTACAATATCATTACAATCATTAAGTAATTTAGAAACCTATAAAAATACAATTGATTATTATCGTTATGCTCTTTTTGGAACTTTGTTTAATGATTATAATGTAATTCTTGAAGAATGTGAAAAACAATTAAAGAATCTCATTGAAGCAATTCAAGATGGTCATACAATTCATCAAGTATATTTTAATTCTTTACTTTATTCAACAAATTCCAATAGTTATTATCATCAAATGAATATATTTTTACAAAAAAATCTTTTTGAAAAAATTTGTAAACAACCAGAGAAATATAAGAAGGAAATTCTTTCAAAACTTGAAAAAATTAAATCATTTATTTTAAAAAATTTATCGCATATGCACTGGTCTATATGTGGAAATATGGAATTAATTAAAGGTAATTGGCAAATTATGGAACAGTTTATTAACGAAAGTAAAATTAAAAGTCAAATAGATATTGAAAATTATGAAATTAAAGAAGTAAAAGGAAAACATATTCCAATATTATCACCGGCGACAATTATGGGAAGTCCACATGAAGAATCCGGGTAGGTCTTTTTTAAGATATCATTGAGAAAGAATGGTTATATTAAACTAAATAAGTGTCAATATAAACAAAAAATCATACTCGAAAAGGAGAATATTCAATAGCATTGCAATAAAACTATCGAGTATAGATAGAGATATTATTGTAGATAAGAACAGAAAATAACAGGTATTACTTATTCGCTTGATTTTACATGAGAAATAAACATATGTTCGTACTTTAATATAACACAGTTAATCTAAAAAGGGAACTATTCAAGATGAAATATACAGCTCTGATTCATTCATATCTCGTTTGATAGAACATATCGAAGTAGTAAAAGATCTAAAAATGTGTCTTCGTTCTAAAGTTATCAATTTTACTACATCTTCGACTTATTTCTAAGTATTTATCTGTACACCAAATTATGGAATTTTGCTCATAGATAGATCTAATGATCCTTAGAATATATGTTACTCGAAATACTGAGTTTTTAAAAATTCAATATCTCGAATATGGAATATTCTAAGGATCATCAAAACTACATATTACTTTTAGATTTTTTACTTTATCTTAAAACAAAGAATCTGTAGAATAGTAATTAAATGTAGATAAGTGAGAGTAGTATTACAGATAATAAAGAATATCATGTATTAGATGATTCTCCTCTTATTAGGAATGACTAGAAAAAATGGGAATTATTTGTAATGACACAACAAGAGAAATTCGTTTATTTACGCTTATGATCAGAACTAAAAGAAAGTATAAATATTTGAAAGAATTTAAAGATATATTTGGTTACACTAAATTTTTGTATAATAAAGGTATCTAAACAATCTCAAAAATCAATTATTCATACTGATATATTTAGTATGAATTGAGTTCGTTTGCGTCTGTTCGTATCAATTTTTTTGCTTATAATTTAATTATGACTTTTCATAAAAGTGTAGTCTATATTAATTTTAATGTATAACCAAATTAACTATTTGATTTCATTTAGTTATGTTATACGTTGGACACGTCTTTCAATATCTCAACAAGATTTCATTCCACTATTAATCTTTTCAAATTATCTTGATATGGAAAATGGTCCTTTATGGACAGCATGTCGTACAAATGGTTATGCTTATGGTGTTGCATTTGATTTTGATTTTGAAGCGAATCTCATTCTTCTTTCAATAAATCAATGTTCTCAATTAAAATTAGCATATTCAAGTGCAATGGAAACACTTAAACATCTTGTTGAACAAAAAACAAATTTAGATGTACAACGATTAAATGCTGCACGAAATTTAACTATTTGTATGCTTACTGAACATTTAGCAACACTAGGTCGTGCAACAGGTGTTTGTATTCGTTCATATCTTAATACATATTCTATTGAAAAATATCAAGATTTATTGAAAGATATCAATGCATATAAATGTAATGAAACTGTATTCTTAGAAATTATTGAAAAATATTTATCACCATTAGTTAATCATACTCAATCATCAACATTAATACTTGTTAATACAAATAAAATGAAAGAAACACAGGAATTTCTTCATAAAGAACATGAAATTAAAAATGTGATATTAATCAAAGATGTTGTGAAACATTTGTGCCGTTAAACAAACAAATAAAAGACAGAATTTCATTGACAGTATTATTCTTTATCTTTATCTTTTCTTTTTTTTTTTTTAATAAATTGGGAAAAAATAAAACATAAAAAATTTCATTTATTTCAATATCATTTATATTCTCTTCAGATGTTTACAAGACAAAGTCATCTAATTAAACTATTCGTTCAAAGAAGTATTGACAATTTTCTATTCTTAATAGTTATAAAAGAATATATAAATTTCTTGTAGCGAACCTTTTTCAACAATGTGCAATGTCAACAAATATTGGTTCATCACTTTTTACATTATCAGAATCTCATGAAATGCTTAGAAAGACATGTCGTGATTTTGCTGATCGAGAACTAAAACCAATTGCTGCTAAACTTGATAAAACTCATGAATATCCAACAGATATTGTTTGTTTAAAAAAGAATATGAAAATACAATAATCGAAAGATATATATTTAGGTTAAAAAATTAGGTGATCTTGGTTTAATGTGTGTTGAAGTCGATGAAGAATTAGGTGGTTCTGGTTTAGATTCACTTGCGTATGCTATTGCTATGGAAGAAATATCACGTGGATGTGCTAGTTGTGGTGTTATTATGTCTGTTAATAATGTAAGAGTTTAATATTTATAAGAATAATATACTATATCATATTTTAAGTCTCTTTACTTAGGACCTATAACAAAATATGGTAATAAACAACAACACGAACAATTTGTTAAACCATTTCTTAATGGTGAACGAGTTGGATGTTTCGCTCTATCTGAACCTGGTTTATTCTTAGTGTCTTTTTTTCGATAAAATTAATTTTTTATATTATTTTAATAGGTAACGGTTCTGATGCTGGTGCAGCAAGTACAATAGTTAAAGAACATAATAAAACCAATTATATAATGAATGGAACGAAAGCATGGATGTAAATAGATACATAAAAAAATATTTATTAAATTTCAATTTTTTTTTAATTTTCAGTACAAATGGATATGAAGCTGAAGCAACAGTTGTCTTTGCTACAACTGATAAATCACTTAAACATAAAGGCATTAGCGCATTTATTGTTAAAAAACCTACAGATGGTTTATCATTAGGAAAGAAAGAAGATAAATTAGGTATTAAAGCTAGTTCAACATGCAATCTCATATTTGAAGATTGTATTGTGCCAAAAGAAAATTTACTTGGTAAACAAGGTGATGGATTCAAAATAGCAAGTATAAAAACAAAAAAAAAACAAAATTTCAAGTGTAAAATACTCTTTATATTATTAGTGGCAACACTTGATTCAGGTCGTATTGGTATTGCCGCACAAGCATTAGGTATTGCTCAAGCTGCACTCGAATGTGCACTTGATTATGCACGAAAACGTGAAGTATTTGGTAAACAATTGACTCAATTACAAGCTATACAAATGAAATTAGCTGGTAATATATAACCTATTTTGCTTCATATAATTCGTTTCTTTGTCTAGATATGGAAGTGCGTTTACAATCAGCTCGTTTATTAACATGGAAAGCGGCTTCATTAAAATCTCAAGGTGAATCATATACGAAATTTGCTGCAATGGCAAAATTAGCTGCATCGGAATGTGCTACTTTTAATGCTCATCAAGCTATACAAATCTTAGGTGGTATGGGTTATGTCAGTGATATGCCAGCTGAACGTCATTATCGTGATGCACGTATAACTGAAATATATGAAGGGACAAGTGAAAGTAAGATTTTATTATCTGATAATTAAAGTTATTTTTTATCATTGAAATAATTAACTAATTTTATATTTCTTTTTAGTTCAACGATTAGTAATTGCTGGTAATCTTATTAAAGAATATAGTGCAACAAATGCTTAAAATTTTTTCCATTTTACTGTTAAAAAAAATTTTTTAAAAAATAAACGAATTAATTCAAGTTTATTTTTATGATACTTTTCTTTATAATTACTATTAAAATAATAAAATATCAAAGGAATATTAACATTATGGTTTTTCATATAGAATCGAGATGAAAATATTATCTAGACGTCATACTTTAGTATAAAATACAGAGATACTATTTTTAAAAATACGTAATAACATACAATAAAATGAAAGAATCATCAAAGGTTTACTTTACAATCATCAATTTGAAAAAAAAATAATAATATTTTTCATAAGAAGCATGGCATATTCAAGGTAGTCTAACAATGATTGGTTGTAGTTGTTTTGATTAGTTGCTACTCTTATTAGTTATTTACTTACCATCAACACATTATACAAATGATTAATGTTCACAACAAGAGTCGACATTGAAGTCATTTTCGTTTATGTGATTCTAAAGCTTCTCGACAACATCATTAATGGGATATATTGAATGACATAGAGAGAAAAAAACGAGTAAAGATCAACAGATGTAATGTATTTCTTTTTCTTTTTTAAAAAAAGAAACGATATTTGAACAACAAACGATAAAAATTGTTGTTGTTACTATAAGTGATGTTATTTAGTTAATAATAAAAGCCATTTGCTCTTATTATAACAGTTAGATATTTTTGTAGAAATATTATTCAAACTTTTGAATAAGTGGAACAGTAAGAAACGTTGCAGGATATTTAGTTTCGAATTGGAAGTATATACAAACAGAATAGTTTCTTTTTCGCTGGATATATATTAAATATCACTGGACTTAAGTATATGATCATCAAATTTCATTGTGCAATAATCACCTTGCGTATCTATTGAGAATTTAGCATCGATTAATCTCGTTTGATTTATTCGGATACAGAATGATAGTATTGCATAAATGTACAGTAAGTAAAAAGATAGAATCAAAAGAACATTATTAGTAAAAATAAAACAGTCAGAGATAGGTAAGGTCTTTTATACTTTTGCTTATCGATTAATAGCCAAGAGTCTCGAACTAACTATAGTAGTCTTTTATTTTCGATAATCAGATTAGTGAAATCTTGATAATTTAAGTTTTATTGATATCTCTGGAGTACTTTGATTTATTTCGAACAATTCCATATCCTAATTTTTGTATAGTTTAAAAAAAGTAAACAAGTTTTTTTTTTACAATTTTTTAATAAGTAAAAAAAAGTAATTTAAATAATAGTGTGTAAAAAATGACAGAATCAATTAAATTCTTGACTTTTGTCAGTCTATAGGAATTTTCTTTTTCCTTTTTTTTCAAAATTACTTCCGTCATATTTTGAAATAAACAATTTATTTTTTTTTATTTGATTAACTAAGATGACAATTGCGAAACAATAACAGATCTAAAATCAACAATTTCATCAACTGGCAGTTATCCAGTATGATAGAGAGCGAAAAAATGACTAAAAATTCAACTATTCCTCCAACTGGCTTGAATCATGCCAGTGCACGTAAACAACGTATTGAAAGTTGGGCATCGAAAAGACAAAATTCCATAAATCGTGGTATCGCAACAGCAGCATCTACTTTATTAGGAACTGCAGCAGCACAAAAACGTTCGGAAAGTTCATTTACACAAGCTAATCGTATGCTTAATGTTCATTTACTTCAATTAAGTGAAGAAAGACAAAAAATAATTGAACAAAGAACGTTCGATCAAAAATTATTTGCTAATAAACAAGCAATAAAACATAAAGATAATCAAGTTGTACTTGAGTAAGAAATTTTTCTTCAAAATTAAAAAATAATAAAATTTTTTTATTTATATCAATTTAGTACATTGAGTTATGTACGAAAATGTTGTAGATATGTTGATACAAATGATTATAAAATAGAATATCCTGATCCACTTGCACATCCAACAAGAAAATCTAAAACGAAACGAGGTCTTTCACGATCATCATCCGTATCTGCTAAGTCATCATCAAGTAAACGAAGTTTATCTGCTAGTACAAACAATCAAATAAATACATCATTAACAGAAATATCTCCTGAACTAGATGATTTATCACCTGCAAATCCAAAACCAGTTGAAAATGAAATAACGGATAATGTGGTATGTATGTTAATATATTTTTTGGTTTTGATCAAATATTCGAAAGGATAAAAAAAGAAAAGTCTGCTTTTAACAATCAAAATGTTTATGTAGGGAAAAATAATAATAATATAGTTCTTATTTTCTTTAGGCAACTCCTACAATGTCAAATGAAACCTTAATTGATGATGATTCACAAAAACGTCACGTTCAATTTCAAATCCATAGTGATAATACAATTTTAATTAATGAAACGACTCCATTGATGAATAAATCGAATTCATACAATGAAAATAAACATATGAAACGAAATATAACCTCTGCACCTACGGTTCGAACATCAAATTCATCCTATGATATGCGTTCAACAAATTCTGCTCCTTCATGTAAAACAGAATTATCAATAATCGGTTATTCAAAAGAAAAAATCAATCAATCATTGAAATCTAAACGATTTATACCACAAATAAATTCAGCAAAACCTTCTGTACAAGAATTTCGTCTTCATCCTGAAAAATTTCTAAGTGCATCTAATTGTTATCTACCATTACTTCGTCGACATGCTATAGAAAATGAAACAAAAGAATATCTTACTAAACAACAAAAAGAAAAAAATAATAATCTAACTAAAAAACAACAAATACATTTTTCACCATCACTTTCACGTCTTTCAGCTGAATCTGATGTTGTATTCGATGATGCAAAATCATTTCTTAGTGAAGATAATGAAATTGGGTTTGTTTAATTCATATTATTTAATTATTTTTATTTATTTTTGTTTCAATATATAGAAAATATACAAGTCATTCACAATTATCTCATTCGAATGAACAAGAACGTAAGAATAGTAAAAAACGTCTACCAACTAAAATTGATATGATGGATAATACTTCTGATGATTCTCTATCACATACAATAGCTATGACACGACTTCGTGATCGTGAATATGCTCGTTTAAATGAATTAGTACATTCAAATCTTATTGAAAAAATTCTTGAACCACTTTCAACAATAAAAAATGATGAAAATGAACAAATCAATTTAAAACAAGAAAAAACTTCCAATAATAATAATAAACAACAATTGAATACATCAAGCAGAGCACGTCAACTTGCTGATATTTTACGTTCAATTGATTCATTATCTTGTTCGGATATGACTGAAAAACATCATACACGAAAAGATGTTGATGTCGAACAAAATCAAGCAAAACTAGGCATTCTTATTTTTTAATAATTCGAATCGTTTTTGGTTTTTTTTTATACTTTATTCTGAATAAATAAGTTCATCATTAAATCTATATACGTATATATTATGTAGCTAATTTGAATAAATAGCGATTATTTATTTCTGCATGAAATTTTGTCTAATATAAACAAGAGATTAATCGATATTCATTTGTGAAATAAGTGAAAACAATATTCAAATCTATTCATGATTACTAGCCATTAATCTAATCTCTTTTAAATTGTGAAAAAAAAAGATAAACGTTTTATTAATGCCTATCTATTCGGTTTTTTTGCATATAAGAATAATTGATCTCTATTAAGACCGTTTTATAAGACGGAAACGCGTCCGATAATGATCATATCGGCAATAGGTAAATAATGCTTTTCATTTATACATCCGGCTTTGTAAATCCAAAATCATTTGCATTCTAATCAGCGCAATACAACAATAAAAAAAAGAAAGAAATAGGGTATTTCTTTCTCAATCTCCTTGAGTCTATCTAAATGGAAAAAGATCGATTTTCTTATTGTTCATTTTTCTCTTTTTCTTTCTCATTCTGACACAACATTATAGATAGCCCTTTAAGGTACAATCTTTATATATTGAGAAAAGTGCGCATTCACCAGAACTAAGACAAACTACAGATTGACATTAAAGAACAAAGCATTTAGTATATGCTCGTGACAAAAAGGGAAATTCATAATGATATTCTCCGATTGCCCTAACATTACTTTTTTTGTCGTTTGAAAATCTGTCACTGTGCTCAATTATTGAAAAGACGTTCGGGCAAAAAGAAAGAGAGAGAGTGAGAGAGAAAGACGATAGAATAAACGACAAACCACCAATCTCGTCGATTAAAAGCTTTTTCTATCTTTTGAATAATATGAAAGATTGAATAGAAATCTTCTTGCTTACTTTTTATTCATTTTCATTTTTAAAATTTTATATTAACATGATTATTATATAAATATAACACCTATCCCAATGGTTAAACGTATTTTAAGTCATCATAGTATCAATACTGCCGATCGTAAGTTGTTAATATTGATATTAACCAGAACATATGTCTTTCTTTTTTTTGATACAGGCGATGAAAATGATATGGCACGAAGAGATTTATTGGAATGTAGTCCACTAACAGATAAACGTGCAAGTTCAGCACCTATGATAGATAATGGTTTAGCTATTGACGATGAAGAAGAAGAAGATCCTCATCATCTTGGTGTAAAAAAGAAACAGAGTATAACTATAATTAAGGTTAAAACAACTGAATTAGCAATTAATAAATCAGGTGCAGAATTAACAGAACCACGTGAACAATGGAGCGAAAAACTTGATTTTCTTTTATCTATTATTGGTTTTGCTGTTGATCTTGCTAATATATGGCGTTTTCCATATTTATGCTATAAAAATGGTGGAGGTCTGTTAAGCAATACATATATTTCTATATATATATTTATTATTTTATTTTTAGGTGCATTTCTTATTCCATATGTTCTTTCAGTTATACTCGGTGGTATGCCTCTATTTTATTTGGAACTTTTACTTGGACAATATTATCGACAAGGTGCAATAACATGTTGGAGAAAAATTTGTCCATTATTAGCTGGAATTGGTTGGGCTGTTACTATAATTGCATTTTATACTGATTTTTACTATAATGTTGTCATATCATGGGGTTTATACTATTTATTTTCATCACTCAGAAAAATATTACCATGGAGTGAATGCCGTATGTAATTCTCTCATATTATTTTGTTTGTTAGAAAAATACTAAAAAGAATTCAATATTTAGATCATCGATGGAATACAAAAGATTGTTCAACAGTTAAAACTCGACGTCAATTTTTAGAGAATTGTATTAATCAATTCAATGAAACATTTAATAATACAATCGATTATTTAGCAACAAATTATAATGAACAAAAATCATTTGAAAAAAGTAATTTATATGAAAATTGTTCAGAATTATTAACACAACAAAAAATTGTATCACCAGCTCAAGAATATTTCCAGTAAAAATATTAACAAAATTTATTCGATATGAATTTCTTTTTATTTCTTAGTTTACAAGTTTATCGTTTAAATCAAACAAGTAACCTTAGTTTAGAAAATTTAGGAAATATCAACTGGGAAAATGTCGGTTGTCTTGGTCTTATCTATCTTATCTGCTATTTTTCAATGTGGAAAGGTGTTAAATCATCAGGCAAAGTAAAATATCATAAAAAAACCTCATAACAAAATTTGTTGTTTTTTTAATATATTTTTCCTTTCTTTTTTTTCAAGGTTGTTTGGTTTACTGCATTATTTCCTTATGTTGTATTAACAATTTTAATGGTACGTGGTCTTTTCCTAAATGGTTCAATGAAAGGTATCGAATATTATATACGTCCAGATTTAAGTAAACTTAATGAAGCATCTGTATGGGTTGATGCAGCATCACAAACATTTTTTTCATTGGGACCTGGTTTTGGTGTATTAATGGCATTTGCAAGTTATAATGATTTTCATCATAATGTTTTTCGGTATGTTTTAATTTCTTTTTCTAAATCATATTAATATAATTTTCTTATTTAGAGATGCAATGATAACTGTAGCAGTCAATAGTTTAACAAGTTTTGCAAGCGGTTTCGTCATATTTATGTTTTTGGTAGATGAAAAAAAAAATTTTTTTTGTATTATTAAGATGAATTTGATTTGATTTTGTTTTCTAGGGTTATATGAGTGAAATATCAGGACGAGCAATAAAAGATGTTGCTGAACAAGGATCAACACTTGTATTTATTGTCTATCCAGAAGCTATCGCAACGATGCCATGGGCACCTGTTTGGGCCGTATTCTTTTTTCTAATGTTATTAACACTTGGTCTAGATTCATCGGTATAATTTATTGTTCATTTAAAAAAAACATCAAAGGTCTTGATTTCTTTCATTGTTTGATTATCTCTAGTTTGGCGGAAGTGAAGCAATAATAACAGCATTGAGTGATGAATTTCCGGTTCTACGACGACATCGAGAGTGGTTTGTTGGAATCCTATTTTTATTCTACTTTATTGTCGGAATTCCAAGTTGTACGGATGCCGGAGTTTATTTTGTAGAATTATTACAAAATTATGCGGGTAGAAAAAAAGACTTTACTTTTTTTTTGGATATTTATTTTATATTTCGTACATTTAGCATTCTATTCAATTATTATCGCAGTCTTTTTTGAAGCAATAGCGGTATCATGGTTTTATGGTATAGATCGTATAAGTGAAGATGTTAAACAAATGCTCGGTTCGAAACCAGGACGATTTTGGCTTACAACATGGTGTGTTGTTGCACCTATATTTCTTGGAGTAAATTACAAAATATTTCAATTATTCGAAAAAAAATTTTGTTTTTTTTCTAAAAGGGTATTATTCTTTCGGGTTTAATTCAACATCAGAGTCCGTCGTACGGAAAACCAAGTGATCCATTTTTTTATGAGGTATTAACTTTTTTTGGTTATTTATTAAAAAAAAGATTAATATTAATTTATTTTAGTATCCAGCATGGAGTCATCTCCTTGGTTGGATGTTTGCATTATCATCGATAATATTTATTCCAGCTGTTGCTATTTATCAATTATTAATTGAAAAAGGATCATTAGCTCAGGTAAGAAAAATAAATTTATATATTATTTTATTATTATTTATCTATTTAAATAGCGATTTCGTCTGGCTACAACACCATGGAAAGATCGACAAAATCAAAATCCTGATATCCTTATAAGTACAAATCATGTAGCAACAAAATATATTACAGAAGAAACAATTTAAGAAATATTTTTTTTATGGTGTTTTGTCTATTCAAACTTTATAATAATCTTTTTCTTTTTTTCTTATTGCTCTTTTTCTCTGTTGTTTGTATACACGTCTATCTCTTTCCTTTGAACACAAAAATTCTCTTTCGTTTCACATTAGCATATTTTATTTCGGCAAGGTCATTTGTATACATTGTTCTCTTTTATTTTCAAAGAAAAGTTGCACTTCAAATTCTTTCTTTCTTTTTTTTCTTCTAATCTCAAACAAGAAAACCAATCAAATCCTTATCTAAGGTCATCACTTCTTTGTTTGATTACTTATGTCATCATCTATCTCAATCAAACAAACGTCTTGTTGTATCATTTCAACTATGTTGACATTTGAACAGGATCAACTTTCGTATACATATTCTTTCGATCAACCTACTTTGCATAAGAAAAAAGGATCGTTGATCATTATCATTAAAATCACTTGATAAAAAAAAGGTCTATTGAATAGGAGTAGTTCTATTCACTGATGAAGGTAAGAAATAAGAATATTGAAAAATTCTTATATCGATCAATTCATTTAGATTTTTCTATTTATTATTTGTCTTCATTTAATTTCTTTGTCTATCGATGCTGGTAAATACAGATGAATGAATATTGTAATTTATTAAGTTATTCATCTTTTTTTTCAAAGAAGAATTTTGTGAAACAGACGATTGTCGTCGTGGCGATTGTGAGTTAATACGACATTCCGATGGATCAATAAAGAAAGCGTGTCATTGTGCTAAAGTAGATATACAAATTGAACTTTTTCTTTTGAAATTAATTAAATACTTTTTTTTTTGCTCAAGAATGTTTGCGGTGAAACATGTCAACGTCTATGTAATACCACTTCTGTATGTGATATTAATCCATGTTGGTTTGGTGGTATATGTGTTGATGTAGCCAATCATGATTTCGTTTGTTTATGCCCACCGAATCATTCTGGTAAAGATTGTCGAATATTACTTTCATGTCAAACAAATAGTTGTTTAAATAATGGAAAATGTTTTCAAACTGGTTTGTAAAAGAAAATTCGATTTGTTTGAATTAAAGAAAATCTATTTTTTTTTTAAGTTTATGGTGCACGATGTAATTGTACGGAAGATTATTCTGGTGATTATTGTCAATATAAAAAAACGAAATTAAAAGCTAAATCAAATGATGATTTACCACATGTTGAATATAAACAATTTGATGCTGAAACATTAGCTGTTATTGCTAGTTTAGGAAGTACATCAAATGATAATAATAATCAACGAAAAAGTGATCTAACTGATAGTGTTATTGTACCAGCAAGTAATCATTCACAATTTGTTTTTTGTTTAACCAATCCATGTGAAAACGGTGGAACTTGTTTTGTAACAAATACTGCAACAACAAAAGTTAGAGTTTATAAAAAAAATATAGTTCAATAGATGAAAACGTGTATGTGTATATATATAGGGAATTTGTGTATGTCGTGATGGATATATGGGTGATTATTGTGAAATCTTATTGAATAATACAATAAATGGTCTTAAAATTCCAACGGGTTATTGTTCATCAAGTCCTTGTTTGAATGATGGAAGTTGTGTTGAAATTGGAGATTTACAAGGCTATTGTCGATGTACAGCAGAATATCGAGGTCTCTATTGTGAAATATCTGTACGTGCTGTTAGTTGTAATCCAAATCCTTGGTAAGAAACGAAAAAGTATGAAAATAACTTCTATTTTTTTAATTTTTAGTAAAAATGGTGGAACTTGTATTTTATTAGAAAATAATCAAGGTAAATATTTTGAAACTTTTTTTTGTAAATTTATTTTATTGAAATTTTCTAGCACAATGTTTATGTACACCCGTATTTCGTGGTTTAACTTGTAATCAATTTAGTTATGTACCATGTGGAGATGCAACATGCCATGGTACACAGGTAAAAAAAATTTCTTTGTTTTAAATTTAATTTTAATATAAATGATTATTTCTATTAGGGTATTTGTGTAGCAAATAAATGTATTTGTAAAACTGGTTTTGCTGGACCAAGATGTGATTCAACAGATTTTTGTTCAGCATATCCTTGTTTAAATGGAGGTACATGTATTCGAACGAATGAAGAACCATATGGTGGTTGTAGTTGTCCAGTGGAATTTTCAGGACCAACATGTAGTAATGATCCATGCACTCCGTCACCCTGTTTGAACGGTGGTTATTGTATACGAAAACCAGATAATCAATTCTATTGTCAATGTCGTAATAAAAATAAAGGAGTTTATTGTGAACGTAAGTTTATCTGATCTATAAATAAATTTGATTTAATTTAATTTATATAGAGGTGGAATGTTTTCCATCGGATGCAACTGTTGATGTACTTAATAATGGTAAAATATCATTATCATCTTTACAAATTGGTACACAAGTTCGTGTTATAAATGAAGAAAATCAAATAATTTATTCTCCAATTATTGCTTTTCTTCATCGTGAACTTGATGAATATGCTTTATATAAACGTATTCAAACAAATAATTCATTTATTGAATTATCAAAACGACATTTAATTCATCATCGTAAAAATGGTTTTATCTGGGCAGAAAATTTAATTGAAGGTGATGAAATACTTGTTTCAGCATCAATTCATACAAATGAAACACAATGGGAAGAAATTGTGGATATAACTGATGTTTATAAACAAGGTCTTATGGCTCCATTAACTGAACAAGGAACTATTATTGTTAATAATATTCATGCTTCATGTTATGCTCTAGTTAAATCTCATAGAGTAGCTCATTTTGCATTAGCACCATATCGATTATATCATCGATTATTTGGTCAATTATCAGATAGAAATACAATGACAACACCAATACTTTCCTATGCTAATCTTTTGCTTCATTTTTTCAAAAATTTACCGATTGCTAAAGATCTTATTTTTTGATCTATTAAACCTTATTGTAGATATATAGATAGAACAAATGAAAAACAACAAAAAAAATGTAGTCTTAGACATTGCTTGGCATTAATAATTTTATGTTTTTTCTTTTTGTTTTAATTAGATAAAATAAATAAATTTGATCTTTAAAGAATCATATTGATTGTTATTATTTATGTATATATATTCATGAAGATAAAACATTGAACTATAGAGAATATTGTCACAAAGGTGAGTGTGGGTGAAATAGATTACGTACACTAAAAAATGAAGTAAAAAGTTCTTTTAAAATCATTTGTAATGCATCGGCATGTCACCTATCGATTTGACTATGAAGTCTTTACTACTGCAAACAGAACGAGCCTCTCTTTTCGTCATAAAATTCCTTTGTATGATGACTTATTGTTTACTTACACTACATTACATTCACTTCCCTTTCTGTTCTCATCGAACAATGCTTCGTTTTCATTTTTCCAACTTACTTTGTTTAGTAATAGTTAAAATTCTTTGTCTGCTTCCGTTGTATTCATATATAATGAGAATGAAAATATTATTTTTGATAAATAAAAGTATTAAAAATAGTTTTGATGGGATCATCATCGTCAAGTTTGACTATAGAACTCGATCGAAATCCACCACTCTATTACGGTGGTGAGCTACTTAAAGGTGCTGTACGATTGCAACCAGATGATGTTCAATTCAATGCTAAAGAACTTTCATTAAAAGTAGAAGGTAAAACTGTAGGCAATGACTTGGTACAACATACAGCTTTGATTGGTGTCGACTATACAAATATTGAAGTTAAGGAATGCATATTTTTTAAAAAGCATATTATTTTGGCCAAACCAACTCCTGGTGAAGATAAATTTCTAGTTTCTAAAAACCAGAACACATGGACATTTGAAATTGAACTACCAACATATGCACCACCAACATTTTCTCTGTTACAAAATTTATACCAATATCAACATCAACCAGCTGTTCATTTTATCGTTGAGACTAATCTTAAAAAATCATTTTCAAGTCTTACCAATAAAAAAGCAATTCTCTTTCGACCATCAGTATTCATCAAAACTCGTACTCCAGCTTCATGGTCCATAGTAAGATTAATTTCTATTCTCGTAATTGCTATTATAGAATCATAATTTAGAAAGATCAATATGCCTAATATGTTTGATTCTCTTTAAAAGAGATGATATTCTGGTCTAGATTATTAACAGTCTTTGATAAGATAATAATTATTCATATATTTATCTTATTTAGATTAATCGTCAAATGATTCAATTGAATATACATATACCACAAGGTATTGCTTATGTTTCTGGTGAAATAATTAATGGTATAATTGAATTTAATAATCCTAGACATATCAGAATAAAACGTATAGAATGTAAGGTATTACAGACACTAATAGTAGGATATGGATCTTATAGAAGTAGTATTGTTAAATTTAATGTACCAAAAATTAGTGATACAAACGAAGAGAGTCGAAAAGAAATATTTCAAATTCAATTACCTCAAGATTTACCACCATCATATAATTATTCTCCAAATGAACAATCGCAGCATAAGGCAACAATTGTAGAATATTCACTTAGTTTTATGGTTCGCGTTATTGGTATATTATCAGATATTGAGGTAGTAAAACCACTATTGATTGGAACAAATCCGTGCAAACATGAAGAAAATGGAACAATCATTTTGAAAGATAAAAGGCCACCAAAACAATTACCACCTATTAGTACTCAACAAAGCATTGATAAAACAACTGCAACTATTCCATTAATCACAAAAGAACATTCATCTCAAACCCGTGAATATAATAACTATGGAACTAATATCATACTTAAAAACGAAACATAAATTTGATGTTAATAGTTTTTATGTTTAATTTTTTATTTAATAAAAAAAGATTCTTCTAACCATTATAGTAATGAGGTACTCTATAAAACAGAGATGATACAATGGAATTATTCCCATGTATTCGTTTTCTTTTGCATACATATGTTGTTCTATATTACGCATACCATCAGCAATTTTTTAAATGTATTTCATATTCTTTTTCTTCATATGTTGTATAAAGAGCTGCGTTTTCAATATGAACAAAATCAATTTGTTTTAGTTTACCAAGAGACTTCTTTACACATCAGTTTATATTGGATATAACTGATGGTTGTAAGATGTTTTGTTCTTATCGATTATTATGAAATGCGATGAATCTTGTCTACATGCAATTTAGCTGGTAGCAAAAAAACTTGGAAAAATTTATTCAGAGTGATTTGTTTGATTCGATATTTATAGTTCTCAAAAACAATGCATTTCTCCTTCTGCTAAAGGGCTGTTTTTCCTCTAATGACATCATGTTTACACATTCAACATAACATTCGCATTCCTCTCTGCTCTTATTCAACACGTATGACTTCTCATCAAACAATACTTTGTTTTCATTTTTTTCCAACTTACTGTATATTTACATTCTCATTCAATCTGTTTAGCAACAGTTATTATTATTTGTCTACTTCCGTTATAACTATATATATATATATATAATGAGAATGAACACATTGTTTCTACTAAATAAACATATTGAGAAAAGTCTTGATGGGAATACCGTCGTCAAAATTATCTGTTGAACTTGATCGAGATCCAGCAATCTATTATGGCAGTGAATTAGTTACTGGTATCGTTCGATTAATGACAAACGATATTCATTTTTCGCAAAAACAACTTTCAGTTAATCTGCTTGGTCGAGCTATGCATGAGATTACTTATTACAGAGATTCAGAAAAACATCACAAAGTTGTAACATTTACATTTTTAAGTAAAACAGTAATTCTGACTCAATCGTGTTCAGATGAACAAAAATATTTTTCATCTCATGGTCAACATTCATGGTTATTTGAAATCGAATTACCGACACATATACCTCCGACATTTTCAATACCACATATTTTTCACACGGATCATCCTGCTGTAGAATATTCAATTATAGCTTCTCTTCAACAATCTGTATTAGCAATTACTGATACTAAAGTGATTTTCTTTCGTCCACCCATATTATTAACACCACAAACTGCTGTTGTTTTATCTTCGGTGAGATGATTTGTGTTATTCATAACAAATTTATATAGTCTAAGTAGAAGTAAAACTTATATTTGATTTATTTAGGTGAATCGAAAAGATGTTTTTATGAATGTAAACTTATTCGAAGGTTTGTTTTGTGTAGCTGGTAGTGTAATTCAAGGTACAATTCAAATCGAGAATCCTCAACATAAACATATAAAACGAGTTGAATGTAGTATTATACAAACTTTACAAGTGAAAGATGATTCTGTAGTCAATAAAATTATTGATGTTATATTACCAATAACTACAGATGGTATTGATAATCATTATGAAGGTACATTTGAAATACCAATATCTGAATACATACCACCAACGTTTCAACGCCTTAGTGCTAGTGGAGAATCAGGTCCTCCTGTGAATGTTTCCTACACAATTAAGTTTGAAGTATGTATGTCTGGTTTTTTCGTAGATTTCTCTATAACGAAACCTTTAACTGTTACAATTGATCCATGGATACATGAAAATGATGGTACAATCAAATTAATCGATAGAACACAATTAGTTTAACTACTTTCAAAATAAATATTCTTGAAGAACATAAAAACAACTTTATTTTATTATAATTTTCTTATCAATAAATATTAGTCATTTTATAATCAAATTATATATATTTGAATGGCATCTTGACTCTGAATCACGTGTGCTAACAAATATCTTTTCTATACAAAAACAAATATATATCTATCTATCATGTCTAAGTGTCTATTAAGTGATAAAAGAAAGGAATAAAACAATACGCAATCGTCTAAAAGATATACTTGTCATCATCTTCTAGGCACATAGAGATATAAGCAAGAGAAATGTATAGTTTCTTTTATAAAATATTCGATTAACGATAGGAATAGATCGATGTGGTCCCGACAATTATTTCTCGTTGGAATTTTTACTTTAACTATTCTAGCAACACAAAGTCATGTGATTCATGTATGATTTTATTTAATAGAATTATTAATTTATAATCATAAGATTATTAATATATTTATTTAGAAACGAGGTTTAATTAAAAAAATGTTTAGTGGTGATAAACAATCAACTCGTGATGTTGAAGCCGATATGACACCAAAAGAACGATCAAAATATCGTGAATTACTTAAAAATCCAATCGTTATTTCAATGCTTAGTAAATAAATTTCTTTTTGTTTGACTTTTCTTTTCTAATTGTTTTTTTTTTATAAACAAACAGGTGCTGCTGTTGGTATGGTTGTTCAACAAGCATTAGCTGCAAAAAATATGAATGATGTATGTGACAATAAATATATTAAAATGGCTTATATGGCTGGTAATATAAATCCTCAAATTCAACAAGCACTTAATTTACTTGGTTGTAATGGACCTAATCGAAAATCTGGTGGTAATAATAATTCAAAAGATAAATATGGTGCAGCTACTACTCCTGCGTCGAAGAAAAATGGAGATGATGACGATGAAGAAGCAGGAGATGCTGAAGATGAAAATCAAGAAGATACGGATAATTTAGAAAGTCGTGTTCCACCTGAAAAGGAATCGAAATTAAAAGAACTACTTAATGTTGCACGTGGTGAAAAAGGTGCTAAAACTAAACTTATTAAAAGTTTTTTTGGTTTCGGTTCAAAAGATAAAACGTTCAAATCAGGTCATAAAATACCACAATCATCATACAAATTAGACAAAGATGATGCTAATGCAATGAAAAATTTCAATAATGAACTTGATCAACATGATAAAAAATTCTAATTCAATATTTGTTTAAATCAAAATGTAATTTCACTTTGATTAATTTCAATAAATAAAAGTTTTCTATTCTATTATATAATCTATATATAGAGCTACAAAAATATTTCTTTTATTATATCATATGTCCGACTAATATATATATTCTAGTTGATTCTGTTGAGAAAAAAAATATCCTGTAGAAACGAGATTTATATCATCGACGATTATAATAGAAACCAAAAAAAGAGAGAGAAAGAGAAATATCAACATCAGAGCAGATAATATTTATTTCCTCATTCATAATCGATAATAACAACACTTAAACAAGTAACTATAAAAGAAAGCAAATATACAATGAGTTCATCTGATGCCAGTTAGTATTCATTTTAAAGATTTTTATATTGGAAAATAAAATTTACTTTTATTTAGCTGATAAAACGATTAAAGCAGCTGAAATTGCTGAGGCTAAAATTACTGGTAAAGAAACTCCAGCATGTGATCCTCATAAAAAAGCCGATGCTGAAAATAAAGGTCAACTTACTGGTGATCAATCAACAATTCGTGAAACACCTGTAGCTCCTGTCGGTGCAACACCTGAAACAGCGAATTAAACAAATCATAGAACATTTTTACCAGTAAAATTGATGCATGTGTGTGGTTTTTATGAATGCTCTTTCAAGTAATCAAGCTGTTCTTTTTTTTTCAATATTGATCACCCAAAAAATCATGGAAAATAATTATACTTATTCATTGACCTAGAGTTTGTTTGTTTGTTTTGTAAACTAAAAATAATATTAGTTTGAATAAAACTATTTTTACTAGAGAAAATCTTATGATGAAAAGTCTATTTATTATAACTGTCAAGTATAGATTGCAAGATAAATAATATATCAATTCTGATAAAGCATGCGATGATAGGTACTATTTATTAATACAATAGGAATATGAATATAGAAGAATAAGCAAAACATTCGTTTCGATTTTTTATCATAAGCGATGTTTGACTGAATGAATATCTTAGAAAAAAATTTATCGGACCAAAATTGTCATCGTTTAGATCATGTTTTATTATCAACATATAAAGAAAACGGAATTCAGTGTATATTATACTAGTTTGTTGTTTATCAATGTATTATTTATGTAAAATACTGACTTTTATTGATAACAATTAGAATCATATATGTCTACTTCAGATATTTATATTCTACTAAAAATCTATTTCATTTTTCATTTCATAATGAAAACTGTGTTAATCTCAATCAAGCGTTTTTTATTTGTATTTTTTTTCTATCTTATCAAATCATTTTACATATCAGACTGGTAAAAATCAAATATATATATATGAATAAATAAATCTAAGTCTATTGCTAAATATACGTGAATCTACAAATGTATGTATATATTTATATATAAAGCAGTGCATATAGATATTGAATGTCTGTTTATATTCAAACTTGAATTATATATTTATTCATGGGAAGATGTCACTGCTAAAATAGTTTTATATTAAACTTGTTTAAAAACAACAAGATAAAATAGATAGTTTACTTAAAAAATGTCTTGAAAAACTAATTGTAAAAATTTAAATGCAATGATGGTTGAACCTCTTGAGCATTTCCAAGAATAACGTGTTCTCTTTCTAAAACCGGAAGTAATATAGTTGTTTCAACTTGAATAGAATTAGTTGTCACGACAGCTAGTTCATTGCTAGAATTAAAATAGCGGAACGGTAAAAACAGTTGATGATGTGATAGCAGAAGGTTTCCCACCATGTAAAAATGTTGGTTCTCAACCAATAATTGACTCAACTCATGAAAAATTTTCCTGAATATCATTCATCCTTTTGTAACGAGCTGATCGCGTAATAATAAAATACAATTGTTACTATGATATAAGTAACTGTCAAATATCACCTGAATGAGTCCTGCTGCTCATTCTACTTAATTCATACATTCAAAATATATTTTTAATTTTTTTCTTTGTAGAAAAAATAAAATTATCAAAAATCAAAACAATTAGCATCAAAATATGCTTAATTTTTGTGGTACGTCTTAATTACATACAATGACCTTGAGTGCCGTATGAATACCATATCCACACTCCCCCCGCACCCTTGCTATTAGTTCAATAGTTTTTTTTATAAGGTTTAATATTCTTATATACTTTGTTTTTTTCTCCTAGATATCGTTGACGGATTTATCCACTACGCAAGAATTACTCAAACAATATTATTACAAGGAGCTAAGATGGCTGGGTTCCTTATTGGTTTCTTCGAAATTCTTAGAGAAGTCTCGAATTATATTGGAGTTCATGAAGAACCGCCCCAACGTTTAATGAATAACATTACGCAATAACATCAGCGTAAACTGAACTGGCAAAAATAAACTCGCCAGAAAAACTTTAAAAAAATCGTTACGTCTATCGCTATAAAAATTTTCGTTTTACTTTTTGTTTTTTGTTTTTTATTATTTAATAATAAAAAAACTTCCATATTTGTTGTAAAACGAAAAATAGAGTAAATGCCTAATAGGAGTTCAAATATAAACGGATATTGTCCATATATACACGCAATATTATATATATGTATCTTGTTATAAGTATACTAAAAAAAGATCGTTATCTATTTTCTTTTCGTTTCTCTGATGCAGTTGTTCGTCATACAGAACACACGATAATAATTGAAATCGAATTATATAAAATAATCATAAAATTATAATATTTATCATTTGTATGTATAACAATATATCACATATAGTCATAAAAATTATTTCGAAAACAGCGTCAGTTAGCGCAATCTATCATTCATTGTAAATATTGGGATTCGTTCACTTATGAATCATAGCTAACAACTGATCAGTTTGTACTTCGTTGTAATTGGACTTTTACATTATTTCATACAAATTTATCATCAAATTATTTTATATGCATGCTGTTTCGTATTTTGTTTTTATTTTTCTTCATAAATCAAACTGATTTATCAATTTTGGAAAAACAAAAACCAATTAATATTAAATGTAATGATTTACTTGTTGGTCAATATCGTTGTCAACATCCAAAAATTGATAGTTTAACACAAGAACCTCAAGGTTGTGAACGACATCACTTAATATCAAATGGTGAAGAAAATTTTTTTGATACAGCACCTATAAATTGTTATACAGCTCCAAAAATAACTTGTGACGGAGGAATTTATAATGAAACAATTGATGGATTTATGTTCGAAAAACGTACACCATGTCGATGGACAAATGGAAAATATTATCGTACAACATTAGCCTTATCTTTATTTCTCGGTATTGATTTCTTTTCTTTAATAAAATAACTAACAAGAATTTCTTTTAGGTGTTTTTGGTATTGATCGCATTTATTTAGGATACTATGTAACAGGTTTATTGAAGTTATTTACTTGTGGTTTTATGCTTGTTGGTGCTCTTGTCGATTTTTTGTAAATATATAGAATTTATCTAAATACATATTTTTCTTATTTATATTATAGATTAATTGCACTACAAGTTCTAACACCAGCAGATGGTTCATTTTATATAATTGATTATTATGGACCTCGTATTTTATGGACTGAATTCAATGAAAATCGAACTTATTTAAAACCACAAAATTATTAATTTGTTTTCTATTGTATATTTTTTGTTAAATCTATTTTTTTCTTCTAATTCTCATATGTAATACTACAGAAAAAAAACAAAACTATAAAAGTCAGGTGTTATTTGTGTTTTTCTTAAAAGAACAAAGATATATTTATCTATTTGAAATTTCGATGTTTATTGTTTGTAGATTGATGATAAAAAGTTTTGTTAACTGCCAGATGTTATTCGTAAGGTTATGTTTACACCGGTAATCGATATCCGGATGAATGGAAGGAAGAATATTAGTTTCGTATAGATAAGATAAATCTTTATCGTTTTAAATAAAATGTTAATCAACGGTATTTTCTCACTTACTGCGTATGTGGTACATAGTTTCCTGTGTAAAATTACAGGTGTTCAGTTGGAACATTTTAAAAATATTACAAAATGTCATTCATTTGTGAAATTACAAAAATTTACCTTGTTTCTCATAAATTTAATTTATAAATTTTCAACAAAAATACATTTACATTATTGATTAAATGCAACAATATGAAAATTGTAAATATATATTTACTTGTCTGTAAATAATTCCTTATGAGTACGTATATCACATACAAATATTCCTTTTCAATTTTTAGATTATGAAAATGAAGAAGTATGAATTTGTATTATATAATGTAAGAAGTCAGGAAACCTTTCATAATGACATTCATAGAAACGCAATAAACTAATTTTATCATATGATTGTTTTTACAGAGTCTCTTGAAAAATCTATTGGTAATTATAAAATATAATATTATAGCTAAAAGTAATTATACGGATGAAAAAGCCTACTCTTCGATTTGGTTTGTATGATAAAATCGTATATATTACATTTGTGACTTAGAAAAGACAAGTTAAATGATGAATGGAAAAAAATCAGTTCATTTTTAAGATAATAGTTCTTATTTATATTTCATTTTAGATACTATCTTTCTTTTTTCATGATGGTTTTTTTTCACAATCTCATATTCTTCATTATTACCACTATTTTTATAAAAACTATTTATTCATCCGTTCCATTTATAATGAATCCTGGTTGTGATTTACCCCAATGTAAAACTCCTGATCAACCAGCTATATTTTATGCCAATCATTATGTGGGTGATGATACAATTCATATTTTATATTCATCGTTAGATGAATTAACAATTAGTATTATTCAAACAAAAAAAGGTTATGGTCCACATATAAATTATACTGCTTTATTCAATAGAAATTATCGTGATTCAATTTCATTTGGTGATACAACACCAATAAATTCATTATCATTAATTCTTCGACGTTTACTTAGATTTAATGATATAAATGATACAGGTTATTTAAATCCAAATGATACTACTATTCAATCATATTGGTTAAATGATTTAAGTACAAACATTACTTATCGAGATAATAATACAGATCAACCATCATTTCAATTACTATTAAAAGAAAAAGATGTAAATTATTTCATTTTATTGATTTAAATATATTTCGATTATCTTTTTAGATCAATGGTCTTTTAACTATTGATATAAATTATCCAGGTGAATCAATACGTGATACAAAATTTCCAAAATTACGTTCAACACCTAAAAGTTATTTTCTTAATATAGCTTTAAAAGCTGATAATTATACATCACCAAAAACACGATTTGCTATGGAATATTATATAATACAATTAGGTGTTGAAGGTACACAACTATCTACATCAAAATATATCGATGATCAATATACTCCAGGTATATTTAATGTATGGCGAGTAGAATCGCTTAGTCCAATATATTTATCATCGATGTTATGGAAACCTGTTGTATATCAAAGTGATGATCGATCTATTGAAAAAAATACTTTAATGAATGTATATAATTTAAGTAATAAGATTAATTTACAACCATTAGTTGATCAAGGAATTTTCATTGCACTTTATAAAAAACCATATGTATCTGGATTTAATGTTTCATTTGGTCGAGCAAATGATGGTTCGATAATTTTCACTTTTTTAAATTTTATTTTCATTTTTATATAATAGGTTTTTTTACTAAATCGAATTATACATTCATTCAATTTACAGCTGGTTTAGAAATACTTCAAACGGATTCAATAAAACAATTTGTTACACTTGCACTTTTATTGAGTCTTGCTATACCATGTTTAGTTGCAGTCATAGCATTTATATTTATTATGAAACGTCGATGTACAAGACAAAATACAACTAGCTATGATATTATTGATGATTAAATCATTTTCATGAAAAAATCAAATTAAACATTGATAATTTTTTGTGTCTATCATTCTAGTTATTATATTTCAATTCATTTTTCTTTGTAAGTGATATCAGTGATTATATGTTTCATTCATTTTTTGTCTGTTTAACAAAAGTTTGATTTCTATGTTAATAAAAAAGAAAAGATCTGTTTATACAGAGAAAAATTTAATTGTTTTTTCTTCTTTTATATGGCTCAAAAGAATCATCAAGATAAAATACTATGAATAATGTTCGTTATCTTATCAGACAAACATTGACCTTCAATATGTTATTTATCCTTAGAGAATTGTTCATAATACTCAATCTTGTTGATCTATATATCAATCTAATGTCTCTAGTGTATTTCATGTAAGTTTGATTTTCTTTTATATAACTTTGATGTATGGTTTATTAATTTTATCCTTCAATTTTTTTCTAACATTTAAAAAAATATATTACATCTTTATTTTCTTTTCTTACGTATTATAATTCACGGCATTTTAAATAAGTAATGAAAAGTAAAGGTTAGAATTTGTTTTTATTGAAATCAATTTATATTACAGATGTTGTACTACGTGTATAAGTTGTCATAGGACGTATACGACATGATACTTGTGGTTTTTGTGTCCATAAATATCGATGAAATAGATCTTGTTTGATTTGATCAAATTCATTATACTGTTCTATTGTTTTATTATATCGCTGTTGACTAGTTGAACGTTGTTGTTTTGTTGATGCTTGTGTTTTTGGACGTGCTGTACGTGTACGTGGGAGATTAAATACATGAGTAAAATATTCTGGTCCAAGCATAACTAAATCGGATAGAAGATAATCTTTTTTTCGATCACGGTATGATTTATAAGCTGAAGCTGATGGCATTTTCCGATGTAATGGTGTCTGTGTTCGTGAAAGAATATCAACATTTGAATGATGAGAAGATATTTCTTCCTTCAATAAATTTCGATTTTCAGAATCAGGTTCATTGATTATCGGATATTGTAATTGTTCAGTTGATTTTTGTAAATCAACTATTTCTTCCGAAATATTTTCAGCAAGTGAAAATCTTTGCTGAGTTGTTGAATGACGTGTACGTAATGCAGTTGTTGTTGATAAAGCTGCTGTTGCTAATGAAATATTACTTGTCTGACTGGCACGTTTTCCATTAGTTAATGGTAAATTAAGTTGATTAGCTGAAGTTTTTCGATGATGTAATTTTGCTGATGAACTATGTTCTCGTGAATAATTTATTGAAGTTTGTTTACTTCCAGCTGGTATTGATTTACTATGTCCAGGTTTTGATACATAAATTGAATTTTCACCTGGAAATTCAAGAATACAATGTTCAACACACTCTTCTAATGTAGATTTAAATATGTCTGAACATTTGCCATTAACAACAAGTATTTTAGCTGGTATTTCTTGTTTTAATTGTTTATTTTCTTGTATATCGGTAATTGATGATCGACGTCGACTTGTACTACTATGTCTTGATCGTGTATTAACATTTAATAGATGAGAACTAATCGAACTTTCACGACGTGATGACATACTTGATAATGAATCACACAGAACTAAAAGCAAAAAAATATCCATGTATATATATAAAATGTATTTGTCAAGTGTTCAATCACTTGAATATGATTGAAGAAAAAATAAAATAAGAAATTTGTTCAATCAAGATTAATTTCAATATTTTTTTTTGTCAAAATGAAATTCTTTCTTTTATTTTGTTATCAAAAAAGAAAAAAAAATATCTACGCACATCTATTTCTTATTATGGAAAATTTCATCAACCTGAGAACTGAAGAAATTTCAATAATTTTTTTGTACTTTTTTAAATAAAAAAAATACTCTTCAATTATCATTTCCTGTCACGATTCATTTCCTAGAATTTTTTATATAATAACGATGATTTGATTCTCATTTCTTTTTTCTTTGAAATATTATACATTGATATACAAAAGAGAATAGAAATATAACGATTATATCTTATTACATATATAATGTCAATGAAAATATTACCTTCATCATCAATAATATCTTCGTTCATCTTCTTTTGTTTGTCTTCGAAGTCTTTCTCCATACTTTTAATCAAATACTGTTTGAATGAAACGACAATCGCGTACCTTCATATATATATGTATGTTTAATTATACGTAGTAGTCACATGTAAGATTTGATAATTGAAGCCAAACTAATACAGTGAATTTGAGATATGCGTATGTGTACGAGACAATGACAAAGCAAAGTACAAAGTTTCTTTTTTCTTCTATTGTATTCGATTCATGATTTGTTTGAGAAACGGAGAAAGGACTCGAATTGATTTAAATGAATATTTTATAAATAGGTACGCACAATGATCTTGTGATGTTTGTTAGTAATAAATGTGTTCATTCTTATCGAACTATGTTAAAGCAATTTTTAATTAAATAAAATCAACAATTCGATTACATAATGTTCTACACAAAAATTTTTTTAATCAATAAATGAATTATTTAACATTATATTTGAAGGTAAATTAAAACAAACATAATTTTATATGAACGAAAGTTTACTATGTTCTTATTGAAGAATTTATCATATCTATCAATAGAAGTATATATATTTTTTATTAGATGAACATGAAAAAAAATCGAAAATATGCTTTTTTATTTATATACAACAAAATTTGTTTTTTTTTGTTGGTGTTTCATTTGATGTTGAACTGTCTTTGTCTGTTTTTGTATAATGCATGGTAAAAAAATCATTTTGTATCCAAAAAAATTTATTAATCGCCATTATAGTTGCTTGCCGAGTTTTGTCATCAAGATTTTCTGCACTCCATAATACATCAACAAGTAAATGCTCTAAGAAACCAAGTAATGCATTTATATGCATATATTCAACGTTGATTGATGATGCACCAGCTTTATTCGTATGCATTCTTCCAATATGAGATAGATATTGTAGAAAAGTATCGTTCCACTCACGTTGTGTAAAAATACGTTTGAAATAAATAGTTAATATATCTTTACGATATGTCATTTGTTCTGATTCTAATGTAACACCATGTGTCTTTTTTAATGTAAAACCTTCAAAGCCTTCATTATTAATTAAAAAATAATGTTTTGTTATATCAAATGAAAATAATTTTCGATAAACAGTATCGGCAATAACAGGAATACGTGGGAAAAGTATAGGTGCAAATGCATTAAGAAGAGAAATATCATCCAATGTAAAATTTAGATATTTTGATAAATATTCAAAACGATAACGAAGATCATTATTAAGTCGATCGTTGTCGATATGTTCCGTCATTTTAGAAAGAACTTGTAAAGTGTCTTCTTTCTTTTTTCTATCGTTTGTTTTTCTCTCTCTAGACCTAATAAAGAGAAAAAGAAAGGGAAAAGAAGAGAAGACAACAAAAAAAAGAATTTATATGCAATACTTTTTTACACGATGATTTCCGTCTGAAAATTATCAATTGTATTATTCATGCGCTAAATTATGTTTAATCATTTAAATCTAGAAAATCATGCTGTTTACAAAAGAATTCGATAAGATAAAAAATATAATTAAATAAAATTATTTTTAGCTTAAATAGATATTTAGGTCATTATGTATCTTTTTCGAGGTTCATATTTTCTTAATATTATTTTTTTTTATAGAAAACTAAATTTAAAATTTTCTTCTTGGCTGGTTTTTTATAAAAAAACACTTGCACAGTTATTTCCTGAATAATGTCTTGTCAGAAAAAGCGTAAACACTAATAATAAAATTTCTGTTTTATAGATTAAACTATTGCAAAAATAAGTACTAAAAAATAAAAAACAATAAATTATATTAAGTACAACGATACTCTCTTTTTTTGCATGGTGAAATTATAATAGTAAGATAGGGTGTAGAAAGAGCAACTACAAGTCTTTGATAGCTAATAATTATTCTCTTCACTGAAGACATGATCCATTATTACTAATATATAATATTCATATTTCTTCTTATAACGATGAGAATGTTTCATGGATATATTGATGAGTTACTTGTTTATTCAATAGTAATGTACCATTTTCGAGCGACTTATTAATTTGAACGATCAGAGAATAGTTTCTCATTATGTCTTGTCATGTTTTGAAGATCTTTTTTCTTTCTTCTACCAATCGACGATGACAGCTCGTCGAACTAAATTGTTATGTATCGGATATTCATCTATCTTTCTCCTTTAATTTAACAAAAAAAAACCAATTCTATGTCATATTTATAACTATGACATTAAAACAATTAATTCAATTTTTTCCGGTAGTCTTCCATCATTGACTAATCGTTTTCAGACTATCTGTTCGATAATGTATACAAATGTTACGAAGAAGTAATCAAGAAAATTCCGGATCGTATATAATAAACACATCTTACTGGAAGTTTGTCTAATGACAATCTATTAAATCAAAAGATCAAGTTGTCATCTAGTAAAATAAGTATCAAATAACAGATAAAAACTTTTTTTTATAAACGATCAAGATAAAAAAAGGGTCAGTTCATTGTTTAAAAGTATAAATATTTTATCCGAATAAAAGTAATCGAATACGTGATATGATTATAAATTATGGAAAAAGAACAGTTTAGTTAAAGATACCACAATAAAAGAATATAGGATGATCTAATCATAAAGTATTATTGTGAAAAGAGAACTATATCATCATCCTACATATATTACACTTTTCCGAATAGAACACGATTGATTTATATTAACCTACAAACATTTTCACTAATGCATGAGTATCGTCAATATTGTCTGTTATTTTTCAATTAACATTGTATCTATATTTAATTCATTCAGATCAACTTATAGAGCCACATATGAGATATGCACTTGATAATAAATCGAGTGCATATTTACAGATGTGGAATAACTAATACTTGTAACGCCAAGCTAAAAAAAAGAAGAAGAGACTTTTGAAATGCTTTTAATGCTTGAAATATTTAGTTATTTTTATAACAACAAAGCAGGTTTTTTTAACCCTAGAAAGCACGAGAAGTTGATAGAGTAGTATACAATACAAACTAGAATCTTATTATATATCAAATATTGCTGAAAACACAAAAACTATTACATATATACAGAGAGCAAAATACTTGATTTTCGACGGAACAATCACAGTAAAAAATAGCATGTCCTTAAGCTGATCTTAGTTGCAAAATTGTATGTGAATGATGTCGAATTTATTGCTATGTTTCATCTCTAAACAGTGTATGAATCAGTTTTAGTGATTCTAACACAAAAAAATGTATATCGTGAAAAGAAGGTTTTTAGAAACTCATTAGATACATAATTAGACAATCTTCAACAGTGTTACGATCTCTTATTCTTTCCTAAGTTCGAAAAAAATCATTCAGTTTCTAATAATTCCAACAAGAAAGAATTTAGATCAAAGTAGAAAGTCAATATTAAAAGAAAGATTTCATTCAACGAGCAGTAAACAAGTCGACAAAACTATTACCACATAAAATTCAATTCTATATTTTGGAATCAATCTTAACGGTGATTTTTATTTTATTAGATATTAGACACTATACTTTAGGGAATAACGTATGACATTATATTAGTTATGTGATAATGTATTATTAATAGCTACTGTCATCATTTCATTATTTATGATCAATTATAAATTATTTTACAATTAATCTTTTATATTTGTCTTATATCGAGAATTCTGTTAAATCAAAATACGATGTTTAATTATAAATTTTAAATATACGTTTATATGGAACTACAAATAGAATAGATATCATTTTAGATTAATTCTGAAGTTGTTAAAAATCATTGTTGAATCCCTCTAGACTGATACATAGTATTTTTTATATACACATATAAAAGAATTCAATAGAAAAAGTTTCCTAATACAATAAAGAAATTTTCTATCATAATTATAGTTATGTTTTATAGTCTTAATACAAATTCTAACATTATGTCTATAGCTGATAGAGCTTTCTTGGACGCTGATCTTGAAGAACAATATCATTTTCAGCAGCTGTATAACATTCTTCAGTAAGTTCTTTCACTGAATCGGTATCATTAAACCATTCGATCATATCTAGTTTTGATGACATTGGAATGATTGAAAATAGAAAAAAACTAAAAATTGAATACAAATATTTTTCATCATCATTTTTTCTGGAACAAGAAAAAATATATGCTACACACTTGTCGAAACTTCGTTGATGAGCAATTCGAGAACATATTTATAACGATTACAAATGAATAGAGAGATATAGATTTATTTGTTGATAACATTTCAGTATTGGAAAGATGTATGGATTGGATTTCTTCTAATTCTTCTCTTTCTTCTTTACCTTCATATGATATGGAGGAGGTTCAACTCCTCCGTCTTTTTCCTGAATCGTTTTTTGTATACTAGTTAGTTGTTATCTCTGTCGTTTTTCATTTGTTCATGTGTTTATGTTTTTTTTTTTTCTCTCTAGTTGTTCTTGTTAGTTTTTATCTTTTCATTCTTTCTATTATTTTATGTACTGTAAGGACCTTCTGGTCGTCAGTTTATGCGCAAATAAAAAAAAAAAAAAAAAGAGAGATATAGATTTTAATCAAAATAGATGTTTTATATTCTTTACTGGTAATTGAAATGCTTCATGTGCTTTGTCGGATTATGACAAATTCTAATGTACTTCAGAGCTGAAACTAAGTTCTGATCAACCGATGAATGTTTATTAAAATCTCATATATATGCATGATGATTTTGACGCGAATTACACGTTAAATGAAAACTCTTAAAATGTACATATATCAAGTGAATTTTTGAATATAAAATGATTATAATCAGGAATATGTACTGTTGTGCATATAAGAAGAAAATTTGTTGAATAATTTAAATATTTATCTTCAATTTTTATTGAATATAATTGATCAACTAAAGTAATAAGACGATAATGTGCTGATACACTTAAACGTTTTGGATTACGTCGAAAATTACGACAACAAATTCATATATATTTATTTTAACTCGATAAAAATTCACCTACATAATAATAAAATCTTTCAGATATTTGCCATGTTGTTGACGTTTTTATTTTACTTTTCAAATATTGTGTTATCTAGTTATTTATCCATTCACATATTTCAAATGTCCAATATCGACATGGATTAAGATCAATAACAGATCAGTTTTGAGTAATTTCAAATAATTGATTATGAGTTAGTTTTAGCAGAAGTTTATATAAATATGATATACGATAGAATTTAGTATAGGAGAATAATTAAGAATCGACTGAAAACAATAAAATTAGAATGAGCTTATCTAAAACTATTGTTATTTATATGAAATATTCGGTATGAGAGAATTTATTACAATCTAATTAAGTAAGAGAATGTTAATAGTTCAATGATTAGATTCTTTTATTAAAGATCTATAAAAGGAATATATTGTATCAATCATAATCAAATGAATTTTAATTAAAGAACTTTTCCTCATATTCATTTTTACGTTCTCATAATCATTCTACAAAGATGTTCACCATTAAACTCAAGTATAGTTTAAAATATATAACAGCCATATTAATTTATAAAGTCATCTTTCAGAAATGTGTATCGAGATACAATGGAACATCTCAATTAACAGATCATAATTAAGAATGAAAAAAGATGCTTCATTTGATAAAATATAACAATTTCGAAAAACTTCTGCTATTACTAAAAAGATATTATACACTTCCCACATCCACATCCTCAGTAAGATTCGTTAAATGAAAAACTTCTTTTTAATCAATATACCACGAATACAACATTAAATAAATTATTATCATTGAAAAAATCGAATATGGTTATAGAATGTGAGTTAGTAGCAATGACGGATATCAAGGTAATGCAATATTCATGCTCAAAAGTAAGGGTTTCTATGACGAAGACAGGAGAATAGGCCATAGCGATTTTACCGTCAGTTCATGCAAACACTCAAAAACGATTGAAATTTGTTTTCTTGCGATAACTTTCATCAAAAAGTATTGTCTTTACTATATTTCAAAATTATTTCTTGAAGGACAAACAGTATATAAACTTGCAGTAGAAAGAAAATCAAATTTAACAAATGAGGCAATGACGTAGTCTTTAAAAAGTCAGTGAAGTCAGAACTCAATTTTCTAATGATTATTTCTATCATAATTTCATTTTTACAAACACTTAACTAATAAAATGTGTTAGAGAAGCAAAACAAATTGTTTTTGTTCTAAATTAATTAACAAGCACAATATTTTATGATCTTTGGAGAAAAGATGATTGGTCAATTTTTTCATGCGTACTCTAACTATTTTTTGCTTATCTACAATATGAATTTACATTCCACGTGGCAATACTATGTTTTATGTGAGTTTGCATCAACTGATTTCATTAAAATAATGAAAAAACTATGGAATATGAACAAGAAAGAAATTATTTTTTTTTAAATCAAATAAATAGCATACAGCTTGAATATTTTCTTTTTTGTTGTTGTTATCGTCAGTTAAAAAAGAAGAAAATATTTTCAAGAAGAGTTTCTGTATTATATAGAATCATCCTTTCAATGCCGTGGAATTGGTTCTTAGAATTTAAAACTAAAATTAAACGCATCAATTTATTTAAAGATATTGATAAAACAAATGAAGAAGATATCAAAAATCAAAAAATATCGACAATTATCTTTCTTATTCTGTTTATAATATCAATTGTTGCTCTCTTTCTATATTCATCCTTGACTCCTATAACAAAAACGGTAGTTGTTGAACAACCTTCTTTATCCGATTACAAACAATTAGAAGAAAAATATTCAAATACATTATTATGTCCATGTACAAGTGTTTCTAATGAATACAACAAATTCATATCATCATTTACACCAACTCTCCATCAAGTCTGCTCAAGTGATTTTGTTAGTGACAAATGGCTCAATTATGTTAATTACCGTTTATTTGTTGAACCACAATATCATTTTATTTGGGATTTTCGTCATTCAGCTTATGGATTTTTTTCTATGTTACGCACACTTTGTGTATTAGCTAAACAAACAATTGATGATCAATTAATTTCATTCTATTCTACAATTTTACTTACAGAAAATACCATTTCAGAAGATATATTTTTAGCTAATATAAATGCAGCTCGTGATCAATTTATAAATGTAAGTGCAAATGATTTTACAATTACACTTGACTCAGTTATATTAATGGGAATAGTTAATGTAGGAATCATCAATCGATTAGGAACACAGTGGAAATTAGTTCTTTATTTATACTCGAACAGTGCATTTTCCGATGCTTGGGCAGGTCAACCATACAGAATAGGTGAAAATTGTTTACGAACCAATGTATACTGTAGTACAACAACAGGTATTTACTTAAGAAAACTTAACAATGAGACATCATCTGATTTATATTGGGGGGAAAAATATACAGCAGAAGTACAATTCGAAGTTCCAGGTGTACTTGTAAGTGGTTTCATACTCGATTCTGTTCTTCAATCAAATCTTTCATGTTTATATAATGAAAGTTGTTTATTGAAACTAAACACATATTTAAATGATTCACTTTCTCCATTCAATGCAACACCTTTAACAGTGCCTTCTTCTGCTCAATCTCTTCCAACCATTGATGATTTAACCAAAAAATTAATGGTGGATTTTTGGCAACTAAATTCATCTTATCAACATTATTTCAATGCGTGCAATCCATTAACTTGCACATATACTTATACTCATCAGTTTGATATTCTTTTTATTATTACGACTGTTATTTCATTTATTGGTGGAATTGTAACAGTTCTTATGATCGTAATATTACCGACAGTGAAATTCTTAAGAAACAAAGTTAAAACTGTCAAGCGATTATTATCATCATCAGAAGTTGTACCATATGAAACTAATATTGGTATGTATTGTAATTAGGATGCTAGAAATTGCCTAGAAAGACTCTGTCAGGTGTCAAGACATAGAGATTTGATAAGAAAAGAAGGAACCTAAGTCCTTGATCACTTTTACTAACGCTAATGAGTTGTGGATTGAGTCAGACGCATACTCAAAAGAAGAAAAAACAGATATAAAACAAAATTATCAAATGATGTCCAAGTCTTTGAAATTATGTCAGACGATGTGAAACAATTTTCCTATCTTAAAAATAATCAGTTCCATGTTTTACAAAACAAGTTCTTTTAATAACAAAAAAAGCAATGTGATTATCTTCATCGAATTCACATAAAATATTTAATGAATTAGACGGAAGGAAAAGGCTTTTATTAAATAATCTACTAATAAGTACAGCAATTGCAAACGAATGAAAGTTCAGTAGGCAACGGTTTACTAGTGCAAAATTACGATGGGCGAACGCTAAAGTGAAATGAGCAAGTGCCCATTTGCTCTCCTTCCACTGGCTACGCTACTGATCACCATATTTATTGTGTTTTTCTTTCTATTCTTTTATAGAACGGCAAGCTGCTGGTGATACCACTGGACAACAAATTTCATTATTTGTTAAAATAAAAATGTTTTTGCTCAACCTTAACTTTTTCTCAGATCCAGATGAAAACAGTGAATGGCACTTATATGGTCAACGTCTTTCAACTCGATTCTTCACCGTTTCAATAATTATTGCATTTTCTATACTTATTCTCTATGCATCCACATATTCTGTTACAAAAACGATCACCATTAACAAACCTCCAATCGATGTTTATTTCACTCTTCAAGATAAATATCCTCAAACATTGACCTGTCCATGTTCATCAACTACAAATGAACAATCTCAATTCATATCATTTCAACCGACATTTCATCCAGTTTGTTCTTCAAGTTTTATTACAAATAATTGGAGTAACTATTTAACAGCAGAGAACGGTAATATCATGGGTTACCTCGATGTTCGTTTCAGTCTTATAAACTTCTTTCCAACTATTTTATCCTTTTGTCAACTATCACAGAAAATAATCAACAATGAATTAACAATATTCAATTCAACAAAATATATTACAAAATCTATACAAGAAATAGATCTATTCAATTCTCAAACACAACAGCTCATTAGTAACATGAAAAAAACAATAGTGAACTCATTTCAACTTTCAATCTCAATGTTACGTCAAACAGTTTGGGGAAACGGATTGTATTGTCTTTCAGCTTATTTTTATGTTCCTGATCCGACGATTAACTATGATTATAACTCAACAATAAATCCTCATGATTTAAATCTTGTATTTTACCCAGCTTATTATCAACCTAGCTTTGGCACAACATGTTCATGTAAAATCCATCCAACTACATGCAATATATTATCTAATATCACTTATCTTAACGAAACGGTAAATAAAATTTAATATTCGATAAAAAAAATTCCGTCCAAAATAAATATTTGCTATAGAATATTAGTTGCCTATTTTATGTTTTACACTTAAAAGCAACATACATTATATTTTATTATTACGCATTTAGTATTAGCTTTAATTGACTTTTTCCCTAAGATTTTACACAAATAGAGAAATATCAATAACATATTCGTAACCATTGTAAAAAGTACGTCTGACGATGTATACTTGACGCCGATCTGAATAAAAATATTTCGAGTCATTTTTCACATCTTATTTACTTACCTTGCCACAAGCATAAATTTCGAATGAAGTTTTTTTTTTAATTGAAGAAATATATTTTGCTCTATCGAATTATTTAATACTAATGGAAAAAGAAAGTTTAATATAAATAAACAGCTTGACTTAAACATGTGTGAAACCATGCTTTTTCGATTCCTGTAAAGAGTTTCTTTTTGTATAACAAGATATTAAGCTGACAGTAATAAAATGATTGATGTCACACGTCAAAAATTGTATCAGTGTTAATAGAGTTAAAATATGGTATAAGTTCACATTCAAGTTCCGATTATGGTAACGTTTTTTTTGATACTGGTTCCAGTTCCACACATATCTAATCCTACTATTATTATATATTTCTTATAGTAAATAGCTGATACTACTTTCGATTTTTTTATTCAGAAAACTTACAATCTGTTTACTGTCCCTGGTTATTATATTGGTTGTTATGCGAGCGAATCAATGTTTCGTTCTACTTTTGAATGTTTTTTTGATCAAACATGTTTACAAACAATTTATAATTTAACAAATTTAATATCAACAGAAATATTTAATCCAACTGCTATGGAATTAAATAACAGTCGTTATAATGAAACAACAAGTGTACAAAATATGACTGATAATTTAATGGTCGAAGAATGGAATGATAAAACATCATTTCAATTTTATTTTAAACAATGTAATCCATATTTATGTTCATATTCGTATGATATTAAAGGAGATATTAGTTATGTATTTGCAATTACATTTGGTTTAATTGGTGGATTAACAACTATTTTAAAAACAATTATTCCATCTATTGTATCAATAATTAGACGATGGCGACAGAAAAGACAAATTAGTACCAGTCAATCAGTAGTTAATCACGGTATCTAAAATTTACTTTAAAAAGTCTCTTAAATATAGACGAATCGTGTAAAATTACTACATATTTAATAATTTGATCTTTGTTTTCTTGATAAGCGAAGTCATAAACAACTATTAATTATATTTTGATCTTATTGATGAGAACTCTTATTAATTTTGCTTTTTAATATTTGACTACTTAAAAATTTTGTTTCGAAAAGACTATTACAAGAATGGAAAGTCTTTTGTTGAAGATAAGTGTTTTTATGAGATGATTTCGACGTAAGAACTGATATTACATTAGAGATGTCTGTCGTGATTAAATATCTACCGGAACAGCTCCGAAAAAAGTCTTTTGAATTTTGCTAATGTGATCCTTTTGAGCCGGATGTCTCGAAAGTTTTGCAACATCTCTTATTTTGCATATATTTTGACAAAAGAAAATGATTGAATGTTGATTCTTTTGAAAAGATGCACTATAAAAAATTCGTACTGAACAGGAAAAACTTTTCCAAATATTTTTATTACGATGGGCCAAAGTATTATTATTATATAGGTCGTTCATACTAAGTATAGAAAAACCATCAGAATAAGTCAATAAGAATTTTTCTGGGCGGTTCTAGTATACCTTTTCATGGTGCATCTTTTCTAAGAAATGATCAACATGTTGCCATTTTCTCATGTCGAAATATATGCAAAATAAGAAATATCGCAGCTCATACCGCCCATTTTTAAACACTGGAATTAGGAAATATTTATGTTTTAAAATGAATAATATTTAATTGTGTGCATGTTTCTTAGATATACAAACAATAACAATAGGACAGAAATTAAAAATAAGTATTTTAACATTTAATTTATTTAAAAACCGGAACAAACGATCTGCAGAACAATTACAGCGACAACGTTTTTCAACACGTTTTTTTCTCATGATTACTATAATTACTTTAATTATTTTAGTATTTTATGTTTCTTTTGAAAATATTACACATATGATTATTAAGAATAATCCAACAATTATTGAATTTAATAAACTTTATCAAGAATATCCAAATACTATTCAATGTCCATGTCAAACATATTCAATTGCATATGAACAATTTATTACATTTCAACCTCATTTACATTCAATTTGTTCAAGTACATTTGTTGATGAAACTTCACAATGGCTTGTAATTGATTATCCACAAACAATGCCAATACATTCTGCTCGAAAAGATGATTTTCGACAAATTGGAAGTCCGTTTTTTCAACTTTTAAATTCATTTTGTAATTTATCAAATAAAACAGTCTATGCAGAATTAAGAACATTTGATTCAAGTAGATTTATTACATTAAATTTAATTACATATGAACAATTTCAAACTCAAATGAATCAATTAATTGATCAATTTTTACAAAATACAGCTCGTGCATTTATTAATTCACTCTTTTTTGCGGAAAATATGACTGCAGCAAATATGTTATTTTCTGCATTTCAATCGGATTCATTGTATTCATCAGGATCTCCAGTATATGATGAGTATAGGTTTACAGATTATCAATATATCTATGATCGAATAGATCAAATATATAATTCAAATGAAACTGGAATTGATTGTGATTGTCAAAGTACACCATGGTGTATTCAACAAGCAATTGTTTATGATTTAGATACAATAACACAACTGTTTTCTCCACCAGGTAAAGTTCTTTATATATCTATATCTGTATAAATGTAAAAGAAAATAGATTTGAGAAGATGTAAATATTACTGAAAAAATTGTTGTTATTATTTTTTTATGCTTTTACTTATCATCATCAATATCGCGACAAGCAACATTTGCCTATATGGTTGCTGGAAAACGACACATGAAGATCTTTTTACTATTCTTTTCTCTTCACTTTTGGTTTTTCAGAAAACTTTCTGATTTCTAAATTTTCACAGGGCAAACTTAGTGGAAATCTACTTTTTATCGTAATGAATGTAGCCTTATTTTTCACAGAAAATCCTTTATTTCAGAAGAACTCAGTTCTCTAAGAATTCCTCTTTTTTTTTAAAAAATCGTAATTGGAGATCAGTTTTATACGAATATATGATTTATTTAGATATTTTCTTTGTTTATTTTACAGAAATGATTTAAAAAAACTGTATTGATCAAATATTTAGAAATTATAGAGTCTTTCTTTTGAATAAGTGCATAATATGTTCTGATGAAAAATATATGTATATTTCATTATTTTAAGGTATATTTGTTGGATGTTATCTTGTTGAAGCAGTTTTACAAAGTGATCTAAGATGTTTCTTCGATATTGGTTGTTTACAACAGTTGATTGATAGTTTATCTTTGGTGAATATCAGCGCATCGGATATTATTTTAAATTCAACAGCAAGTCATTATCAAGAAAAAAGTTCTTTATTAGAAATTGTTTCAAATTTAATGATTGAAGAATGGAATAATCAAACATTTTATGATAACTATTTTAATATATGTCAACCATCAGTTTGTACAGCAACATATGTTAGCCGTGGAAATATTATTTATATTATAACAACAACTATAGGATTGATTGGAGGATTAACAAAAGTCTATATATTTATTGCACCAATATTTATAAAGATTATGGTACATGTAATTATTCCGTTTATACGAAAAAAATGTGGTATGAATAACGATGGAGAGATATGATAGAATGGCTGGTGAATCTTTGACTTTTCTGCTTCACTTTTAAGTCAATGTTGTCTTGCATATTATTTACATTAATAATAATAATAAAATGATTTTCTTACATATTATTTACATTTAAAGTATGTAGTAAAGTCATTTTATCATTGATTATAATATATCGCTTTATTTTTTTCTTCATTTGCTTAAGTTTGTTTTATGTTATGTTTTAAATATTTATTTATACTCTTATAATTTTATTCAAATAATCCTGCAAAATAAAAAACTCATGATTAATCTAAAAATTTCAAAATTAAACCAAAGAAAATGGAAGATAATGATTATGAATTTTGACATTTGAAAGGAGGGGTAGGCGTGGGTGGGTGCTGATGTGGATGAGTATTATTTCTATCTCATACTCACACGCACATCCTCGAGATAGGAAGAGAAGGAGTAGGGTATGGGTGTGGGTGTGGCGTGGGTATGGGTGTGACGTGGGTATGAAATAAACAATGTCAATACCGGCATCCAAACATGTACACCCACACCTACACCCACCCTCAATCAAAATCGTACGAATCTTACTTCATTATATTCTATTTCAGATGGGCGTTGCGCATCAATAATTACTGCGAGTTTTGGAGAGTTATACGCACATGTATCTCAACAACATTATAAGTTAGTGAAGTCGATAATGATGAACAGACATTCTTTTAATCATTGTATTTTTTTAAGAGGAAAAGGAAACCTTGGAGGACACAATTGTTTTACTCATTATCCATGCCCAATTCAGAAAGCAATAAAGATAAATTGTGGTTCAACAGCATTATCTCAAACATGATACCTTCATTACAACACGTGTATACTGTATCATTCTTACTTGATGAAGTAGAATATATTCCACGACAAAACATTTATGATAAACCATAAATTAAAAAAAAAGTATGTATGAAGTCTTGCATTTTGAATACTTATCTATAATTATTTAAGGTGCATTTGACGTTGATGTCGGACAAAAACGGAAAAGGTTGCGTCCGATGGATAATCGTGAATATCATCATCCTTCTTATCGAACTGATATTGCATTAGAACAACCTGAAACAGATGCAACATTTGAGTATAGTAAGAGTGCATATTATTATATGTTTAATCGAGTATATGAACAATGGAAAGAAGTAACTAATGGTAATAATCAAGAACATCTAGATATCATTATCTATAAAAATTCAAGGACAATACCTAGGTAATTTTTTTCTATTGACATTCAAGTATATCTTAGTGTGTACTACTCTTTCGTTCAGGTTCATTTGTAATTTCGCTCGGTTTCGAGCTATAATGAGCATTTTATGGTGAGACGAGGTTTATTGTTTAGTTAATATTAAGGATGTGATGGAGCCACCTTTTCAAGTATCAAATGATTTTATTGAAGCTGAAAAAACAGTAATGGAAGAAGCTTGATAAAATTACTTTTTTCAGTGTTTTATTACTAGTTTCTTTTATTTAGAATTTAGTCATGGAAATTCTCCGGCAGAAAATGAAAAGTTTTAATCTTGCAGACGCAATGGTTCAACGATGTCAATGGGAGGTGTTGATGGCTTGTACTAAATTAAATGCAACTCATTTAGTAAATATTCCTTCAAATTCGATAGGATTAGAATTATATTTTCTTGCATCTGCACTTCGCAATAATCATACTTTTTTATTTGAGCCAGAATCTAATAAAAAAATGTGCTGTTGGATGGATGAATTGACTTTGGCTCGTAAGCAAAATAACAATTCCTTTTCATATTTTATTTAGTTAAACACTTTATATTATATTATCATAGATGCACACCAAACTGCACGTATCGCTGCACAATTAAGTCATGTTAAAATTGGCAATAGAGTTATTAACAAAACTCATTAGTAAACAAAATTTTAATACATTTAAATCTGTTTCATATAATACCTATTGTGAATTGGTTGATTTCATTCAAACTGCATACCCACCTGTTAGTAGCACAATTATTAATATATCAGGTATGAAATAACTTTAACTTTTTATTTTATCCATTTTCATAATTTTAATAATAATTTTTATATCTTTATTTTTTATTTTTCAATAAATAATAATAATCTAATATATGTTTTCATAGTTTAACAATAAAATATAAATGAAATACTTGAGATATTATATATTAAATTATCTATTCTTACTTAAATGTATAATATTTAATTGTTCCTTCTTTTTTTGATTTTTTTTATATTATAATTTTTATATGTTTATCTTATCTTATTTGATTAAATAAATAATTATATAGTTATATATATATTATTAATTTATTTTATCTTATCTATATCATTAAATAGGTTAAGAATTATATTTTATTGTTAAATTATGAAAATATATATTAGATTATTATTATTATTTATTGAAAAATAAAAAATAAAGATATAAAAATTATCATTAAAACTATGAATAAAACCTTCCTAAAACGTAATAAATTTTATCCATTTTATCGATAACATCATTTTATCATTGATTAATATATCGCTTTATTTTTTTTTCTTCATTTGCTAAAGTTCATTTTATGTCATAGTTTAAATATTTATTTATACTCTTACAATTTTATCCAGATAATCCTACAAAACAAAATATCTCAATATAAAATAAATAAAGTAACAATAGAATTATCGAGAGTGTCTTCGGTAATAAATTTGGCAATTAAACACATCTCTTCTATAATTTTGTTTCGTAGAATGTGAATTAATATTGCATCCATAGTTTATTTTGCGATAGATATTACTTGATATTAACGTGAATAACAAATATGAATCACTCTACACGTATATTTTATAGGTATATATTGTAGTAGCAAGCGAATTCAGAAGTATGCACATATACATACACGATAAAAGCACATAAAGAGATGTGTGCATTCTACCATAACGATTGCTAAATACATATACAGTCTTTCTCTCCCATGCTTGTTTTACAATCATTATATTTTTTGTCGACAATATTAAATAATACTCGCTTTTCTTCGTATAATACAAATATAACATCGCAAAAAAATATATATATATAATACGTGGCAGTAACTTAAGTTAATATTTTCTTTTTTTTTATAGATTCTTAAACAATCAGCAATCATCATTGCTATAGTTCTGCTCCTGATCTTTTATTCAGAAGATTTTAAAAGTAAATATCGCCAATAATAATAATCATCAATTTTAATTCTCTTCTAATCTAGTTCAAGAATAATTTTCGATCTAAAATGAACGGCTGGCCACGGTAAAAAAATCACTGTTACTCATCTCGCGTGCTCTTGTTTTTTCGAAATTTACATTATTTTCTATTTAATATTCTTTTTTTTTCTGTAGTATAAAATCGATCATTGTCCAAACAATGTGGTGTCTCTTTATAATTTGGATTTTAGCGGTTTTCACTGGTTTCATCTTTACGTTTTTACCAAGACATGAAAATAGTCAAAGTGGTCTTATTGGCTTTACTGATGATTCAGGTAGAGATGAAGAAATGACTTTTATATGTAAAGAGATATTTTAAAAATGTGGAATCATGCATTCGAATTAATACTATATTAAATCGATAGGCTTAAATCAGATCAGAGAGAGAAATAATATTAAATATTTATCGTTACTTGTCAATGAGTATTAATTTAATATAATATCATATAAAAAAATGGATTTAGCATATTAAAAGATTTTCTTATTTGCTTTATTTTTGTAGCTTCAACCCAGTTAAATCTTAATTATAAGACGAGTATTCAGAACAATGGTTCCCTGAATGTTTCAAATCTATCTGACCTAGCAACACAGGTAAAGACATCTGTATCAATTCAAATAAATTCACAAGATATTTTTCTTTGAAGATTGCCGATACATATAGTGTATCACATAAAACTATTAGAGTATTTTCTGCGAGATTTGTTCAAAGTCTCATAATAACACGGCGCAAACGAGAAATGTAAGTATTTTTTATCATTTTATTTTACTATCATCGAAGATATATATATGTTAAGCATGTGAGCGAAAGTATCATACTTTGAATTTAGTTTTCGAGCTTGCTACTACTAAACATGACATACTTAGATCAAACATATTTATATGGTAAAACTATTTGACATATTTTTCATTATTAAAAAAGAAGTAATATAATTAAAGTATGGATGATACAAAACTCTTGTCTTATCTTAGATGACTCTTCACAGTTACGAAATTAACATGATTCTACTTCTGCTAGACTTAGATTCTAAAAATCTAATTATTCAAATGAATTAGATATTAAAAATATATTAGAAGTGAATTTTTTATTGTGTTTATAATGTATTTTTGTTTTAGTGTAACAAATGACATGAATGCGACTAACCAAATGGAAAATCTATTTGTAATTGGAATTGAAATCAGATACCCAACCACATGTCATGGTGTAATAATATGCAACAATCGTTTTATTAATGGTTTCCGAAGAACGGTTCAGTTAGGTCCATCACAACTCAGTTTCGTTGTATCATTTACCAACGGTATCACATTAAATATTGATGCTATTTTTCAATCGCTGAGTAGGGTAATCATCTACAACACAACGGACACAACAATGACTAGTAAGAACTTTCTCTCATTTTTACTAAAGTAGTTTCATATATATTCATCTTCGGTATGAGATTCATTATAGCATTGACACAGATCTGAAGTATGAAAAACCCCAAAAGGATATTTCTCCATACAGCTATAAGATATATAGACGCTCGAATAGTATTCTGCTAGTGGAACTATATATCTGATGAAGTGTAATTATACTGTGATTGATTAATAAAAAGAATAAGAAATATGCTGGAAAAAACGGAATAGTTATATTTACTTACTAGAACATGATATTCAGCGGAACATGAAAGATGTTAATCATACATATAATAAGTTAAATTAGTAGACAATACATTTTCTACGATAACTCTTCAAGTAGACTAAATGTAGCATGTGCTCTATTTAATATTTGATCTGTAAAATTCTTTTTTAAATAAATTATTGTCGTTTGTATAGCAACGACAACTTCTACAACTACAAGCGCAATTACAACGACTTCGTTAACTAGCTATGCTACAACTATAACGCCAACTAGCAGCAGTACCGCGACAACGTCAACTGAGAGCAGCACAGCATCAACTAGCAGCAGCACAACGCCAACTAGCACAAGCACAACCATAACACCAACTGATAGCAGCACAGCATCACCTAGCAGCAGCACAACGTCAACTGAGAGCGACATCACAACAACATCAACTAGCAGCAGCACTACGTTAACTGAGAGCAGCACCACAACGACATCAACTAGCAGCACTACGTCAACTGAGAGCAGCACCACGACAACGTCAACTAGCACTAGCACAACGACGACAATAACAACCAGCAGCAGCACCACAACCACCACGACAACATCAACTACTAGCAGTACAACTACAACCTCAACAAGTACGACCACATCGACAACGACAACGACAACGACAACTATGATTACAAATCCATGTGAGTAAAAAGAAACTATAAATAATTTTTGTAGTATTTGCAGTATGAATGGTTTAAATCTTTTATCTAAAATAATTGAAATTCTATCATGTAATATTTATTTCTAATATTTATCAATAGACATGAGAATTAATTGTATAAGCTAAGCAATTCGCGTATTAATATTTTATAATTTATATCATTTTTAGGTGCATTCGGTGATTTAGGTTGGAATACAACAGGTATTACTGTAATCAGTTCACCACCAAATATGGGAGCTTCGGGTGTATTCGTTGGCTTAGATGGTACTTTATATTCTGTGGATGAGAATAGTAATTTCGTTGTATGGAAACTATTAAATAATGCTGTAAATGTAACAATCGCAGTTGGATTGTATCAATCACAAGGGTCTAATAGTTCTCAACTCAATTATCCAAATGATATTTATGTCGATAGATATGGAAATTTATATGTAAGTGATTCTAGCAATCAACGAATACAAAAGTTCAGTAATGGATCAACAATAAATGGACAAACGATTGCAGGTGTAACTGGAGTAGCTAGCTCTGCATTGAATCAATTCAACACGCCGCGATATTTTACTTTTGATGCTACAGATACATATATGTATATTGCTGACTATTATTGTCATCGAATTATGCGCTATTCAACGAATTCGACTGGAGGTACTAATGGAACACTGGTAGCTGGTGGAAGTGGAGCATATAATCAAAACACATCGGTGAACGGGCCATGGGGTATTCATTATTTGTCATCTGTAAGCAGTGATCTATTTATAACAAACAATTATGGACATACAGTAATGCGTTGGACTCCTGGTGCTACTTCAGGCACTTTCGTTGCTGGTACGCCAGGTGTTGCAGGTTCTAATTCTACTCTCTTAAATCAGCCGATGGGTATTAAAATTGATTCTTATTTGAACATGTACGTTGTTGACTATGGTAATCATAGAGTACAACTTTTTTGTGCAAACAATCAAACTGGCATCACTATCGCTGGAACTGGTGTCGCTGGTAGTGGCGCAACACAATTAAGTAGTCCACGTGGTATTGCATTTGATTCAGCAATGAATATGTATATTGGGGATTTCAATAACCATCGGGTCCAGAAATTTATCAAGCTCAACACAGCGGCAACATCGAGTGAGCAATATGCTTTTTTATTTGTAGTTACTTAAACGATAATTGTTTCGGTGGTCACAGGAAAAGGTTTTACTTTTAAATATCCTATGCTTACTATCTAGATAAATAACATTAGAGACGACTTCCTGATAGCACTTAAAATAGGATTAGTTTTTGACAACTGGATTCAACCTACGGTGAGGGAGTAAATAAAGGAAATATTTCAGAGGTAAAATTAATGATTTTTATTTTCGATCTTGCTTCTTTTTTGAAACTTGTATGTATTTTTGTCTTATAAAAGAGAAATAAAACAATTATTTTAGATAAACTTCAAATTACCTCTCGAATATGCCCTGAAGTATTTGTAGTAAAAATTTCGATCCGATCGGACGAAACTAGGGAGGAAGAGAGCTCATAAGCAGACAGGATTCGAAAAAACGCCATTCTTCAGTTTTCTTAAAAAAAAGAAAAAAACAAGATTGTATAGAATCTCTGTTTAAAATAGTATTTTATGAATCCAGTAACTTCGTACCGGTATGTTATTTGTAGTCGACTAATGTCTCAAATTGTAGATAATAATTGTATTGTAAAACTATTTTGCTTTTAGCTACAAATTTTACACTTCAATGGAACTCTACAGGCATCACTGTAGCCGGTGATGTTGGTGGTTCGTCAGGTACAGCCGCCAATCGTTTTAGTGGGCCTTATGTTTTGAGATTTGATTCTTCAAATGCTCTCATTATCTCTGATACGTTAAACCATCGAATACAAAAATGGATCATAGGTAACTCAAGTGGTGTAACAATTGCCGGTCAGGCAAGTGGAACAGCAGGTTCTTCCTCTAATTCTTTGTACCAGCCAGTCGGTATTGTACTCGACTCAAGTGACGGCATATACATCGCAGATAAAGCCAATAATCGAGTTATGTTCTGGGCAAATGGTGCATCATCTGGCTCGATGATCGCTGGGACAGGTAATAAAAATAAGAAAAGTTTATTCTGTATTGCATTCACACTACCCAATCCAAGATTACTAGCTATAAAATCATCAGAACGTGATCTACCTGTTATTGAGAAGTGTACCATAAAATAGTTACTTCGTAGTTTTCATCTTCATTGATTATTCTTAGTATTATTATAGGAAACGAAAATGACATTTAGGAGTGTAATTGTTCATTCATAAAATGAATAATTGCCTATAGAATCATAGAAAGTTTGAAATTTTTCATAATTTTATAGGTAATTCTTATTTTCATAAGTTTTTGTGTGATATATCATCATTAGTCTTGCTATTTAAAATCTTAGCAATACATTCCTGAAATATTGTTTCACATGTTGACACTGTCTTTTTGAGCATATAAACAACAAATAAACAGTTCAAATACTAATAGTTTTATCCTCGAACTACACGCCTATAGTAGTGAGAGATTGCTTTCATAAAAATTATTATATTCAAACTGTTTTCAGGTGTTAGTGGAAATGCAAGCAATCAGTTTAGAAATCCTAACATGATCGAACGCGTTTCAAGCTCGGGCACTCTGTACATCAGTGATCTAGAGAATCATCGTGTGATGCAATATCTTAACGGTAGTTCATCCGGTACTGTGGTGGCTGGTGGAAACGGACCTGGGACAAACACCTCGCAATTGTGGTACCCATTCGGATTTACTCTAGATTTATCGACGAATAGTCTAATAATTTCAAACTGTGATGCTCACAATGTTGTTCGTTGGGTGATAGGCGCTACGAGTTGGACACTTCTTGCTGGCAGTGCTACTGGAGCAAGTGGATCTTCATCGACACTTTTGTATAATCCTATTGGTGTAGCAATAGATCGATATCACAATCTATATGTAGCTGATGCAGCCAATCATCGGATTCAGCTTTTTTTGGCTGGTCAGTTTAGTGCTACGACGATTGCCGGTATTACTGGTTCACCTGGCATCGGCGCTACTCAATTAAATAGACCCTATGGAATATTATTCGATAACCAATTGAATTTATATGTATCAGACAATTCCAATAACAGAGTACAAAAATTTGCATATTATGGTACAACGGCAACTACGTCGACAACATCCACAACGACAACTACAACTACAATCGCAACTACAGCTACAACAAGAACTGCGAGTGAGTAATGTGGGCGATATTTTGTATTTTTTTTATGTTGATTTTTTAAAATAACTTTCGAGTAGTTTTGAGTGCCGATTGTTGTCCGTCTAGCAAAGTCACTGTAGAGATCATTTTCTTTCTGATATTTGAACCAGCGAAAATTTTTTATTATTCAGTTGCTGTCACCGTACATCGGGTGTTTAACACACTCAATTGGCCTGGTTGTGTCTGGCATTTTTATAAGATTATTTCTTTCATAAAAAAAAGGTTCTGTCAGGATTGATCATTGTGATTACTCTATTCAATTATTACTAGATAGTAAAATGTTAATAATGATAGATATCGTAACTGAGTAAAGTTGGAGAGCATTAATCGTTTTAAAATTTCTTTAGAGATACTTAACTCACATATTGAGGTTTGTTAGGAGATTTCTTGTATTTTTGCATCTGGGAAGCTTCAAATCTTAGAGGGTAAAATAAGAAGCACTTTTTTCTTCCGTAGTTTTGTAGGCTTAGACGCTTAGTTTAAAATCATGGAAACAAACAGCAAGACTATTGAATAGAAGTATTTCCATTTTGATTATCGATTTTATTCATTGGTTATTACTCAATGTTTTTTTTATTTAGTTTGGCAAATGGTGGGAACTGGCTCTGTTATCGGTGATGCAGGGTGTTATGGCCTTGCATCTAATTATGTAGGAAATTTCAGCCAATGCAAATCTAGTTGTGAATCAATGACGAATTGCAGTGCAGTAGATTGGCTGGCAAGTGCATTATTATGTGTGTATCGCCAATGTACTACCTATCCGCCAAACACTCATCCACAATCGGGTGGCTGGGAAGCATGGGCTATTACAACGTCATGTAAGTCATATGAGTTTGAGGGTGTGATCCGTTAGTAAAAAATAATATACATCCACGTCTATCCGCTCTCAAGATTATTAGACAGAATCGAACTTAGCATATTTAATAATTGTTGCTATCTTGAACATCTGATAGAATACTTTAGTTCTCAATAGTTTTATTTCGTGTTTTAAGAATGTTGCATTAATTCTAAGTATAAATATGCTGTCAACACACTTTCTAAACATCATCTACATGAAAGTTATTTAGATATTCTCATAAGTAAACATTCTCTCAAAACATTACATTCAAACTGATTGAGAAACAAAGTAAAACCTAAGAAAACACATTTTATTTATAATAGAATAAAGAATTTTGATCTAATTTATTGGCATTATTTCACATCTAGTAATATAAGAAAACATCAACGTTGAAAGTGTTCATTCGAATTGTTTAATCACAATGATATCGACTTAAAAATAAAACTAATAATGAGCGAAACAATTCACATAGATAAATAGGCATTCGATCGCTACTGATGTCAATCATGTTATAGATATTCATACATAGAAAAGAAATTCAATCTAAATTCTTGTTGAAAAATACTTAACAAGTTTAATTTGTTGTAGCTTTACTTAATCCACCTCCTATTATTCAGTGGTTATTCGATGGCGATTTTAACGATGTATATGGTACTTATAATGGATATTTAGTTAATAACAGTAATGTTACATGGATGTCACCAGGCTATGCTGGATATGGAAGTGCCGTTTGCTTTTTATCTACCAATTATTTACTCGTCAATCATTATCTTAATTTCAATTCAACTAGTTTCACAATTTCTGCTTGGATATGGATTCCAGCTAATCTTTCATTAGGTGGAAATTTCTTTGTAATTTTTAGTCATTGCAACGCAACTAATCCAGATATGTGTATGCACATTGGAATAAATGGTGGTAGAGTCTTTTTAGGTTTCTACAGTGATGATTTAACAGGAGGTACTTCACTGAGTTCCAACCAATGGTACCATGTTGCCTACGTCTACGATCGATTATCATCCAGACAGATTGTTTATTTCAAAGGAAATCAAGATGGAACTCGAGTGACTAATGGTTTTTATACAGGTATTGCAAGCACACTGGTTGTCGGAGCCATACCGTCATTTGGTACGGGATTTGTTGCTAATAATGGTTTCATTGATAAATTGACATTTGTGTCACGTGTTAAAACTTCTGCTGAGCTTCTTGACGAAGCTACTCTTGTTGCTTATTATCCATTCGATAATTCTTACACTGACTTCGGACCCAATCAGATCATAAATAGTACTAGTGTCTCAACTATGTTTGACTCGTCTGGTCAATTTAATCAATGTTTATTGATTAATTCAACAAATTTATCTTACTTTCAAACAACAGGTTTCTCTTATCTTGGTCAGACGAGCTATTCATATTCATTCTCTTTGTGGATTTATCCATTCGTCAATAATGGTACTATTCTTCAGGTAAAATTCACCTAAACATAATCATCATATCTAATCTATCATGATTAATTAGGTCAGCTCTTCAAATGGTTGGTGTGTGCCAATGATTGGTTTTGATATTTCTGGTCGTCTAACAATCCAAACAATGGGTAGTAATGGTATTTATGCTGTTTCATTAACTTCTGGAACATTATCACTAAACCAATGGACTCATATGGCTATGACTTATTCAACTATAAATGGTATTCAACTGTTTATGAATGGAGTATTCATGGTTGGTAATAATACCGTTACAAGCTACTCAGCTAGTGGTCAAATAAGTACAATTACTATTGGAACTTGTCTTTCTCCAAGTACATGTGCTGTTAATACAACAACAATTATTCCATCACAATTTCGAGGAAAAATTGATGAATTAAAAATCTTTTCTCGTGAATTATCATTAAGTGATATTGGTCAACTAGCTCAAGGTCAGTATTTTTAATTCAAATATTAATAAGAAATAAGATCGTTTGTTCAGTTTGCACGAGAGATATCCCATTTTTTCGATAAAGTAACTTTTGACTCATTCTGACAGGTAAAAATAATAATGTAAGCATCGAATACTCTGTATTATTGTTAGCTATCATTGCACAATTCCTACTGAATGTCTGAAAAAGACGAACATTAATAGAGTATATCATCATTTGTAACACTTGTTATCTGCAAAAAAAATATATTGAACTTTTAAAAGACATATTTAAACATGCGTTTAGTCAACAATAGAAAACAGTAAAATGAGATATATTTCCTCTTATAACTGTCAGAAAAGACTTTTTTCTTCTGTAAAAATGTCAGTAAATTAGAGACTCAATATATGAATCAATGATAATATTATGAATTATTGTTTAGCAACAAGCTTATATACATTTGGTCCATCCAGTTTCTGGCAATTTGATAACAATACCTTAGATAGTATATCAAATCTCAATGGAGTAGGTGTCAATTCACCTAGTTATGTAACACCTGGAATCACTGGCAGTGGATATGCTTTAAATCTTAATAAAACCAATACTCAATATGTAACAATAGCAGCCAATCAAATATTCGCTAATACTAGTTTTACAGTGGAAATGTGGATTTATCCTACTTCATTAAGCGATATTTTTTATGGACTCTTCTCTCAACATGAAGCTTCGGGAACTGATCGTCTATTACATTTGATTCTTAAATATCAACTGCTTTACATGGGTTTTTTTAGTGATGATCTTCAGGGTACAACCTCAGTGTCAGTTCCGTACACTTGGTATCATGTTACTTTCGTTTACGACTATCGATCACGAACACAAATCGTATATTTGAATGGATATCAAGATGGTCTTCGTACTCCGGCTGGACCATATTTAGGAATCTCTGGCGCAATAACTATTGGAACATTTTTTGATTCTTCTAATATAACTCAACCTTACAATGGGTAAGAAAAAATGATTAAGTTAAAAGCATTGAGGTTGAGTAGTTTACCCATTCTCTATCAATTAATTCCTTACGCTTAAAAACTTGAAAAGAAATAGAGATTATCATTTGATTTTTAGTTACATTGATCAAGTTTCGCTGACCATGCGAACTAAAACTGCTAGCGAAATACTTACTGATGCTACTTTGACCACTTGGCATTCATTTGATAGTATACCATTACAAGACTCTGGTCCACTTGGACTTATTACAGCAACTAATAATGTTACTTTAACAACTGGAAAGGTGAATCAAGCATTAAATTTCAACTCAACTTCATCTTATTATCAGGTATGTCGTTGAAATTATTTAACCTTTTACTGTTAATAGTTTAGAAAAAGAAACATGAATATATCGAAGCTCTAGTATTTTACATAAAGCAAGAATAAATAAATACAATCTGATCCAATTGAGTGTACATAATTGCGCACGCAGTTTGACTAATTAATAGATATTTAAAATACAGTTGATCCATTGATTTTCATCTAACTAAATTATTCGATCAACAAGGTTGAGAAGACTTTATATATAATAACTAGAAAATGATGAAAATAACAATAAGATCATTTAATGTATAATATTTATTTAGATACAAAGTTTTGTTCTTCTTGGAACCTCGAACCATTCATACTCTATTGCGTTGTGGGTTAAACGTACATCAACAGGTGGTGGAACTCTTGTTCATCTTTCAACACAAACAAATGGACAAGGATGGTGTGTTACCCTATTAGGATTTCGCTCTACTGGTGAAATAGTAACCACCAATTCGGGCTCTACAGGCAATGAAGTAGTGGGTCCTATTCTACCCATCAACGTCTGGACTCATGTCACTAGTACTTTCTCAACCATGAATGGATTACGATTTTATATAAATGGAATATATAGTGCTAGTACAGGTGTTATGTCCTATAGTGCTGCACAACAAGCAGTTATTTTGACATTGGGAAATCCAATGATGGGTGGCTCCTGCAATTCATCATCAATTACTACAGGCATTTATTCTGGTTATTTAGATGAATTTCGTGTTTATTCTCGAGAACTAAGTGTTGCGGACGTTTATACACTTGCTAATCCATAAATATAAACTATGAAAAAGATTCTTTCTTGCTGTATAATATATATACCATATTTACATAATAATCAAGCGTTTTATTTCTAATTAAAAGATTTGCTTTAACTTTTTTTGTATTGTGAAAATGCTTCTCTTAAAAATAAATTTAAGCGTGGTGTGAGGAACTGAATATTGTATTTATTGCACAGTAAGGAAGTGCGAAGTAGTACTCATGAAATAGTAAAGCGTATTTATTTTTCTTATGTTAAGTAATAAGCCAGAATATCTCATACTTTTAACATCAACAAAGAGAGTAAACAAATTATGATAATATTATACCACTTTTCACTCGACATTAATGTTTTTTCTTCTCGAAAAAATTTCTCTAATGATTAGCATCAGTTGTTAATTGATCAGTTTCAGTTAAAACTTTTTTATACATTTTATTTCTGTAATTTATATTGGACAAAAAATAAATTGATTTAAATATTATTAGATTAGAAAGAGAATTTCAGAGGTTCTAAGAGTTGGAGTCGGTTCTCCTGGTTTTGCATATCACTGTGACATAACAAAAATCTTGAGTAGAGTATAAATGAGAAGTATCTTTGAATTAAAATAAATATTTAAAGCATTTTTTTATTTACAAAATACAACAACTATGAAATATATTATAAAAATAGTCTTATTTGTTCTTCTAATAAATTTCTCTTCAATTTTATCTATCATCATAAAATAAGATTAAAATAAATGGATATATCTCTACATTTTTTGTTTACATCCAACAACATTTTAATTTTTTTGTTAATGGTGGTGTTTGAATAACAATTGCATCGTCTTTTAATGGAATAAAATAATGCATTGTAAAAAATTCATTTTGTATCCAAAATAATTTATTTATAGCTATTAAAATTCCATGTTTATTTATTTCATCTATATTATCAGCATTACATAAAATATCAATAAGTGTTTGTTGTAAATAACCAAGTAAAACATTAATATGTATATAATCAATATTAATTGATGATAAACCAGCTTGATTTGTATGCATTTTTCCAACTTGTGATAAATATTGAAGAAATGTATCATTCCAATCATGTTGTGTCAAAACTTTTTTTAAATACATAGTTAACATATCTTTACGAAATGTCATATCTGTTGATTCTAATGTATCACCGGAAATAGTTTTTTTTGGAATAAATTTTTCATTATGTATAAGAAAATGTTCTTTTGTTATATCAAATGAAAATAATTTTCGACAAACAGAATCAACAATTACAGGAATAACTGGTAAAACAATTGATGAAAATGTATTAAGCATAGTTATATCATTTATAGTAAAATTTAAAAATTTTGATAAATATTCAAAACGATAACGAAGATCATTATTAAGTCGATCACTATCAATATGTTCAGCCATAGAAAGATGAAATATAAATGTTTTATTTAAAAATAGTTCTTTCTATTTTTCTTTCTTGTTTTTTTACGCATCTCATGATGTAAAGTACATTGCAAAAAGTTTAATTACGCATGACTTCGAATAAATTTACATTTCAAACCATTTTATTTTACAGGTCCGACAGATAAACATATATGCAACAAAGAATTGAAATATCAAAATCAAATAGTAGCACGCTATATAAACTAATCAGAAATGCGAATTAGTATTTAACATAACTTATAAACCATAGTATTATAATAATCTTTTATTTAGTAGTATGGATAGATGAGTATGTTATTGATGGAAATAATGCGTTGTAGGATAGATCAATAGGAATGCTTAAGATATTTTTTAAAATTGAATTATGAAAATTATTTCACTCTAATTATGTGTGACTTGGAACAATTATGAAAATAGTTTCCAATGTACTTGAATCATCTTTCTTTGTACAATAATTAAAATCATTTGTTAGTTTTTTAAAAGCATTTAATTTTGTTAGATTGGTAGTTGCTGTTAAGATGTGTCTGCATTCAATAAATAATGCAATTATAATTTGAAAAAAAAATTTGCATAGTTATTAAATAAAATATATGAATTTCTATTTATCACACATATACCATCTATGATTAGACTTCAAGCAGATCAAACCTAACGGCTATCCAATAATCTTTGAGAATCAGCGCTATGAAGTCTACTATCAGATAGTATATATTTTGAAATTGAAAATAATTGGAATGTAATGCTAATGTATATATAACATATAATAAATAGTTTTATCAAGTTTAGTTGATTTGTCGCAAAATTCGTTATTGAGAAAGTGTTATGTATACCAAACATGAGATAAAAATTGTTCGAACTCAAGATCTTCTTGAGAGTTCATCGTCTATATTGAATTTCTTCGTACTTATTTGTCGTGTGATTCTATATTTATACTTTCATTCAGAACTTTTGTTTTTATATTGTCTAGTATTTTCATTGATTATTGATCAAGATCCAAAATATATTTATCTTGACAATTTCCAAAAAAAAACCTTCTGATTTCTACTGATGCATTAAAATATAACTAGATCATGTGTCTCATGTCAAAATAAACTAGTATTAAAAAAACATGTATATCTCTATAAATAAACATAAACATTTTATGCTTCGTTTCTCACAGGAAATACGAGCTGTTCTAGTACCATATAAAATTAATTTGTGGAAATATCTAGGTAAATATCATGCATATCTATCATATGTAGAACAAAAGAACAATTTAAAATGATTTCAGCAGTTACTAATAGCTAAAAAAAGTAGACCAATGATTTCTGCAGTCTACTACTTATAAAAAAAATATTAGCCAATTTTGTATTGGTAAAATGTTTGTTCACTTGATATAATATCGAAAACTTCAACTATAAATATTTTCTTCAGTAGAACTTCATCGAACTATTTCAGAACAAAGTTTTTCACCTGAAACAAATTCATAATTATAATCTTCCTTAAGAATACACTATGTTAGAGAAAAAAGTCAGACTTACCTTCTAATAATAATATAGAAAAGACATGTCTTACGGTTAATTGAAGTTAATTTAACATGATGTTGTCTTTCCTAAGATTATCAAGTGGAGATTTTTGTACCAAATATACTTTCTATTCTACTACGTATTTATTAGAATCATTGAATTGCACTAATCAGTATTCTTAATAAAAAAATAGATATAAAAATTAATTTTAGCAATGAGGTCCAAAGAAAATTATTCGTGTCAATGAGAAAGAAAAATGAGACTGATATATAAATATTGTAATCAACTCTTTAAAGGATACTTCATCTTATATTTTTGATTATAAAAATGAGAATGAATAGAAAATTTTCTAGTTGATTATTTTATACTTTTTGTTGAAAAAACTCAATATTTGAAAGAACTTTTATCTCTGATAGAATAATTAAAACCTGTTCAAGCCTATCATACTGTTATTTGTGATATAACAAACACATGACAGACTTCTTTCTTATAAATGGCTTAAAATGATGACTGGTATCTTTTCAGGAACATGTCTCTTTGTGACATTATGGGAGGTGAAGTACTTTAGCTTAAAATAGAATTCTTTTGTATCTGACATGGATATTTTCCAGTTTTTAATTGAAAATACTTCATGTTCGAGTGAACGAGTATCTTTTTAGGTTATATAACAGAAATAATTTTTCAAACGAATTGCAAACTAAGAATATACGAATAAATCACTACTAAGACGAAACTCTTTGATCTTTCTTAATCTAATATTAACAATCAAAAGAATAATACAGTAGAAGCATGACTCACATTGTATATAACATATGAAGAGTTTATTTTATTGTTCATTTCAATTTATACTATCTTTTTTTTGATAATTTCCAAATACAAGAAAAAAAAAGAAAAAAATTTAATGAAAGCAACATTTAGTAAAATGAACTGGTGATACATTTGAAGCTGGTCTTTCTTGAATTGATGCACCATAATGCATTGTAAAAAAATCATTTTGTATCCAAAAGAATTTATTAATTGCCCGTAATGTATCTAATTTTTCTTTCTCATCAATTTTTTCTGTATCCCAAATAATACCAATAAAAGTAGTTTCAAGAAATGAAAGTAATGTATTTATATGTATATAATCAACATTAATTGATATCGCTCCACCTTTGTTTGTATGAATTTCTCCAACACGTGATAAATACTGTAAAAATGTATCATTCCATTCTTGTTCAGCTAATACATGTCTTAAATATACACTTAACATATCTTTTCGATAATCAACTTGTACAGATATTAATGTAGTACCAAATTCTTTATTTGGAGAAAACTGTTCGAAACCATCATTTGGTAAAAGGAAATAATTTTGTGTGATATCAGATGAATATAATTTTTTATAGACTTTTTCAACAATATCTGGAAGAAGTGGAATTATAATTGGAGTTAATGTATTCAATAGATGTATGTCTAAAGAAGTAAAATCAATACATTTTGATATATAATCGAATCGATAACGAAGATCAACATTAAGCCGATTCTTGTCGATGTGTACAGCCATATTTATCATATGAAAATGATCTTATTTTTCTCTTCGATAGAAAAATAGTTCTTTTCTTTTTCTTCTTTCTCTACAGACAATGAAAGCTATTCATGCAAAGTTTTCATTTTCTTATTTTTAAGTAAATCTTTGATTATGTTCTATACAAACTGTTGAAGACACTTTTTTTTATTCGGAGAGTTTTAGTAAATCCTTCGAATCGAGTTTTGACTAGACTATGATATTCACAGCTTGAAATTTTTTCCAATAAAAAGAAAATATCTATTGCATAAAATCATGATTTCAAATTTAATTATTCATAATCGTATATTCTTAGACATACTCAATAATTATTACATTTGATTTTATCATGAAACTTTAATAATACTTTAAAATGATAATATTTAAACATGCTTCGAGTTGTGACCAAAACAATGTATTAATTCACAATAGAATGAGATTTTTGAAGTAATAAATGATATATTTGAGAACAAGATTTATAGAAATTTATTTTAGTCGGTAAAAATCTTCCCGGATTTAACAAAAAAAGCGTCCGGAATTTTCTAGATTTTGACATTAGAATTCCGGTTTTCAGACTATGACAGTTGGCATCACTGAAGTTGTAACTTTTCTTTTGAATAAATGAATACTTGACAATAAACTTCAAATTTTAAAGAAGAATTATAACATTGACATATCTCATTGATAAAATTTTAAAAGAAGATCGAGTATGTTGAGTCCGCTTTTAGATACGATAATAAGTCATATTTTACGTTAATGACTATGCATTAAAACTAATTGTATACCTGATATTTTTTCTTACATATTATCTCATATTTCCGATTGCATTGTGGATGTCAGGTCTAATTAAATATCTTTTTCGTGGGATGTTACTATATCGTATATAATGCTAAAAATATCTTTGCTAAAGTTTAAAATTAAAGTCAATTTATTGATGTTGCAAAATTCAAAATTTGTGACTTAATAAATGATGTAAAAAACGAATCGTTTTTTCTCAATATAAAAAAATATAATTATGTCATAAGATAAGTTTTTCATTAATTTCATTTGTTATTAGTTGTATCCTTTAATGATATTCCATAATGCATTGTAAAAAAGTGATTTTGTATCCAAAAAAATTTATTTATTGTTCGTATACTATCACGTTTCTTTTTCATATCCAAATTTTCTATATTCCATATTATATCAAGAATTAAATGTTCAAGATAACCAAGTAATGCATTTACATGAATATAATCAACATTAATACTTTGAGAATTTTTATTATTTCCATGTAATTCACCAACATATGATAGAAATTGTAAAAATGCATCATTCCATTCTGATTGTATTAATATCCGTTTTAAATACATACTTAACATATCTTTTCGAAAATCCGTTTGTGCAGATAAAATTGTACCATTAATTTCAGTATTCGATGAAAATACTTCAAAATCATCATTACGACGAACAAAATATTGTTTGGTTATATCAAATGAATATAATTTTTTATAAACTGTTTCAACAATTGATGAAATACGTGGAAATAAAATTGGTGCCAATGAATTAAGTGTATTAATATCATCTTTAGTAAAATTAAGAAATTTTGATATATAATCAAAATTATAACGAAGATTAGTAAGAAGACGCGTTCGATCAATATGCTCAGCCATTAAAATTTGTTAGCAATTAGTTTTACCCATACAAAATTATATTGCTTTGTTTTTAATGGCTACGTTTTTAAAAATAATTTTAGACATTACTTTTATTCTCGTCTGACGTCGATGAAGCTCATTAGCGTAGTCATGCCAAGTAATGGAATATGAATATTTTTTGTATGACAAAAAAAGCGCTCAATTAAACACAGTCCTATCCTTATTGAAGGGTGTTACACACACTTAACTAAATAATGGAGTGGAAAAATGCTATTTTGTATTTTAAATTAGAAAAATTCTTTAGAGAGAAGATAATGATTTAATAGTCGAAATCAATAGCAACTGTAACCTGTAAAATTTATTCAAAAAATCTTATTGTGGTTAAAACAAAGTTTTCAAACAGTTATATTTATAATGTCTTACAATTCTGAAAAAAATCCGTTTTTATATTTTAATCACAATTTTTCAACGATTATAAAACTAAATATGAATTATTAAGTAAAATTTATTCCTACACTAAATATAAGATAATTTTAAATATCTAATTTAGTTTGTCGTTAAGCACCAAAATTGCTTAACGTATAAATATGATTAAGCTTGCCTAAGTCTGATATTATCGAATTAAAATGATTTATTTTTGTTATTCAAATTTCTCAAGGATCATAATAGATATTTACAAATAGTAAGATAGAACAAACTATTACTTCACTCTAATTATAGAGTTTTGTATTTAAATAAAAAATCATCTATGTTCCGTATTGTTTTGTATATAGAAATAAAACTTATGAATCATTTTCTATAATATTGTCATCGTATTACGTCCTTTTCTCCTTTTTTTTACCATACTCAACGAAGCATAAAACAAATCGATAATTTATCATATTTGATACATGAACAAATAAATGGCAACTAACGATGATCCAATACATACAGATAAAATAATTGAAGGTTTATATGGGAATGATTTAAAAAATCAATTAGATTTTCATCTTTCATCATATGTTAAAACTCCTATTCAATTACATTTAGTTAATTCAAAAAATTCAATTATTGCTCGATCATTACGTCATGCTATTGTTGATTTACTTGATAGTATATTGAAAAAACCGAATGAATATATAGAAAATGAAACAACTGTTATGGGTACTGAACATCGTTTATATCATTTACGTCGTTATATATTTAAATCAGATGATAAGGAATTTCAATGTCCTGAATTACTTAATGATGGTAAACTTGAATTAGAAATAAGTTCATTAGCTCCAACAGTTTTTTATCAATTACGTGAAGATATTGGTATATCGAATATAAATTTTCGTGAATCATTTTCTAAACATCATTTAAAAGATTTTACAAATCCTGGTAAAAGTGGTTCTTTAATGTATAAAACATATGATGATTTATTTATTTTAAAAACATTACGAGCCTATGAAGCACGTTTATTAATGCAAATTTTATCCGGTTATCATTTACAATTAACACAACGTACGACAATATTAAATCGTTATGTTGGTTTATATTCAATACGTTTTCCAGCATTTATATCTTCAGTTGAAATTTATTTTGTTATTATGGTAAATGCATTTACATCGTCATTACAAATTAATGAAATATTTGATATAAAAGGTTCAACGATAAAAAGAAAATTATCGGGACATTTAACAGTCGATAAATTACATAATTTAAAAGATGTTGATTTTACGAATATATATCCACATGGAATACGAATATCAACAAATATCTATCGTCGATTACATATGGTGATATCAAATGATGTTAAAGTTTTAAAAAAACTTAATATAACTGATTTTTCATTAATTATTGGTATTAAACATTTAGATATGACAGAAGAAGATCTTATACAACGGCGACCAGCAACAGGTCTAGCTGCATTATTTCATATGAGTCATAAAATAGTATTAATGCATACAGATAAACATAATCAAATATCACCATCAAATTCTCAAAATGATTTAAATTCTTTATCTATTTCATATTTAAAACCATTACAAATGATTGGTGAAAATATTGATCGGAATTTATATTATAATAATGATAATATTGCTCATGCTGCTTTACCTATACCAGGTCTTGTATATGAAAATAATCAACGTGTTTATATATATTTAGCAATAGTTGATATACTTCAAACATATGATAGTTTTAAATATATAGAACAATCATTAAAAAAAATTACTGATCCTAGTCGTCGTATGCAATATTCTGTTGTTGATCCAATTACATATGAAAAACGAATTATAAAATTTTTATTTAATTCAGTTTTTGTTGATGCTGGTGATAGTTTTCCATGGCCTAGGATTGAAATTAGTATACCTAACGCTGATATTCAGAATCAATCTGAAGAAAACAATAGAAATTCAAATGATACTATTGACTTATAAATTTTTTTATTATGTTTTGTACATTTATAAAAGATACATGTATACATTTTCTTTATTTATTTTTTTTTTCTAGTTAAAAATTGTCTGGTCTATATCCTTGTCTAAGACGAATAATAAAAATTATAAGTGCGATAATACCAAATACTCGTAGAATAAGTTCCATTATTCGTATAAATATCCATTCTTTACGTATTGGATATTGTCCCATGTTACTTATTTCAATAATACTTTTCACTAATGTTAATATAAGAATTGCAATTGATATTAATAAAGTTATAATAGACATTCTTGTACGACAATACCATAAAGCAAATATTGCATATGGAACAAATGCAAACATTAATATACCGAAAATTATAAGAAGAATTGAATCATATACTGGTCGAAGTTGTAATGTTAAACCAGAAATGCCTTGAATAAGATATTCATAAATACCAGTCGATATAACTTGTCCATAGAAAAGTGTGAGAATTATTTGAAGCCAACGAAATGAACGACTATATACATACATCGTCTAACCGTTATATAAAAAAAATAAATATATGGCAAGTACCAGGAATATCAATATGATATTTTCTTAGTGCTTCTTTGCAAAAAGAAATCTGTTGCCATATATTTTTATGTGGGTGGATTATTAATCAGATTTATTTGCAAGTTAATATTATGTACTATAATGCCAATGAACATTTCTAGCAGTTTCCTTATGATCAGAATATTGAAATCTATGAAAATTTTCGAGTTTTGTTTTGATATTTTTCAGTTCATGAGGTTAGAAATAGAATTTTCTTTATAACGCTTGAATAAACTTCAACTAAATAATATTAATCAACCCGTTTATTTAAAAATATTCATAGATCATTTACTTTATATAACTAATTTTCAAATATTAAAGTTTTATTTTGTTTTCTAACAAAAATCTATCGATGTATTGTATAAAAAACTTCATTATTATTGAAAAATATAAATAACAACTGCTGCTGCCAACGAATAACAATTTTATGCTTGTATATTGCATATATAGCACTTTAGAATAGCACAATCCTATTTACATATTGTCGATATAATCATGTTTTCAAAGTGTCATTTTCCATAAAATAATATTTATGGCAAGAACAAGACACTTTAATTATTGTGCACATAGTTATCAATATGTTTCAAAAAACACCAAAAATATAATCATAACTTTTGTGAACATTTAGAGACCACACGAACGGGAGTTTGTAAAACTCCAAGTGTTCCAAATACTCTTTTACATCCTGCTAATTGGAAAATATTTCATCGTTACTAATAATAGATGATGAGTAATATATAAATTCATGATATATTCAGATTAGTAATGCATTACTGTGGTCACTAAAAAAAGCATCAACTTACTCATTGTATTAGTAATCACATTACTATAGTCGATAATCGAGTAAATATGACATACCAGTTGTAAAGCACATATTGGTATGTCAAAAATTTTATCAATAAGAAAAACATTAAGTCATTTTGAATTCAAAAATAGTTTATTTAATGACAATCAACAGTATAAAATTGTTTGAATCAAAATGAACAGAACAAGTTTTAAGTTTTTTTTTACAATTTCTCAAAAAAAACGAATGAACACATAGTTGTAGTTTAATACAAGAAAAAAAGATAACAATATTAATATCATTTGATATTCCAAAACCAATATTGTATAGTAATATGTTGTTGAATAACTATCAATGTAATATTACATTAATTCATTTGTATACTGTATATATATATTATTTTTCTTCTAATAATGTAAAAAGAAAGTTGATTATTTGTTATGGATATTACAAATATTAGAGAGAGCAAAACAAAAATATTTAATCCCTTCTAGGATGATGGAAGGATAAGGATTCATTTTATGTTATAACTTACAAAATCAATTCCATTTTTTACTTCTAGAAATCATAAAATTTATTTGCCGAGTTTCTAAAAAAGCTGTTTAGTTAGGGCAGGCTACTTTTTTAAGTATTTTCTTGTAATACTATACTGAATTTCTTTAATAATTATAACAGATTTTTAAAATTGTACTAAATTTAGCAGTTTAATTATTCATATGACTAATTCATACGATATTATAACATCAAATAATTTTCATCGAACATAATTTAATAATATCCATTAAATAATAGTTGATTTTCTTTACCGATACTGGTATTGAATGATTCTAACAAAATGTGTGCGTCAATATTCCAATGAATTCTAAAACAAAAAATAAAATATTTAGATTCTTAATATAGTAAACAATTTCTTACCTATAAATCAGCTAATAAACTTATCATTGTCGAAATCATTCAAGCTCATTTTCTCTGAAATCTCAAATTTTCACTTTTCTAATATAATCTAAAAGATAGAATAAAATAATTTCGATTATTTGTTTTTAGTTTATATAATAATTCTTACCTTCATTGAATATCTGATTTAATTCTTGGAAATTTCTACATTAAATACATTCGATAATAATCTTTTTTCATGAAGAATTTATTATATAACATGAATGATAAGCAAGACAAATATATATGCCATCATCATACGCTTTTAATTTGTCTTGTTACAGCGTTGATGATATAAATATAATATTTCATGACATGTTGATAAATAAAAAAAGAGAAAGAGAAGAAACAGAGATACAAAGATCTATCATTGTAGACACACGCACACTTAAACAATAAGGTAGTATACAAAGAAGACAATAATTGGTTTGTTTTATTGTTATTATTATTATTATTGTTATTATAATAAATAATTAAATAGCGTTCATATCAATTGAATCATTGTCAATTTTGGTTTGCGACATATATTTTTCAAGATCATTATCAAGGGTTTCTTTTGAAAAATTTGTATTATTATTTCGGTTATTACCACCACGACCACGTGTAAAATTTCTATTACCATTACCATTACCACCACGGCCTCGACCGCGATTTGGTCTAATAATATTAAATAAAAAAAAAGTTTTTTTTTTTCTTAATAAATTTAAATTATCTACCTATTTCCGAAACGACGACCTTGGTTGTTGTTGTTATTATTATTATAATTATTATTATTTCCACGTCTTTGAAATCCACCAAATCTACCTCTTGTATTATTATTTAAATAACCACGTTTTTGCGATCGGAATATTCGGGCTAATCAAATAATAATTTATATACAAATATAATCATATTTTGTTAAACATACTTTCAATACGACCTTGTCCACGTAATCGAACGCCCATTCCACTTTGTCCACCAAACAAATAGGAATTAGCACCTCCACCAATACCACCACCACCACGTCTTCGATTACCATAACTAATGCGTTGAAAAACGCGTGGTGCTCGCGGATTCATAAATGGACGGTTTGCACCACCACCACCGCCACCACGACCACGACCAGCATTATTATTGCCAAAACCAAGTCGATAATTAATGCTTCGCTATAATATAATTAAAATAAAATAAAATAATAACACCTGTCAAAAAGGATAATCTAATCATTAAGAAGACTCTTAGGACATATCATTATCAATTTTTTTAATAAATGACATTAGAGACAGACAATATTCGAATTAATCATTCATATATATATATTCAAAAGGCACATCGATGGATAAATATAGTTGTATCATATGTTATTATAATGTCTATTGTTCGTTTTTTTAAAATAGCTAATAAAACGAACATTTTTATTTATTAACATCAACACTCGAAAATGTTGATCAACTTAAAACAAGTGCTTCACAATAAAGTTTACGAAACTGATTTATTATATATATGTCAAAGTTGGTACAAAATATCGTTATTATGCAATAAACAATATCATCGAAATAGTTGCAAATGAAAAAAATACATCCTACTCAAAGCTAGATACTTATGTGAGTATATTCAGTATGAAACAATTCATAAATGCTATAGTTCTAATGACTATTTTGTCTCTATTCAATATCCTTTCTTTATCTGATGTTTAAAACTCAACTCCGACATATGCACATCTATAGTTCATATCATTGACCTATACTGCTCTTTCATGCGTGACAATCATCTGAACAAGCAAGAAGAGGTACGTTCAAAATCAAGGATAGTATTAAATAATAGACTACATATAAGAAAGAGTAATGAATAGAAAAAAAGTATATTAGCATCTGTTGTTATGTCAATAAAATATTAAAGAGACAGAATAATGCCCTAGAATATGAAACGAGAAATTTCAGTAGCATACTTTTTAACTATATGTTGACATTAATAAAAAATATCGAAGTCAAAGAAATTCTATTTCAGTTATCTCATAGTTTTCATTGTATCTTTTGTACAACCAAATATTTCATTGAATTATTATTCTTCATCAACGGGAAATAACCTTTTGTGATTATTAACGACATACTAAAATGCTTAATCTATAAGATTCTTTTATATACTTATCAAATAAGTATTTCTACTAAATTAGATATAAAAGAATTCAAACTATTTGATCTCAATAAGAACTAGATGTTTTTTTGTATCTCTGATGAAGACAAAAAAAAGTCCCATTATTTATAAAGATCTTTACTTTTTTAAGACGATTTGCAGTATTTAATGCTGCTGATCGTTTATTTCCAAACAAATCTGTACGTGATTGTGGAATAATAACATGAGTTTGTTGTGGAATACGCGGTGTTGGAGGAGCTTGTTTGGCAATATTACCAAATCTATTAAAAAAATATTTAATAATATCATATACATTTTAAAATTATATTTACCTTTGATCGAGTGATAATTTTGTTGCTGATTTTAAAATAATTTTACCTGTAATCATTTTTTAAAGATTATATCAAACCAATTGTTACGGAAAAGGAATGAAATGAATATATGAAATACAATTGTGTTCCTTGTGATATGGTAATGCACTGGGAAATAAATAACAAAAAGCAATTTATCGATTGGTTAAAATTGCTAATAAAATAATACAATGAAAAATGATTTTTAAAGAAATATTTTCAAATTATAATTGTATTTAAAAAATATTTCCGAAAAAAACTTTTTTTTAATTTTTTTCCTTGAAGAGGCTTTTACATAATTTTCTATTGGTGTAATATTCTAACCAATGAAGATCGGAGTTAGTTGGTTACCGTTGAAAATTTCGTTTTCAAGAGGCTTAGAGACGATGATTAAACAAAATCAGATGATAATAATCTTACTAATAGATCAAATGTTGAAGCAATTCATCTTACAAAAGATCATTCTAATTTTCTGATGAAGAAAATCTATAACGAATATGTGAACATTAATTTCACATCATAATGAAACTGTTTATCTAGCTGATACACAAGCAAAAGAAGAACATTTGTAAGTTCACTGGAAAAATCTTAGTTTATGAGAATATCTGTATAATCATCACTTATGCAAAAAGAAGGCTGAACAAATCGATATACTTCACAATATCAAGTTAATTTGTACGATATATAAATACATACCTTCAAACGCCCAAGAATTTATTTTTTATTAGCGTGATATTATAATATGATAGACATGATGATAAGAATCATTATTATTTCAAATCCATTAATCCAAGAGATTAGATGGTTTATCTTTGATTATAAACAATATATCTGATTATTATTGACAATATATATTATGTATTATTCAACTATATAAAATAATTATATATTCAAAGTAATTCGATTGAATCTTACAAAATTATTTTTGTAATAAATGTTCTTTTTCTAGATTTTAAGTCATGAAGTCAATCAAATGAAAAATAAATGTTAAATTTATTCTAATATAGTAGTAATAACATAGGTTTGTGTAAATTCTTATTCAACTAATTTACATATTTTTTTCTTTCTTATACAAATAGTGTGTTTTTTTTCTTCGTTAGTTTTCTTTTAAACCTAAATGTAACAAATAATCATTGATTTACCATGATCTTCATTGGTTAATTACATATGTAAATTGTTTCTTTTGATTATCTTCTTGTTTTGTCTTACATATAGAAACAATAAACGAAGTATATTTCCTTAAGCTAATAGAAAGATATGTGTATAGAGTATATATGAATATTTCTCGCTTATTCAATCAACATATGAAGCTTGTCATTGTGACTCGATCTCTTTCTTTCGATATTGTTTTATACGTGTAATGCTATTTATTCAATTTGATGTATTCAACAGCTCATTTTCTTTTCTTCTATGCATTTCATCACGTAATAGTAATTTTTTTCGTTTAGTCAAGTAATAGTTGTTGTACATTTTACACTTTTAACACTCAAGGCAAAATGAGCATATACTGAGCTGAACGAATAACATAAGCATAGTAATACGAGTCACCATAGTCATTTTCATTATGAACCATGTTCGTTGACTAATTGAAGATTCGTTTGTACAGTCTATAGACATTAGGTGAGCGTATCCCATATTTATTCTTGTGAACAAATATTGACCCCAGGTCTTGATATACATCAAGATAATGATAGAAAAAAAGAAATAAATGGATGAATGTAAAAGATTATTCTTTCTTCCATGTTGCGCGTGTGTGTTCACACTTAATTCTGTTCTCTCTCTCTCTCGTTTTTTTTTCTTCTTCTGCTCTCTCTCTTCTACTCTTATTTTTTTCTTCTTTCTGAGACAAAATACGAGAACATTGTCAGCAGGACGAGACGAACAGTGCACATAAAACCATCATTGAAATCGTCTGTTTTCTTTTGGGAAAAAAAAAGAATGAGTAGGCAAAGAGAATGAAGAAAAAAAACGAGAGAGACGGAATTACATATAAGGAAAAAAACGCAGAATGAAGTAGAAACTATTAATCGTCACTGCTGTCGACATTGATAAAAGAGAAACGAAGAATAATAGTAAGACTGTCTTGATTATAAGTAGAGCATAGAACATGATTAGTTAAGTAAAAATAAAGAGAAAATGAGAATGTTTGTTTTTTTTTCTTCTAAAGATTCAACTTCTTTTTCTATTAGTGTATTTAGTCAGTACTCATAAAAAATACATCAACAAATTTCTTATTGTTATGCTCATTTTAAATATATACAACCAGCTAACAACCTTTTCTTTCCTTCTTTTTTTCTTTTCTAATCGTTTTTTTTTTCTTCATTTTGTTCGTTATATATAACCAATCGTATTCCCATACTTTTTAGTTGTGACAAATTAATGCATTATTCAATCGTGGAATCTAGTCGATGATCACGATAAATCTGGTCGCAATAATGATTATGATACATAAAACAATGGTAGCAAACAACTAATAATGATGACATATATTGAACGACATGGATGGTGTTCGTCCTTGATTTCATCGACAATATGTCCCTCAAATATTGACAAATCAACAAAACCTTGTCCTATACGCTCATTGTCTTTTGCTTCAACATCATTGATCTCTAATAGTGATAGTATTTCTCTTAATACAGATTCCATCCTATCACCATCTTCATTAACATATAACAAAAGAAATAATAATAAGGCATCAACATCTAATGTACGTTCATCATCAGGACGAGCAGATGATTATTATACAACAAAACGTATTGAAGAATTACATGAACGAATGGATGATATTCAAATAACAAGTTTTTTACAATTTATTAATCATCATTTATCATTAAAAAAGGAAAATCATAAAACAATTAATATCAATGATATAGCAAAAGATTTATCAAATGGACATGTATTAATTGATTTAATAGAAATATTATCATCAACAAAATTAAAACGTGAACGTGGTCATACACGTTTTCATTCCTTAACAAATATTCAATATGTTTTAGATTATTTAAAATTACGTATGCAACATATAAATATATCACCACATGAAATTGTTTCGGGTAATCGTAAACAAATTCTTGCATTATTATGGATAATAATGAAAACATTTGATTTTCCTGGTTTTCGTATAACAAATAAAAATTGTTTTGTTGAAAACACACTCTTAGGTTTTGGACAAGATCGAAGTATAATTATAAAATGGTTAAATAATATTATCAATCAAAGTTTAAATACAATACAAATTTATATAAAAGATTTTTATCTACAAACATGGATCAATGGTTATTATTTATCAATCATTATTAAATATTTAATACCATTAAGTATAAAATATTTAACAAGACAATGTTTTGATGATTTAAAAGAATTAAATAATTTAAATTCAGATGGTAAACAATGTTTTAAATTATGTTTATCTTTATCAAATTATTGTTTTAATACAATAACAATTATTGATGAAACAGATAAAAGTGAAAGATGTTTATTTAAATATTTTACTGAATTACAAAAAAATATTATAAGTATTTTAAAATCTAATCATATTGGAAAATTAGTTCAAAATAATCCATATACTAAACAAATACTTGATACGGTTATTCAAACAACAACAACTACAGGTAAATGTCAAATAAATCTTAAGATGATGTAATAGATTAAATCAACATATCTGTCTATGCATTTCTCTTTTTTGTTTATAGAACATTCTTCGCATATAATTAATAATAATGAACAATATTTGATTTGTATTAAAGATGATAATCAGCATGTATCATCAATAAATTCTTCAATATCATTATCAAATGATAATAATAAATTATCCAATTCAAAAATAGTAGAAAAATCTCAACCAATCAATAATAACAAATCGGAACGAGTAAATCGTTGGGAGAAACCAGAAAATCTACAAAGGTATTGATAAAAAGAAAAGAAAAGAAAGAATAGATTTGTAATTGTTGAATGAAACAATGTCCTTGACCTTATTGCATAATCAATGTTAACGTTTTAATTATAGAGATGAAATTTAATCATCAGATAGTGAAATTTTCATTAAGTATTGATTATTTCGAAAGAAAAGTTCTACAAGGTTTTCTTTCTAATCATACAAATTCGTCTATTGTTAACAAAAAGAAGAAATTAATTGCTTGAGCTCCTACAGTGATTGAAATGAATACTTTTTATTTAACATTTTTATTTGTAGTAATTTTCATGCAATTAATAATGATAGTAAAATATCAAACAAAGAACAGGTTGAAATGGTAATTAATGGACAACAAGAAGTTAATGATACAATTGAACAATCGGAAGAACTTGTATTATTACCAATAGAAATTGAGCAAGATATAAAATTAGATTCAAGCATAAGTGAAACTCAAGATCTCAATCAATTTACACCAACAATTGTCGAATATCAACCAGAGGAAAAGATTGAACAGCCTATTATTAATGCACAAGAACAGCAAATTCTATCAATCAATGACAATACAGAAGAAATTAGTTCGACATTAGAAGATTTATCTGAATCTACGATATCATATGAAAAATTAGATGATTTACAAGAACTTATGATATCTAATGAAGAAAACAAACAATCCTCAGATGATTATGAAACATTACCAAAAGAAATTGAACAATCATTTCAAAACGAAACTTGTTTGATTACTACTCAACAATCGATAGACACTATAGAAGAACAAAAACAATCTTTAATATCCAACGAAAACATTGAACAGTCTGATGTAAAAGATGAAGTGCCAGAACAAAACACAACAACAACATTACCTGAAAATATCAATGAAGAGTTAGAACAATGTATCACATCAATTAAACCATCTCTTTCTATGAATGAAGAATCATTACAACCTATTGAATCAAAACCGGAAACAATAATGACATCTGTTAAAATAAATGAAAATTTAGAACAACCTAAAACTGAAGAATCATCAGAAATGATTTCATTACCCGAACATAATACATCTATTTTAACAAATAACAATAAAAAATCATCACAATCTACGGTGTCGAATAAAAAAAAGAAGAGAAATAAAGTCAAAACTATTGACAACGAAAAATTATTTCAACAACCGATTGTTGAATCTGAACGAATTGAAGAAAATGAATCTTCAAGTATTATAAATAATAAATTAGAACCATTTATAGTTGTAGAAGCGAACAAAGAAATTCAACCGATCGTCGAAAACAATTTCATTGCAACTAATGGAAAATTACCACAATCAATTACTGAAGACTTACCACAATCCGTAATCTCAAACGGAACAACAAAAACATCTGTTGAAAATAATTCTCCGATCGTTACAAATAAAAACTTAGAAAAATCTACAATTATAACATCATCACAACCTATTACCTCGAATGATGAAGTTAATAAATCTACACCAATAAATAAAAAGACAGCTGCTACTACTACAACTACTAAAAAAGTAGTACAAACTGCATCATCTAATAAAGAAAATCAACATTTTATTACTTCAAATAAACAATTAGTACAACCTACAACTGTAGTTAAAGAACCAGAACAACGTAAATCGATAACTGAACAAACCACTTCAACAACATCAAAAGGTAATACATGTTCGGATATTATTAATATACAATCAGTAAAAGTAAATCATGAATCATCACAAACTGCAAATTCACTTAAGAAACCAGAACATTCTACAGTATCAATTGAAAAACCTAAACAAACTGTTATAATACCTGAGGTAACTGAACAAATTTCTTGCACAAATACACATAAAAAATCAGAACAAACTGAAGTATCACTTGAGAAACAAGATCAACCAATTACTCTAATCGAAGAACCACGTGCATCAACAATATCGAATAATGAAACGAAAAAATCTTCATTTAAAAATAAAAAATCACGACGATCAAATACTAAAAAAGGAAAATCAGCACAAGTAGTGCCAATTAATAATACTGAACCTATTCTACAAGATGAAGAAGAAACTATTGAATCAGTATTACCCTCTGTTAATCTAACAACTATTGTTCAAGAACAAATTCCTACTAATATTGTAACAGGAGTTGATACTTCACCAATAATAATACCTGAAATATCATTGAATGGTAAATTATCAAATAATAGGTAAATATAAATAGATTATTAAAAAGAAAAGCTTTTTCAATAAGTTATTTTATGTTTTATAGTGAAAACCTTCAAAATTCAAGTGCCTTACGATCTCGTAAAACGAAAAAGAAAAAAACAATAGCTACAACAACAACTACTGTCATTGAAAAACCTTCATTTCCTCCGATGTCAACATCAACAACAATAACTAATCGCAATTTCTTTGTTACTATTCAAGAATTTCTACATGATAGAAGAATTATTGCATCCAAATACGTTTTCATTCTTGTTTGTCTTTGTTTTTCAATTATTATTATTATTCTTTCTTATAAGTGATATTTATTTCACGTTGTTAATTGAATACAATCAACAATGTGTGATCGTTTCCTCATTTTTTTTTCTCTTGAAACAAAAAAATAACAACCAATATTCTCTATTGTTAACATTTCATTTATTTCCTCTATTTGCAAGTTTGTGTGTGAACAGTGTTTTTGTTTTGTAATATACAAATAATTTCAGTTGGGATTAGGAAAAATGACATAATAAAAAAAAAACGGAAATTTCAAATAAATCACGCATGTATTGTTAATTAACAAGAAAAAACGTTCGTCAAAATCAATCTTTTTCCTTATAGATTTTTCGAATGTTAATTAAAGTTTTATTATTTAATCATTCATTTCAACGTATAACAGCCTATCGTTGGTTATCTAAAACTCATAAACCTTCTCTATTTGAACCGAAATGGGCATCAGTATTTGCCCAGGCAACAACTAATTCATATCTACCCTCTTTACCTGTTAAGAATGAAAAACCATTTGTTATGCTTTTTCCACCACCAAATGTAACTGGAACTCTTCATCTAGGTCATGCATTAACTACATGTATACACGATAGTCTTTTAAGATGGCATACGATGCAACGAAAATCATATGCTCGTTGTATACCTGGTTATGATCATGCTGGAATTGCTACACAGGTAAATTTGGAATATTGGAAACACTATATTTTATTTTTTGTAATTGAAGGTTATAGTTGAAAAACATATAGCTCCTCAAACACGAGAACAAATGGGAAGAGAAAATTTTCTTGAAGAATGCTATCAATGGTCTTCAACATATCGTCAAACAATTGAAACACAATTAAAACGTCTATGTCCATTATTTGATTGGTCAAATACTTATTTTACTATGGATAAAAATCTTATTGAATATGTTCGAGATTCATTTTTAAGTTTATATAATGATGGTCTTATTTATCGTGATCGACGTATTGTTAATTGGTGTTGTCAATTACGATCAGTTGTTAGTGATATTGAAGTAGATTCAAAAGAAATCAATGGTCGACAAAAAATTTCAATACCTGGATATTCAAAAGAAATTGAATTAGGTGTACTTTATAATATTGCCTATAAAGTTATTGATGAACAACAACAGCAAGATAAAGAAATTATTGTTAGTACAACACGACCCGAAACAATTTTAGCCGATACAGGTATTGCTGTTCATCCATTAGATTCTCGTTATATGTCATTAAAAAATAAATTTGTTCAAAATCCATTTAATCCTCAAGATCGTTTACCGATTATATTTGATGAAAGTGTTGATCAAAATTTTGGTACTGGTGCAGTTAAATTAACACCAGGTCATGATGCATTTGATTATACATTAGCAATGAAACATAATCTTCCAGTTCGAACGATGTTAAATGATCAAGGTCGTGTACAACTTCATTTAGATCATCCATTTTATCAACAATTAAATGATTTACATCGTTATGATGCACGTGATAAAGTACTTCAATTACTTGAAAATCAAGGATTAAGAAGAGGAGAACAGGAACAACAAAAAATGATAATACCTATATGTAGTCGAACAGGTGATATTATTGAACCTATGGTTAAAGAACAATGGTTTCTTGATACAACTGAAATGTGTGAGTTCTTATAAGAAAATATTTTTTTTTCTTATGAATTTTATTCTAGCTCGTCAAGCTTCATCAATTGTTGATAATGATACACTTAAACTAACACCATCATCTACTCGTAAAGTATGGAAATATTGGTTGAATAATAATCGACCATGGTGTTTATCAAGACAACTTTGGTGGGGACATTCAATACCTATGTATCGATGTTCAATCAAAAATAAACCCAATGAATATCAATGGATTGGTGCTAAATCACTTGAAGAAGCAACTATCAAAGCTGCTCAATTATATCCAGATATTTTACCTGAAGCAATTCATATTGAACAAGATCAAGATGTACTTGATACATGGTTTTCATCAGGTTTATTACCTATATCTATATTTTATAATACGAATAAACAAGAATTTCCAACAACATTACTCGATACTGGTTATGATATAATGTTTTTTTGGGTTGCTCGTATGGTTATGCTTGTAAATACTCTTTTATATAATTATTTCTTCTAAAAAAAATCTTTGAATTTTCTAGAGTCTTAAATTAACTAATCAGGTACCATTTCATGAAGTTCTTTTTCATGGTTTAATTTGTGATCCAAATGGTAAGAAAATGTCAAAATCATTAGGTAATATAATTGATCCGATGGATGTTGTTAATGGAATAAGTCTTCAATCATTGCAAACACGTCTTGAACAATCACATTTATCACGTAATGAAATCGAACGATCGAAACGTATACAAGCTAATCAATATCCATCAGGTATTGAACCAATTGGTTCCGATGGCCTTCGTCTATGTCTTTTATCTCATGATATATATCAACAATCAATACGTTTTGATCCAACACAATTTGATTATGTTGGACGTTATTGTAATAAATTTTGGAATGCTTATAAATATGTCACAGAATTCGCTTTAATCGATATGAATTTTCGTGATGAAAAATTTTCAAATATAACTTATGAACAAATAGAAAAATTAAGTGAAAATCGTCTTGTAGATCGTTGGATGTTAAATGAATTAAATAAAACAATAGGAAAAGTGAATGATTGTTTAAATAATTATACATTTCATTTAGCTATTGTTCGTTTACGTGATTCATTTCTAAAAGATTTTTGTGATTTTTATATTGAATTTAGTAAAATTCCTATTAAACAACAATCAAATGAAAATATTAAATCAAATGTTCAGATATTACTCTATTATTTACTTAAACAATATCTTATTCTTTATCATCCATTTTTACCAGCTATGACTGAAGAATTATGGCAAGATTTAACACAAGGAAAACAAGGTTATCTTATTCATCAATTATATCCAACAATGAAACATAATGAAAAGTAAAAATTCTTGAATTAGATAACAAATTGTTTTTGTATTGTAATTTTTGGTTATTTCTAGTATTAATCCTATGGATTCTCAAGTAATACAAATAATTCGTTTAATCTTAAAAAATTCGACATATTTTAAACAAATGCTTCGTTTATCACGTGATTCCGATATAATTATTTATTTTAATGACCAAAATCATGAGAATTTATCAACACATATTGAAACGTATCTTACAGAAATTCGTACAATAACTCGGTTGAATAATATTCATATTGTATGTTCATCGCCATCGAATAATTCTCTCAATAAATCAAAATTTTCATTTCATGATTATGTTACGGATAATGTTGAACTTGTATTTAATTTAAATGATGATAAACAAACAAAAGAATTGGTTGAAAAACATGAAGAACGATTAAGTAAACAAGTTGATAAATTACAGGATGATCTTGGTGTTAATGAAACTGCGACAAAATTTCATCAAGAAAATAATGATGAAGAAAATATTGAACGTGAAAAAAATCGACGTGAAATTCTAATGGAAGATATGAAATTAACACAACGAAGACATGAAAGATTTGTTGAATTAGCTCAAAAAAGAACTGTTATTGAAAAAAAGAATAAAAAAGAAAAAAGATCTTAGTTAATAAGAAGCTTTTTTTTGTTCATTTATAATTGACAACTAGATTAGTTTTGATTTCAATACCCTTAAGTCTGTATGCAATAGATCATGTTTTTATAATTTCAAAATAGATTCATCAATCGTGGATGTTTCTAATGTCTTAATGAATCGTTGTAAACTATCAGTTAGTTTTAATCTATCTAATTTTCGTTTTAAAAATTCAAAATCAATAATTTCTTGTAATGGTCGTTGAAATAACATATTTTCATTTTTAGTTAATTTATGAAGAAAATAACGTTCAGCATAACAACAAATGAGAACTACTTCATTTGATTGTAATGTATTCAATGAATTAATATCAAGAAAAGTAAAAAGTTCGTTAATATCATCAAATGTTTTATAATGATTAAAATATTCAAAAACAATATCTTTTGCATCTTCAATATCTATTACTGTATCACGTTGAATTTTTCGTATTAATTTAAAAATAATTTGTTGACGATTAATTGATGCTTTCGTATATTTAGTTAGAAAAGATAATGGTGAAAGATTTTCTAATTGATCATAATCTGATGGAAGAGTACATTGAATCGATGAAGCATTTAAACTTATTGGTGTTTTCACTTTTCCTAGTTTTCTTTCTTCGAAACGAATTTCTTCATTAGAATGATCGTTCAATTGAGATGCTTGTCTAATTTGTTCCATTTGAAGAAATGTTCCTTTGTCTTTAAAATTTATATAATCTTTATGCATATCATTGATTAAACCAGTGTAATAACCATCTAAATAGACAAAATCAAGAAATATTGATTATATTTTAATAAATAGGCTATACCTGGTACAGCTCTAACTTGTTTATTTTCAATGAGTTTGAGTTGTTTCCTTTTTTTCGATGAGTCAAATGATTTTAGATCAGTTATTGCAGTTAGTTGTGTAGTTTCATTGGCAAAGGATGTCTTTTTATTTATTTCATTTTTTTCTCGGACATTCATCGATGATGTTGATTCATATGAATTATTACTCAATGTTTTAAAAAATTGATCATCTTTTGAATGATAGTTTCCTTAGTGATTTCGATATAATTTAGTAGTATTTCTTGATTGTTAAATCTAATCAATAAAAGTGTATTTGAAATCACTGACAAATCAATATTGAATATTGTTCGGTTTGCTCTAAAGATTTTCTGCTCATACATTTTATCATAGGCGATAATGCAATAATATTACAAGATGTCACAATGACTCTTTCTAGTTGTATTCACTTTGTCTTTATGTATATATATAAATATAGAATGAAGACTACTGAAATGTAGTTATATTATTTAGATGCATCAGTAAAGAAGTACTATATAATTATCTTTGTTGAGAATAAAAAAGATGGAGAGAGAAGAAGAATTGATTGCCTCCTCGAAAAATATTTGCCTTGCGCCGTCTATATATTCCTCTCAATGCAAATTTGATTCTCGACGTGCTCCATGTTATGATTCATATGTATGCACGATTATTAATAGCAATATGTTCTAATAAATTCAAGTGATATTGACGAATCGAAAAGAGAAACTATTTTATTGCAATGGCTGACAGCTGTGAAAGAATAAGTATCGATAATTGAATTTTTGTCGAATAACATATGCTATATAGTCTAATAAAAACGTTTCAGCGAAATTAATTTTTCAGCATTCTTTTTACTATTAGGAGGAGCGGATGTGATTCAAATGGTGATATAGATAGTACGAGACTCTGTCTGTTTGTATAGATTTTTTATAATAAAAATAGGTTCCAGTACCTTTTAGCATTTCGCATTTTGTAACCACGTGAGTTTTACTCAAATAAAAAATAAATGAATCGATAGCGAATTTCATGCTCTGTCAGTTCATAAAAAATATTTTTTGCTAGAGACGATCGTCATCTTCAAACCTTGACTGTTGTAATGAGAATAGTCGAAAAAAAATAGTTTCATTTTTCGGTCAAAACAATGCGTGAAAAACCAGTGATAGTACGTTTTTAAATATACTATTTTGTTCAGTTTTGAAAACTATTCTCATTACAACAGTCAAGGTTTAGAGATAAAGATCATCTGTAGTAAAAAATATTTTTTTATCGATTTATATATTTTATTTTTGTTTTTAGGAAAAATCCTTTGGTTAGGAAAAATGAAATACCAAAAGGTACTGAAACTTATCTTTGCATAGAAAGAAGTTATCTGAATCAGATTCGTATCTCTTAATATTAAAAAAAATTCTGAAAAATTAATTTCGTTTCAACTTTTTCATTAGACTATACTAGCGTATTTTGTACATTATATCAACTGCTTACAAGGTCATGTTAAATTCATACATTTAATCGATGTTCTTGACTCCTTTCTTTCTAAAATCTTGTTTTTTTAAAGTTTTAGACAGAATTCTTTGTTCCATTCCTTTTATATCAGACTCATGCCTGAGAAAATTTATCTTGCTTATCAGGCAAGATTCTTGTGCTTTATTTTTGCCATCGGCATATATCACTTATGCTTTGATTTTCTGCGCTATTTTACTAGAAAAATCTCGTATGACTGATAGATAGTAAAAAAAAAAAAGCACAATAACGCATGAAAACTAACGAAACGGCTAATGAGAAAAAAGTTAATGAATTTTGTAGCGGTTTTTAAAAAAGTTTTGATCGATCTAGACGGAGAGCCTTAAGAAAAAAAATTTATATATTTGAAATATTAAATTACTGTTCTTATACGATGATACTGAGGGTCTAACAGTTAACATAGATATTGGAGAACATAACGAATGAGATTTTGAATTAAACCAAGTACTTTTACAAACTTTTCCAGTATAAGTTGTAATACTCTTGTTGTCCTTCGTTGTAAGTAATATAATAACAACCGCGTTAGTCACAAAAAACCCTTCGAGTTACAGAGTAGACTGGAGACAAGTTACAGGTCACGAAAATGTCATACTCTGCAGACCTCGAAACAGATATAAACGTTACAGACAAAGGATGGTTCTTTCTTGAAATTCATCCAAGATTCTTGCTTGAACTTCAAAAGTAAAAAGAATCTGAAAAGAATAAACTCAAGAATCTCGATTAGTGATATAATTCTCTCTTCCGTTTTTTTCTGTCATATTTATCTTCGTATCGATCGTTAAAAGAAGAAGACTACAGAAAAGAAAAAATATATGATACGAACGTTTTTTGTCATTGAGGCTTTATGCCTTATTCTTTATTCGAAAAAACTCAGTGAGTTTAACTATATATATATATATATATACATGTGCTTTCGTTCGCTCGTTCTAGTAGCTTGTATTGTTCAGTGAAGCGTGATATGATTCGTATTTACAGTCGAAAAGACTTGTTTTTTTTTCTTGTTGGTTGACGATTCATTTTAGACAATATTCAAGGTGTATTTTTGTATGGTTTAATCTGTATTTAATAAATTATTAGTTAGTTCACAGAATATTTGTTATTTATGAGTGATTTAAAAGAACAAACATCCACGGATAAACGTCGAGCCAGTGGATCTGTAAATACTTCCAAGATTTCCATTAAACATCGAAAAGCTGGTGAATTCGTTGCTCGTGAATCTTTACTAACTGAATTATTTCACAATCCACATATTAATTGTGTGAGAAATGGATTCATTGCTGGTTTCATTTTGATGATATTACGTCATCTAGTCGATGATTTACTTCATTATGGAAGGTAAGAAAAGAGTATTGATTTTCATAAATAGATCTTCACTCAGTTGTTTTTTTTGTTAGACCAAATTGGACATTTGAATTATTATTTTTAACAGTTGGTCAATTGCATATTACCATAATGATTTGGTCTGTTATGACTTTTTGTACAACTTTTGTTGTGTATTATGGAACATATATTTGGGCAAATAGTCGTAAATTTAGTGGAACTATTCTTAGTATACTAATTGAATAAGAAAAAAAAATAGATAATAAAATATTATTGTTTAGAATTATATGACATGTTTTGGCTATTGATTTATATTTGTTATCAAATAGGTTTATTTGTTATACCATGTTGGCTAGTAAATAAATATCAATTGCCATTTGCTTGCGCAGCAACTGTTATTCTTGAACAAGTATGTTTTATAGACTTGTAAAAGCCTACACTGATTAGAATCAAAAAGAGATAATTCATCTTTTTTTTTCCAATATCATTATTTGTTTTGATACTCTATAGTAACAATAGATGAAGATTAAACAGCTAGATAGATAGAAGAGTTAGAAATATCGAACTCTATAAATAAAACAATAGATAAATGTTTCATTCCTAAATTCAACATATATTATTTTCATAATCGTCAAAGTTAGTCGTTTGAATTTTTTATAAACATTTATTTAGCTACGCCAAATCTTGAAAATACATTCATTTGTACGTGAAAATGCTGGAAAAATAATTTCTCCATCAAATAAATCAACTGGTTTGTTATAATGTTTTGTTTTCACTACGACTTCGGTTGAAAGAATGTTTTTTTTCAAATTTAGATTCTCAATTATCTTCTGAATTTAGTCATTTTAATCAATATTTATATTTTCTCTATGCACCTACATTAGTTTTTCGAGATGTTTATCCTCGAACATCGACTATTCGATGGAATATTGTTTTTCAAATGTTTGGTCAAGTTCTAATTGGTACCATTCTACTTTATCATGTTATCGCATATTATTGGATGCCAGTGTTTGCTCGATGTTTTACAGATACTAAACTAACATATCCATCTGTAATAACATCTATATTTGATTTAATGCTTCCAGGAGTTCTGTTTTTTGTAATCGGTAAAAATATTTGTATAATTTATTTGCATAGATATATATTTGTTTTTGTTTTATTTAAGGTTTTTATGGTTTTTTTCATTGTTGGTTGAATGGATTTGCAGAATTACTTCGGTTTGCTGATCGAACATTTTATCAGGTAGAATAAGAGAATAATTAATTGTTCAAAAATAATTTTATATTTCTAGGATTGGTGGAATGCAACATCATCTGGAACATTTTGGCGATCATGGAATATTGTTGTACATGATTGGCTTCATGTTTATGTTTATAAAGATCTTATCAAAGTTATTTGAAATTTTAATTTGTGACATCATCTTTTAATTTCTTTGCTTTTAGTTATTCTCCGGTAATAAAAAATTATCAGCAATTTGTGTAGTCATTTTTTCAGCTATACTTCATGAATATTGTATGAGTATTGTATTTGGATTTTGCTCTGTAATATTCATTGTTTGGTTTGGTTTAGTTGGAAGTATGTTTATATATTTATTTATTTTGATATTTCTTATCTTGTTTTTTTTGCTTAGTGTTCCTTCGTATTGTTTTTCCACATTCAAAGGGAACACTATGGAATATTATAATATTAACAATGACACCAATATCTCTGGCAGTCGTTCCATATTTTTATGCTCTTGAAATATCTGCTCGACATTTCCCTTCGAATCGTGTAAGTTAGAGATATGATTTTATACAATGATAATGAAATATATATTTCTATAGGCAACATTCTGGGATGTAATGTTTAAGTATGGTAATCAGTCAAAAGCTGATTTATGAAAAATACAAACCATGCAAAATTGAATTCATTACAAATTATTTTGAAAGAAAATCGATTGTTTTTTATTTTAATATTGATAAAGAAATAAATACATTATAATAATAAAAGAATCAAATTCTTTTTAAGTATAATTGTTTTACCAAAGAACTAAATTTAAATATAAGATCATTGTCTCAAATTATGATAGTGATATATGGTTGGTAAAACTAACTTGAACGGAAATCGTGGATCTCGATAAACACAAATAAAAACAGTGACTTCATTTTCGAACATATCCTTTTGAGTTTTGTTAATTGTAATACTTACTTAGCTTTCCATTCGATATATTTGATAAATTAATTATGGAATTTTTCGCTCAGACGTTCAATTTTTTCTCTGGATTTATTGTTGATGATACAGCTATTTAACTACAAAGTCTTGAGAAGTTATGCAAAATGAAAACAATCATATCTGATTCAACAGTATTGAACACAGGATCGTTCTAAGTTCAACTTCAATTCATACTGCTTATTTTATGGTTTCGTATTATTGAAGAAAAACTTTTCTGGTCCAATACAATCGGGTAGGATCCTTTGTTCGAATATTATGGGAATGAACGTCACAGCGTTTTACTATTATCACGAAGACTCTTGTATCGTTCAAAGTTTTACGACTATCATACAAAACGTTTTCTAGCTCAGCCGCACTGAGGAGAAACTCTTAGAGTTTTAATATTGTTATAGACCATATCACCTTAGCTTTGCAGACGCTTCACGCTCACAATATAGTTCTTCAAAAGTTCTCTTTTTTAAAAGCACCATCATCCCTCTCACCAAATACCAAAAATTCTAAACAACCATTATCATCACAACACGGATTAAGTTTGAAAACAAGCAGCTTTATTTAATTTTTCTGTCAAAATCATATCACAAAAAAGAAATACTCATATCATTATCACCAGTAATTTATTCATTATCTAAATACATTCAACATAACCATTCATGGTTTTATTCCCCTTTCATTTCGTTTAAGTAAGTCATCGATCACATGAACTGCATCACTCTCGATTGCATTCTTCCATACTACTAATATGGTGAGCGTCTAAATAAAATAATGAACACAAAGACATAGTACAGAGAAAGATAAACTATAGGGTTACTGTATTGTGTTGTAACGCATCAATCAAATATTGTGCTCCAACCGCTCCGATTTCATTATTCTGCAGGTATAGTGTTGTAAGTGTCTAGATCAAAACGTAGAGGTAAAGACTTGACACAAATAAAGAGTGAAAAAGAGTTACTGTGTTGTGTCGTAATGCATTAGCCAAAGATTGTGCTCCAATATCTCTTATTCGATTATATCCAAGATGTAGTGTGACGAGCGTTTAGATGAAAAGGTGGAGTTAAGACATGGTACAGATAAGGAGAGAATGAGAGTTACCGT